TCGACTGTCCTCCATTCCTCGTGCTTTTCAAAATGGCAGCTAAGATTTCAATGAGCCAGCGATATATCTCAGTCAGCGATATATCCCTAACAATGTAACGTTGAAAAAACGGACCGTCTGCATTTTAAGACCGGTGCCAGCCTTCGGCTGGGCCCCGGTAATAATTAATGTAATTTCTGACGAATGAGCCCGCGAAGAAGGCAGAAATAAATATTTTGACGGCACGAGATACAACAGGGCCTGGGTACTAGGCCGGGTGCACCATGGGTAGCCATATCGGGGGTATATAATGCTGCGTATATCACGTGTTCGTCATCTAGGCTTACGAACCAACCTCTCCTTGGTTTTTCTTAAATTTTTGTTTTATTTATTTTTAGGAGCAACATATTCTCGATTACATTGTAAAGTCCCGTAGGAAGGGCTTTGAGCTTGAGCCTTGGTTCCTACCCAGATTTCCTGCCCGCATTTTTTTTCCCTTCGGGTTTTTTTTTTTTGGGCAGGTTTTTTCTGGCCTCCGTCTGACCGCATTTACTTCAGTTTGTAAGCGGTAGCTCAGCTCTGCTAGTTTTCAGCCTTTTCCCCGTTTCTTATTTTATGTACTTGTACACTAGTTATCTCAGTTTTGCACCTGCTCCTTTACTTGATATATTTAGTTTCCATGTATGCTTAGGTCAGCTGTCCCGGAACCGCTCTTTAGGAGGCGACGTAAGTCTCGTTTGACGCAGTTAGGTTGCAGGCAATGTTACAGACCTCTAGCCAGGGTCGTTATTCATTGTTTACCCTCAATGTCCCGCCCTAGCCTTTTATGGCAGTCTTACTGGTTATTGGGCTACGTGCCTTGTTGGGTACATTAGTGGAGATAATTCCCAGTTTTCCTGGCACTCAGCCTCTGTGCTCCTGAAGTGTTCCTGGTCCCAGTTATACGTTGATCACAGTTTTATTAAATTTCCCCGGCCTAACTGGCACTAAGCCTGCGTGCTTATTTGGGGGATTCAGGTCGAGATCGACCAGTTGTAGCAGTTTTTTCTTTTTGCTTAGCCTCTGTGCTCCTACCGTGTTCCTCGTGCCAGTTATGCGTTGTCTGAGTTTTATTAATTAGTTTCTCCAGCCTAACTGGCAGCCTAACTGGCACTAAGCCTGTGTGCTTATTTGGGGGATTCAGGTCGAGATCGACCAGTTGTAGCAGTTTTTTCTTTTTGCTTAGCCTCTGTGCTCCTACTGTGTTCCTCGTGCCAGTTATGCGTTGTCTGAGTTTTATTAATTAGTTTCTCCAGCCTAACTGGCACTAAGCCTGTGTGCTTATTTGGGGGATTCAGGTCGAGATCGACCAGTTGTAGCAGTTTTTTCTTTTTGCTTAGCCTCTGTGCTCCTACCGTGTTCCTCGTGCCAGTTATGCGTTTTCTGAGTTTTATTAATTAGTTTCCCCAGCCTAACTGGCAGCCTAACTGGCACTAAGCCTGTGTGCTTATTTGGGGGATTCAGGTCGAGATCGACCAGTTGTGAGGAGTTTTTTCTTTTTGTTTAGCCTCTGTGCTACTACCGTGTTCCGTGTGCCAGTTATGCGTTGTCTGAGTTTTATTAGTTAGTTTCCCCAGAATGACTGGCAGCTTACCTGGCACTAAGCCTGCCTGCTTAAATGGGAGATTCAGGTCAAGAGCGACCATTTGTCGCACGAGTTTTATCTTTTTGTGAAAGCTAGTTTACAAGTGTTGTACATTAGGTATTCACCAGTATTCACCTATTATTGTATTTGCATAAATACTTTGTAGGGTTGGTTCTCGCCAAGCCGTCCCAAAATAAACTTATTTGCCATTACGTTTTGTCTGTTGATGTTGTGTAGTGGAGTCAAAATTTACTATTGTATGAGGCTGACTGTGATCTGAAGAGGTATGGAGATTGGGGATGGTGTTATATTATTTGCTGAGGTAAAATAACAACACTCCGAGATATCTGCATTTCAGACAGTATGAAGGCTGAATCCAATTTTAATTATACAAGAGATCAAGGAAAGAGTTATTCTACCTCTGTTGTGTTACACCGGGCAGACATTAGCTGTTCAGTCGACTTCCCTCGTGAGAGCCGTGAGAGGATCATCTGCCGATCCCTGGGCGAAATAGCAAAGTCGCACAGTTTCATTCTGGTCATTTCTTTAAGGTCTTTCGTGGAATTTTTGCATTTGGCTATAAAAGAGACTGGATGTAATTAAGGCCCGCGTCGTTTTACCTCCTTTTTTACGAGAACTCGAAGCATCGGACATCTTTACGTGCGAGGAAAGAAATGTGTGAAGGATATGAAGGTGTTGAATTACCACTGACTTCCAGTACCGTCGGAAAATATACGGGATCTTGTGGATTTCCTAATACGGTCATGTATGAATCAATTACAGGATATGGTTTTGGCGGGCGATACAGATTGGAAGGAACGTTCGTTCAGCTTTGCTGAGAGCGCGGTCTTCAAGATATTTATACGCTTGGAATATTGCCTTTACCTTCACAATTCGAGTTCAATATCATCAGTAGATCTTGAAGAGAAAACAAAAGAAGAACATGATGACTGAATTTTGACGATACAAGTAAGTTTTGGGGTGAAAAATATATCGGTTCCAGTCGTTTAAATATATATCGATTCTTCTTTGCGAGTCGTTTGCAAATGACACACGAGTTAAATGTTTACAAAGTGAAAGCTTGTTTACTTCGCCCAAAGTGCCGTGTAAGTTCAAAATATAAAACCCAAGTCTTGTTTTCGTTAGATCTCATTTATTTCCAGTTTTTGTACGTAATAGGTAGCCATATTTCTTTAATAAGGTAATGGAACAATTTACTTTGTAGCCAAAGAGTACAGATCTGATCAATTCATTCTTGTCTATTAAACATTTACTAAAATTAAGAAGAATATTGTGTAATGGTTCTAAGCAATAATTATTAAGTACAAGTGAGTTAAAGAAAGTTCAGAAAGAAACCTGTTAATATACATGCACCTTGCTTGAAATGATCTCATTGTCAATGAAAATTTTACTAAAATCAAGAAGAATAATATTATGGTAATCAAATGCAGTGAGTTCCTTTGATAGGAATAGAAAATGTATATTTTTATGTTGTGGAAACCTATTCCAACAAGATTTGCCATAATTTTTTTTTTAAAATTTCTTAGTACATTTGTATTGCTTTAAGTTAAGCGTAGTTTTTTTTGTTCTATCAATAAATGATTAAATGATTTTACAATATAATTGATCCAAGTCTGACGTGTTACAGTTATTGATAAACATACTTCAAGTATACTTTTTAGGTGTCGAAAAGTTGTGTACTTAAAGTATACTTCTTGTAAGTATACGTTAAGTATACTTTAAGTACAAATGAAGTATACTTTTTAAAGTGTTTATCACCTACATAAAGTATACTTTAAATGTACTGAATTTCTACAAGGGAATACAACCTTGTTCCCAGGATTCTCAGTTGCTGTCCCTTTTTCTGACAATAGCCTGTGCTATTGGTGTCATTTAACTGGATATTGCCAGTGTCTTCTAGATTTGGTTTATGGCTTGTTATGAAGGATATGAGCCAATCAGAAAATTATGGAGAAATGTTTTGAATGAATGACAATAAAATTATAAATTTAACAAACTGGTGACATAAATTAAGGTAGCAAAGAAAAGAATAAAGCACACACAATATGTTTAATACTGTCAGCCAGAACCACCATAATTTCAATCTCAAATTGTTTATTCAATAAGCACAGTGTTTTAGTAAATGTGGGAAGGAGAAAATTGGGAGGTCTTTCAAATATTTTTTTTCTTCCCAGAGGTCAGCAGCTAGAGTCATTGATTTGACTGTTGATATTCATTCTTGTGCTTGTAAAAGATTTTTCTGGGGTGTTATCTTTTACTAGTCAAATTTGATTTCAGGTCAAGAAATTCTTTAACCTAGGTTGATTCTTAATTAAATTTTGTCTTCTGGGGCAAGGAGACAAATGAAATCGGGATTTAACCTACAATTTTGGACAGAATAAAATGTAATAGGGGGGAGTCTAAATTTTCCATCTATTTTGACAGTTCAAGATTGTAGAATGTAGGTTAAATCAAAATTAACCTGATATTATTGAGAATTATGTTTTTTACTATAATAGAGTTCATGTCATTCATTGGCTAATGTTGACGTTGTTGATGTTGTTTATCTTTTTATAATAAATAAAATGATATGTTGAACTTTTCATTTATTTATTTATTTGTTCATTCATTTTTCATTTGTTTATTTTAGATCTTAATTCATCTATCCATGGCTTCGGCAGTTCCAGCATTTCCTTCCACGAAGGAGACCACTAATTATGCCAGATTATGTCGCCTTCTTGTAGATGTTGGTTGTCATGCACTAAGGGAGAGATTTGACCAAATTCATTCACCTGCTGGGCTTTATACCCTTCTGTCAAATCCTGCAGTACATGCTACACTGGATTCACTTCGCAAAAAGAGAGTTCTGAATCCATCACAATGGGGAAAACTGTATCCTGCTATCAGGTCTTCGGTAACGTCAGTTAACTTTGACATAACCCTGCTGATGGTTCTTCTAAGAAGTATTTGCGGTTTGACTCCTCTGGCCACTGGTTGGGATAATCTTCCACCAGCTACAGATCTTACTGTAGAGGCTGACATTGCCCGTGTTAAATTTTATAGAAACACGATGTATGGTCATGCTAGTCATGCCTCTGTTGATGATGTAACATTTAGTACCTGCTGGAATGATATAAAAGACACAATTGTGAGACTTGGGGGATCGCTGTACAGAGCCGCGGTTAATGACCTCAGAAATGAGCCCATGGACTGTGATGTTGAAGATCACTATAAAGAACTTCTGAAGCAGTGGAAGGTGGATGAAGACAACATTAAGATAAAGTTAGAGGAGTTAGGAGAGAAGCTAGAAGAACTTAAAGCATCAGTTGAAGAAGGAAGAAAGGCGCCAGTGGCAAGTAAGTCCAAACAGTTACAAAAGCCTGAGATGCCATTTGACCATCTTTTTTTGTCACATGGAAATGGGATTTCAGGCAAATTGATATGAAGGTGCAAAAAGAGGATTTACACCCCTCCCGTCTTTCCTGAACCTCTCACTAGGCTCCTGACCACATTTCAGGGATGTTGCTAAAATGGGGAACTGAGTCTAACAGTGAACAGTGAACAGGGAACAGAGAGCGAACATGGTAAATGGGAAAATGAAAAATGGTAACAAGACAACACACCCCCATCTGACACACTCTGAACCAAACTTACCTTAAGTGTCCACTTCATCTCAGGTCAGAAGCCTGTGTTTTGATTGTCTGTGTTTTCTGTGTTTTCAAGCCAACTTGTACATGTAATTGGGCTTGTTAAATCTTATAAATCACACTCTACAGGGTGTTTCAAAAGTGTGTGCTGATTTTTCTTCGCTTAAATTTCACTGATTATTGAAAATACCCTTTGTAAAACTATGCATTTTATTAATTCATTTAACATTGAATAACTGAAATATAAGTAACCAGAATGTCTTCCTTTATGTTATCTAACATTTTATAAGTGGTGAGGTGTTGAATGTGTGAGCTCCCAAAGCAATTGCCTGAAGGCACATTTTTCCAGGCGAAGCGTAGTCACTGTCCTAGCTCGTCCAGTGTTTTGGGGGCTGGATCTTTGTATGTTGTCTGGTCAAAGATGATCCAGATGGTCTCTGGGGGGTTCACATCATGTGAGTTTGCCGGTCGGTCGTCTTTTGCTATAAAGTTTCTAAATCCTTCTGGCACCATGTCTGCATGTGTGCCGCCTTTTTCTCTTCAAGGCTTTCCAACCTTTGTTGGTCATATATATCTTCATACCGTTGTGCTCGAAACTTGGAAATTGTGAAGTTGAATTTTTTTTACCTTTCTGTGTTGTAGAATGAATTGTTACACATATACTTACAGCTTTTCAACAACATTTCTTGCACATTTCAATTAAAAAAAACGGCCATCCACTCCTTGGTTTGTCCTCTAAAGTCTTTACTTTTAATCACTTATTCACTTATATCATTCAGACTTGTTCAACAGTTTAGCAATTTCTGTGACTGAGTGGCCAGAAGACTGTAAAAATGGATGCCTGAGCATTAGCACAAACAGTGCAGGCCTTCATTTTTGTGAAAGAGTACAGCAAGTTAAAAAAAACGAAAATATAACGTACAAAATGGGCAGGAAAAGTATGGTGGGAAAAAACTTGCGTTTGTGCACATTTGGGGCAAAACTTCAAAAATAATTCTTTGAATTTTAGTTTGAAATTGCTTTGAAAGGTTATTTATATAAATTTCTTACCTGAATCAGTTTACATTTGCCTAAAGAAGCATTAAATGCTTTTTGCAGAATACAATTTACAATTGGAATTAACGTTTGAAACACCCTGGATATAGACATCTGTTTGGCATGCTTCTTTTTACTGCATGATATGTTCATGAGTACATATACACCACTTTCTTTCACTTTCATTGAGGAAAACAGCCAACAATTTGTGGCACAACCACAGTTTCCTGCAAAATGATGTCTGAGAAACATGCGCAGGAATTTTTTACTGATGATGTGGCATGGGTAGTGCTTCTGATTTTGCTTCATCCAGTCAGAAGCACGACCAGTGCTATCTAGACCCTGACATGGGGGGGGGGGGGGGGGGCTCCAAAAAAAATTTTTTTTCAGCCCTTCAGGCCCCAGTTTGGTCTAAAAATAAGTGGGGCTCAGGCTCCTCCCGTGGATCCACCACTGACTACCCAGATTTGGGTAGTGACATGTCATTAGTCTGGAATTTCTGTGCTCATTCCTCAGACATCATTTTGCGGGGAAACCAGTGGTAACATCAATCCGAAAATGTTGGCTGTTCTCTCAGGTTATTTTCGCATTGCCTTCAACAGATGAAGAAGGGCATTCCTCTATAAGATTTTCAAATCCATTCGTTAATCGCTTAACTTCCTTGTCACTACTCATTCTGTTCTTGGATACTTTTTCCCAAAACAATTAAATCCCACCTCTGCTTTTGTTATAGCCCACTGTAAAAAATACCATAAGATTTTCAAATTGCCGTTTGGGTAGAGCTTCAGGCTGATATTCTCATTTAGTTTCGTTCTTTGCAGGAACTGCCGGTTCAATGGCCGATTTCCTTAATACCATTTTTCATATAGTAATCTATAACTGTGTAATTATTCCAGCCTTTTACATAACAGTGGAACAATAGAATTCAGAGTATGTAATTAGGAGCCTTGCAATAGAACCTGTACCTTTAACTGTATTTTCTGATTAAGGAGTCCTTCCAAGATATACAGAGAGATACTAAACTATGTTTCCTTGCAAGTACACTGATCGGTAATATACAAATTTTCAACACACTCAATCACGTACAGAAGATTTTGCAAAAGTAATGTTTACATGAAGAACTACCCAAACAGCAATTTGAGGATATTATAATGGTATTTTTTTGAAGTGGCCTTTATGTATTTTTGTTGCAATGTATGTAAGCATGTTTTCAGCAGTTGGATCATAAGTACAGACCTGTGTACGTTTCTGATGTCAAAATGCCTGCTGGGCTATTGGCCATCATGAGCCACAATGTAATGACAGATTAGAATTGAAATTTACTGAAAATAAAACTAAAATAAAACAAAACAAAGTACTGTTTAATTTAAACGGGAAAAAAAGATAAGTAATAAAGACTAAACTGAAAAAGAGAAATTTTGGGAAAAAAAGGAAAATAAGAAACATCACAGAACAATAATCTATAGCCCTATTGGGCCACCCTACAAGCATGTGTCTTGAAAACTATGTGATATATTATATTTTTCTTGATTTTTCCATAGCTGTTCTTCTTGTGAACACCATTGAGACAATTGTGCAAGGTGGAGTTGTGATCAACATCTTTAATCAGACAACGCAACGCAACGATGACACGACTGAGTTAGACTATTGGAATTTGATTCTGTCATTAAGGAGACCTTTGCAATCCTTTTGTCAGTACTTGAAAAACATGCTGAATGTCGTTGTACGACGTCATGATACAGGTAGTTTGTTACTTACTGTTGAATGCAGGTCATTGCAGATCCTTGAAGGATTATGGGAAGACTACTGCAGCGGGCATCTTAATAAAATGGCTCAAGAATCTTTGATTACCGCTGAAGTCCTGGAAAAACTTGGACTTAGTGAGATCAAGTTGAAAATATTTATATCTGAAGAGGAGTACAAGAGAGGAAAGCAAATTCTAAGAGAGACCAAAGGTGATCCTGATTCATTTATTTAGTCATCTTTCAACTGCATATTTATTTTATGCTCACCTGTATTGCATGGTCTGCCTGTGTGTAAACTTGTGCTTCTTAGCATAAGTCATGGTAAAATGAGTAACAAAAATGTGCAACTTGTTTCGAAACACTGCTGCAAAACAAGTTGAAAAGCAATGTTGGGCATTTTACCACCCTTGTTCAAACTTGACTTGCAACAAATCAGGTTGCATGAACACTGACTTGACTGGATAACATTATTTTTAGAGGGATTCTCCCCATTCGTTGGAGTTACCCACGGCATCACTTGATGCAAAACAAGTTTGTCTGGGGCCGAACCTGTACAGATTTTGTCCCAACCATTACAACTACTACTCCCTGCAACAATTTTTGCAACCTGTAATAATCTCATTTCTTGCAAGACTCGTTTGATTTGTGTGCGGTAAAATGTGCATCTTTGCTATTCAATTTGTTTAGCAGCAATCAATGTTGTACAACAAGGTGCTTGACATTTTTTGTGTCTGTTTCACCATACCCTAAGAAAGTTGTGGCTTATTCGTACAGATGGGAATGCAACAAGTACATGTAATAGAATGTTCAGGGTGAGCCCCGAGTGGGCTTTGTTATCAAGAATGTTTACAAGTCCATGTACATCCCATAAAGCAGATAATTAACCTTCTAAGTTCAGGTTTCATACAATTAAGGTTTAAATTTGCCATGTGGAAAAATTGGTGGTAAGTATCTTTCCTGATCAGTGTATTTTCTTCTGTGTATTGTTTGAGCAGATTCCAGATGCTTTTAAAATTTTTTTTAGTACTTTATTACAACACAGAAGGTACAAAATATTAACACATAAATGAAAAAGGAAAAGGTTACATGTTGAATACATTAAATAATTAGATATTGTTGACATAATTACATTAACTGAACTCTCTTGTTTTTTACGATCTGCATTCTATTTGGTATCGTAGATTGATTCTATGCCAAGGGCTTTCCAAATCTTCTTTTTGCACCTTATAAACAGAAATGTATACAAAAAAAATAAATTTAGAAGAAATAAATAAATAGATAAATCAATCAATAAATTTATAAAATTAATATAGGTATGCACCGGGTCACTCTCAGACTTCGGATGATATACTCAGTCGCATTCTCAAGCACTGACAAATTTTAGCTTATCACACCACACAAACCTTTTTAAGGCCACAAATTATTTTGTGAAGCCATGTTTTTGAGAGGGTGAGGCCCTTTTATATTTGATGTTCAGGTTGATTGGTTTCTCCATTGTCACAGGTGTCCATTAGCTGAGGTTCTGTTTTTTGATCAACAGAAATGAAGAGAACTCACAGCGAAGCATTTGGACAAGAATCAAGCATGCCAAGCACAAGTGGCAGTGAGTCACAGTTTATGAATGCCCTGTTTTTATGCGAAAATAAAAAATTATTGGGGGAGCATGTGTCCTCCCCCAGCTTGGCAGTCCCTGAGGGTTCGTAATCAATCCTCGCCTGCTTATCAGCCCTGGGAATACAGGAAAATGACAATACATTCTGAAAAAGTAGCTTTTTTGAGCCAATTAGAAGCTCATAAGCAAAATAAAAACCTTTTTGGAGCAGAAAATTTAAATATTGATAGCAGAAGTTTCCAAGAAAGCAAAATTTGTTATAAGATGATATTGTTTTTCTGTAAGTTAACACTGCATAATGCTCAGGAGACATATATTTGTTGTCACAAGGCTGTAATTTTGTCATTTATACGGTATAAGCAATTTCTTAGCTAAATGCATGTGCTTTTTAATAACAGTGAGCTCAAGTCAAAAATTTAACCAGATGGTTGTTTTTTGCTTCCATCAATCACTTTCTAATGGACCTTTCTTCATCTAAACTGTGGATGACAGCCAACTTTCTTGGAATGTACAATGTTAGTTTCCTGTAATCTGATTGGTCAATTTTATATCGGTGTCCACCAGTTACAGTACGTAGTTGCACTGTTATCTAATCCTTTGTGTACTTCCAGGTCAGTATCTTGTCCTCAAATTGGGTTTTGACTTTTTTATTAATGCTGAAAAAGCCAAAGGAGGAGAATGCAGATAATTATTATTTATATGTGGTAGTGGTCTTAATAATATTATTCTCAAACTACCGGTAATAAAACTCTGGACACCTGGAGTTATTATGAAATCACAGTGAAGATCAGGGCATGTGAGCAAGCCACAAAACCACAACCCATTCCGGTAATTACTGTTGCTGCTCACAGTTTAGTTTTGCCACAACTGAATGACTTGTCCCTTGCAGCACAATAACTTTCGAGAAATATTTCTGTTGTTCACAGTTTTGTGAGTTTCACAGTGATAGCAAACAACTGCAGTATAAATATTGTAACAGATACACAGTGACAGACTGCAATTGTTCCAGCTGAGGTTCAGGTGGGAAGCCAATAACTTCGCATTTATGATGGTTAAACTTCGAGGGAATAGTTGGTTTTTTTGTGAAAGGTCTTTTTTTTTACTGTTTAAGGTTTTGGAAATGTGGTTTTTTGGTACAGAATTAAAAAAAATATGTTGAATGAATGCAAAACAGTACTTTCTTTCACCTTGTGCAGAAGAGATTAAACTAACCCTGCATCAGGTTTTCTGGATTGCTAGGCTTTCAGTATGTCATACTGAGTTGCTAGCTGTTGAAGTTGTAGAATAATGTGAATTGAACTGCCATCCGGTGTTAACATGTTGTTATTTTAATAATATAATAATTTATTAATAATTAATACATTATTATATTATTAAAATAACAACATGTTAACACTGGATGGCAGTTCAATTCACATTATTCTAAACAAATTATTTGTTTAGATTTACCAACAACAGCTGCTGAGGACACCTTGAAAAGTCTAAAGGAGATGCCTTCTGTTCTTAATTTAATGACGTCTATGATAACTGCACGAAATTTGGGAGCTGATATGACTGCAGAAAAAGACAGCAATGGGAAGGAAGGCCAACCAGTAGAAAACAAGGACTGGAATTTGCTACACAGTGCTGCCAAGGGTGGTGATGTGTCCATAATTGAAATGATGCTGTCCGATGGAATTGAAGTAAACTCAAAAGATAGCTTTGGTACAACGCCGTTGATGATTGCTGCTACTGAATGCAAAAAGCAGGCAGTAGATTTCCTTCTCTTTAAGGGTGCAGATCCATCTCTGACAACCAACACCGGAAGAAATTCACTTCATGCTGCTGTTGAAGGTGGTGACGTCTCCATTGTGGAAACAATGTTATTACATAACATTCTTCTTGATTCAAGTGATAATGATGGAATCACTTCATTAATGATAGCGGCCACTTTGAATAACGTCGAGATAGTAGAGTTTCTTCTTAGAAAGGGTGCAGATCCATCTCTGACAACCAACACCGGAAGAAATTTACTTCATGCTGCTGTTGAAGGTGGTGATGTCTCCATTGTGGAGAGAATGTTATTACATAACATTCCTCTTGATTCGACTGATAATGATGGAATCACTTCATTAATGATCGCGGCGGCTTTGAATGACTTTGATACAGTAGAGTTTCTCCTTAGCAAGGGTGCAGATCCATTTTTGAAAACTAATGAAGGGAGAACTGCTTTGTTTTTTACTGCTCAAGGAGGCCACACTGGTGTCATAGAGCGCATGCTTTCTTTTGGTTTGGATATTGACTCATCAGATGACGAAGGCCTTACAACATTAATGTGGGCTGCAGCATTCGCTAATTTACAGGCCGTAAATTATCTGCTTGAGGAAGGTGCTGATCCATTGCTGACAGCCAATAATGGTTGGAGCCCTCTGCATATTGCTTCTATTGGTGCTGACACTGCAACTATTGAGACTCTCCTCTCATATGAAATTGATGTTAATGTTAAAACGAATTCTTCCATGCTTGTGACACCTTTGATGGTTGCCATTGCATACCAAAACATGGAAGCCATAAATTGTCTCCTTAAAAATGGGGCTGATGCATTAGTAGAGGCTGGCCTTGATCGACTCAGTTCGCTGCTCTTTGCTTTACATGGGAATCCTGAATCTACTGTCTTGTGCATGATTGAAGCCATGCTTTCAAGTGGACTTGACATCAATGCCCAGAGCAGTGATGGCTGGACAGTTTTGATGTATGCGGCTTTTTTAAAGAAGCGTGAAGTTTTCGATTTTCTTCTTTTCAAGAGAGCAGATCTGTCTTTAAAAGACAAGAATGGAATGACTGTGCTGCACCATGCTTCAGTAGGAGGTGACATCACCATAATTGAAAGGTGTCTTTTATATGGACTTGACATTGAATCTAAAGACAATGATGGAAAGACAGCATTGGATCTTGCGGCTTGTAGTGGTAGCCGCGATGCTTTTCGATTTCTGAGAGAGAGACGTTCGATAAAGAACAGTTGAAGCATACCTCTCTGGTTCACTAGAAAGATTTAAGTTGTTGATCTCTTCTGAGGCTCCTCTTTTCACTTGAGGCGCATTTGTTTATTTCAGTGATATGTTACTGGAGTGTTGTTTTTATGTCTCACCACAAGAACTATGCCTTTGTCAGGGTTGTCATTAAGAGCCGGGGGCCGGGGATTTTACCCGGCTACTAAGAGAGTGGCCCCCGGCTACTTTTATTGGAAAATAGAAGAAAAATAGAACCAAAAGAAATCCCTATATATTTGATTCCCCGCCTACTTGTTGTATTTACCCGGCAACTTGAAATCTTAGTGACAACCCTGCTTTGTATTGTTTCACTATATAGCCTTGCAAGTTCGTGCACTAATCTTTAAACCTCGTGAAACTATATGTCCACACACCACTCACAAAACTTTGTTTGGTACTCCGTTCCAAACTCGCCCCATGTAAGGGAATCCAAGAAAGTCATTGGATTCTGGACTGCACGTTGTGGATTCCGGATTCCATGCACTGGACTCTAGTCTTTGTCAGTGGAACTTGGATTCTGGATTCCAAACGTTAGTGGGATTCCGGATTCCTTGAGCTGTATTCCGGATTGCAAAGCCCAGGATTCTGGATTCCGCAAGCAAAAATTTCCCGGATTCCAGAATCCGGATTCCCTTACATGGGGCAGAGTTCAGATGGGGGATAGTGTGGAGTGCTGCGAAGTGAAGAGGGGAGCAAAAAACAATCAAAAACAGCCTCGAGAATCTGAACAACTCGACTAGGATAAGCTTGGGAATCTGGTACTTTCCCTACTAGCAGAGGCTTCTTATCCCTAGTATCTGATGAGTGGCTCTTTTCCTGCCGCCACCTAATACAAGGGAAAAGAGGCCTCTGCTAGCAGGGAATTTAGTACTATACATTTGTTGACATTTACTCATTACCTATCCTTTGCACAGTAATGATCGTTGTTTTTTTTATTCTTGCTGTGTAGGCTGCGTGCGTGTTTCATACCTATCTACAGGAGCCATCACGTTTTTTACACGGTCATTATATCAAGGCCTCGGTCTGAGATCTCCGGCCCTGCACTGACCTCTCTTGGTTAATAAGTGTTATTTCATTCCACTGTTTTATAATTCATCAACCCAGATTGAGTTATTTTAGTGTTTACCCAGGCGAATACTACTTATTGACCTGTTATATCTTTGCTGGATAACGAATGATTTTAACAAAGCCATTTGTAGAAGACGTCATAAACTGCCTTATTTTGGAAATTTGGGTACAATCGTTCATTTTGCTACCCTGTTTCAAGACGAGACCCCATTTAATGACACTGATATACGATTCATTTCGTTTTGCATACAGAAATAATTTTTTTAAAAACTTTGATCATGGAGTTACTATTTTTTTTTTTACAAAAAAGGATCTGTGCAGGCCCCGAAATGATCCCGACCACGAATGATCCCCAGTTCAGGGCTGGGGATCATTTCGGGGTCGGGATCATTTCGGGGGATGTAAATACGCTGTTAGCGTCACATGCCCGTGAGGCCAAATAAGGGAGCCCCCTACTGGGGAGGGGGGTTAGGTTGCATTTGCCAATAAAATTGAAAAAGAAGCATGAATATCAACGTAGAAACTGTTAAGTCTTCAGCTTGTAGGTCGAAAAACGAGAAAAAAACTGTTGTTATTCGTTAAGGTGTAACTGTTTTTTGGTAACCTGAGATCAGGCCCAACTTGAGCGGTTCTCATACATTCTCTCTAACGGCTACCGCTGAAATCTATTTTCGTTTCGCCTTGCCCGCCGGAATGTAATTTTCAAAGCGAAACAAAAATAGAGCCTGATCTCAGGTTAGTTTTTTGTTAGATCATGGCTATAGTAAGCGTTACAGAACCAGTTGTACGACAACTTGTTTACAAACTGTGAATTGTATCACCAGCATAGCATTACATTGTTGAGTAGAAGTGCTTTATAAAATATATGTACTGGAATGCTAGATTACGTTTGCACCAGGTTCTCTGTGTACTTTACTGTAATATGGCTCTGTCGATTCTAAGCCCGTTCATCCCTTCCGAGCATATGTTTGTCGAGTATTAGCCTGAGTAGCAGGCGTCGAAAGGGTATAGGGGATAGGGAGGAGGGGGAAAAGGGAGGGGGGTTGGGGAGAGAGGGTTTCCCTTTTCCTGGCTTTCGCGCTTTTCTCCATTCTCGTCCCCAGAACCTCCTGGAGACCTGAGTACGAGGACCAGGAGGTTCTGGGGACACGATATTTGAAGTCAGATGATTCTAGGAATTCCAGTCATTTCTGATTTTTTACAACGTTGCTAATAGCGGCAAGAGCCATACTCTTGATAGCGGGCACTTGCTCTTGCCCAAGTGTCAATGACTGTAAATCTTCCAACTTACTATTGAATCGGAAATGACTGGAAGTCCTAAAATCTAGGACTTCTAACCCTGTGTCCCCAGAGTCTCCTGGTCCTCGTGCTCAGGCCCCCAGGAGGCTCTGGGAACGAGAATGGCTTCCCCCCCACCCCCTTCCCTTTTCGCGGCTGCCACGCAGGCTATCGAGTATTTATCAAGTCGTTCCCACAGTGAGGCATTTGTCATCAAAGTTCGCCCACGAGTGGGACCTTTCTGAAGTACTCATTGTATTGCTGCCCTCTCCCCATGTATTATTATCATTGTCATTATCATTACCATTATTAAAAGTGATACCGCCTAATCGTAAGCTAAGTGAGGACCCAGTCATGAATGTTCGAAAGGCGGAAATCATTACTGAGTTTACGCAACAGGACGGCAGAAAGAAGATGACGGTAAAACGCTAGTGCGTGACAAGCGTGACAGGGTTATTATGTACGTGTTTTTTCGTGATCTTCACCTGATATTCGATATTTCTGGTCTTAACGAAAAGATCTGTTTAAAGGAGAGTGAGGTTTGGTGAAAAGTTATTTCAAACAGAATTGTTGTCACACAAGGTTTGCCGTCTTCTTTACTCTTCCGTCCTGTTGGGCAAGTTCACTATAAGGGGGTTTACCCAACGACGACGGCGACGTGCTACGAAAACGTCACTTAAAAAGTGAATTTGCACTGCCTCAAACTTTATTGTGCTTATTCTATCTCGTTTAATTCATCAAATGTTGGCAAATTTTTTGGAGTTGAATTCTAAAGGACTGCATCAAAGTTCAGGAAAAGAAAAAGAAAGTTGTTGTCTTTTGTTCCCTTCCTCGACAAAATGTGAAATTCGGCAGTTTCACAGCCGGGGGGGGATACTTTAGGAATTTCTGGGTGGGGGTGTGCCGCTGGAACCATGGAACCCTTAACCTATACCAGAGCTAGTTCAGCTGAATTTTGCTACCCTATACTACAGTATACTCCCCAAATCCCCCCTATCCTAGAGTAACTGTTTTCCCGAAACTACTGAGGTCACTAGCACAGTCTAGCCAAAACAAAGCCTTATCCTACAGTCTAGATAAAATCTTCAACCAATTGATCATTTTCCTGAAAAATGATACCCTTTTCTAGACCCAAACGCTCTGATTTATATGCCCTGTTTGAATACCATACCCTTCACAGCGGCACATACCCATATAGCCCATATATGGCAGTACCCCCGGGCACGTAGTAGTCGTGCAGCGACGGCAGAGAAATGTACAAAAAAGCGTGATGCACGCGCAACATTGTTTTGCTTGTCTAAACCTATTGCTCTTTTGCCGTTCTCGCTCCCGTCGTCGTCGTCGTTGCGTAAACTCCAACGCACTTGGTTTTCCTTGAATTTTTGAAGCAATGACCAGCTTACAAAAAAGAAGGACCGGATTTTAATAAAGGATCTAATCAGCACGAAGTGCAAATATATATAAAAAAACAGGCAAGGCTGATTTTATAGTCTTCCCGACTGTAAAATCAGCCTTGCCTCTTTTGTTTTATACTTTGGTTTTCCTTACACTTATCCGCTAGTCTTTTAATTAACAATTATTCCTCGAAGGGCTCTGAGTCGATAGCCTATGAGGCCGAAGGGCCCATTTTCTGTTTTGGGCTATGGGCCTTTAATCCTTTTTTGTCGCCAAAAATTCGGCGCTTTTCGCTACTAGCGGGCTATAACATATGGCTTAGTAGTAGCTCAACCAATCAGAATGCAGCATTGATAATAGACCACTAATTGAATTTTACTAATAGGATAGCGCGTGATCCATCCTCGGAGACTCGGGGACAGTCAGTTAGGTAGGAAAAATGGCGCGATGAAAGTTGTCAGGGTTCTTCCGCCAATACCAACATTCTCGTCCCCAGAGCCCGTCGAAACCCGCCTTGCGCGCGCATCACGGAAGCTCGCAGTTTGTTGGCACGCAAAGCTTTGTAATAGCTTTCGGTTTTGTTCCTCTGGATATCTTCTTAAATCAGCATTCCCGTTGTATTTCAGTACAAGCCATTCAAGGTAGGCAACTGATATTTCTATTTATTATTAAGTCCCGAAACTTGAACTTGAGGCCCTAGTCTTATCTTGGGTTTTGTAGACCGTTTCACCATCTTGGCTGGGGGGCAAACACGGCTAGTGCAGTGAATGTATGAGATTTTGGCTCACTTGGAACCTCCATAACGCCGCTACAAAGAGGCGGATTTCCAGCATTTGCCTCTCCTTTACACAGTTTTATTGATATCATTCATTCAACAGAAAATAAGGCTATTTATAAACAATTATAAATCTTCTCATGTGGCTTAAATTTTCATGGTAATTTGCATAATGTTGATTACAAGGGTTTGTATGAAATCTTAAAGGTACTAGATCTGCTATAAACCCTTCCATTTAAAAAAGTTATTTCTCAAATGATTAAGAATTTAGCAAAAAAAATTACACAGGCCTATCAAGCGAGAGTTTAACTTTCAGAAAATTGATATCCGAGGTGTCAATTTTCACACCAAAGGTGTTATTTCCGATTTGTATCGCAGGCTCAAAACTTCAGTAATTTCGTATTTCTGGCTTTCTCTCGATAGCTAGGAATATAAAAAAAACTTGAACTGAGTTATACTTAGTTTGTTCATTTACCTTTAAATTCCAAAATATTCCGGGAATTGCTGGAAATCAACAGATTTTTCCTTTACATTATGTGAATAAACCTGACAAGTTTCATCGCGGTATCGTAAATCCTCATCTTTTTACATCTTTTGTCTTCAGTGAGGTCCAACACAGCCGCAAAATTGCCCCTAATTCACCCTTAATTTTCGTCGCGCTGCACTGTTTTCTCCGTCGCCATCTTGAATTCTTACGAGTAAACCGCTGTTGTTGATGTTTGTTGTGACCCTGCCCCTTTTGTAGCACGGAAAGTGGCGAGAAAATATTAGGAAAATCTTCGTTTGAGCTCGTTGCGTGATGTGTGTGTTTTAGCCTCAGCAACGTGCTAATTTGCATAACAGATCATTAAATTGGGACCTTATCTGTCTTACAAAGATCATATATGTGATGTGACTCCAGAACGCTTTTTACTGCCACAGGAATGATTTAGAAATATCAAAACAATTGTACTTAATTTGGGGAAGCAGAATGTAAGCAAATTGTGCTATAATTTGCCCTGGCTTACTTGAAACTCATAATGCGTTATTGCATTTGAAAATTGCAACATTTCTGTGAACAACGGAAAGAAGCGCATTGGATTTCAGCCCTGTGATTATAAATATTTCCAAAAAAGTGCTCTTAGATAACAAACTTTGGCCTTCGTTTTCTCGTTTTCTCGGGGGTACTTCCTAGTACCGCTGGATGGAGTCACATTTTCATGACTGGATTCATTGACTATAATTGGGGCTACATTTTTAATAGAGTTACTAGAATGGGTTTGCACAGTTTTGGAATTTGGGCGGTAAGAATATTTTGGTAATCAGGGATTTAAAAATGGAAGAGTTTTACTACATTAAGTTTAACAAATATGCATGTTAATTCATTTCAGAATCACCAAGTAAACCCCCCCCCCCCAGATGGTCTTTCAGTCAGATCAAAAATCTGTTTTAAGCATTAATTATACATCAATGCTTCAATTTTATTAATTATAGAAATAATATCTATTTGCAGACTAATAACATGTATTTAAAAGTTTAAAACATCCTTTCAAACAGATTAATGTTGGCTTGTTAACTAGAAGCATCCATTCCAAGAATTGCGACTTTTGAAAACTTTTTGCAAAGTTTGAGGTTAAGTGTACAATACAAATCCTCAACACATAATTATATTTGCAAACCTCAGCGAATTGACTGTAAGTACAGCTAAATGAATAAAACTTTTAAACATGGAAAAAAGACTGATAGGAACTTGTTAAAGAAAGATAATTATAAATTGGGTAAATGATGCAATGTTTTGTAAGTCATCAAGCATTGTTGGTTTTGTTGGTGAAATTTGATCCATGTGAACTATTTTGATTTGGAGACAATTCTATTATTTTAATAAACAATGTGATTTCTAGCTCTTCATCAAGCCTTAATTTAGTAATTAGAAAAGAAGATGTGATTCTTGAAAATAACGCATTTCCTTGAGTTGCTTCCACTGTATACATTAATGGAAAACATCTTAAAATCATCATGACTCTTACCCATAATTTTAATTATTTTTATTTGCCACAACATGATACGCTTAAAACATGTTTGATTACTGTGAGTTTTGCATGACCTTCTGGAAAAATTATTTCACATGAACACGCCCTACCCAAAAATTTGGCTTTTAACCCCCTCCCCTCCCTTCTGAAAGTTCCATTGTCCAACCCTTAGGGGAGGTATGGATATTTTCTGGAATTATACATTCCCCGTTGTGGAGTCCAGATTCCTTGTCAATGCAGGAACTTGGATTATGGATTCCGATCATTAGCAACATTCTGAATTGCTTGAGCTGAATTCCAGATTCCACCAGAAAAAAAATTTCCTGGATTCCCAATTAACATTCATTAATGGTGTGAAATCCTCTAAATTAGCATATTTTACTAGCATGTAGCCCAGTCTAAATGGTTAGCAGTACATGTAATAGGCAGGACAACCAGAATAACAGGCAGCAAAAGCCTAAACTTGGGTGCAGGTTTGCATTTGAAATTATTAAACATTATTGTTGGTCGAGTAGGTAGCAAGTATTCCACTGGAAGCAGCAAAGTTGCCCGCTGCCAGCTCATTTTGGCTGGGCTGAGCATGCAAAGAAAGTCATGTTCGATTAGCCTGGGGCTAGTGGTTGCTATTCGGCTAGAGAATTCTGTTCTAAATTTACCCAATGGGCAAGAGACATGTTTTGTAGAATTCGAATTATAAAAGAACTTTAATCAACCCTTGCCTTGTTATCAAAAAAAAATTTTGGTGCTAGTTACTGAATGACTCTTGGGCCAGTTCATGATTTGTAAAACTGACAATCTTTGCACCATTTTACCCTCTGTGAGTTCAAGTTTCAGATAATCATTTAGTGTAAAGTATTGTCAGTATTGTGTTCATACCTTGATTACCTGATATGTGGCTGTGTAAATTTACTCCATTTGTCCCTCTCAGATGCCATTTTGAAACATGAGTTTAGCAATGAATACAAAGCAGTGGACTGCCCCAGAAATTACATTGGTGTGTAAAAAATTGACTTTGTACTCAGGCAATGGCACCGTGCCCAAATTCCAGTGTGGGTTCTTGAAAAAAGAGTGTGTTCACATTAGTGCTCAGCCGGTGAAATGCACGGGGACCAGGTATGAATGCTGCCGTAGTTATCTTCTGTTTGTTGATTAACAGAAATGAAGAGAACTCACCCTGAAGCATTTGGACATGAACCAAGCATGCCAAGCACAAGTGGCAGTGAGTCACAATGTATCAATGTGATGTTTTTATGTGAAGAGTGGATGTCCTCCAAGGGAGGTTTGCCTACTTTCAATAGAGAATTTGCAATAAGTTTAGCCAAAATATCAATTGGCGAGATCAAAGTCCATTGCTATGTCTCTCGAAGTAGTGAATCAGATAGAGAAGACGCTAGAAAAAATAATGTAAATTTAATCACTGCAACAAGCATACCTGGAACCTCAGATCCCCTGGATTGGCTTATGGTTCCTCCAACAGAACTTTCACATCCTGATATTGTGATTGGCCACAGCAGGAAGTTTGGCATCCCTGCCTGGTGCATTGTAAAGACTACAAACTGCAAATGGGTGCAATTTGTGCATGTGTTTTGTGAAGACCTTGGAAAATACAAACAAGCGGATGCAGAAAACACTGATACAATTGAAGACAATGAGAAGAAGCATAAAAGCGAAATTGCACTCTGCAAAGCAGCCAATGCTGTGGTTGCTGTAGGAACAAGATTACAGCAAAAGTACAGTAGATGTCTCCCAGACAGGGAGGTTCATGTCATTACACCTGGAATTTCTGAAAAATTTACTACCCTCTCGGAGCAAAAGGTTGGAAAAGTCACACATGATCAAGACGAGTTCCACATCTTTGTCTTTGGTAGAGGAACTTTTGAGGACCTTTCTCTGAAAGGTTATGATGTTATTGCTGATGCAGTAGGTTCTCTTGGAGAGAAATTTAAAATGACATTTGTTGGTTCACCTGAAGGTCAACATAGAAAAATAGAGGATTGGTTACTACAGACAACAAGAATAACACGTGATCAAGTGACTATTCGTGGATACTGCGATCAAGAAGAGCTGAAGACAATGTTTCTCGAAGCAGACTTGGTCGCTCTTCCGTCTCCCACTGAAGGCTTTGGATTGGTTGCCCTTGAAGCTATTTCTGCAGGGGTTCCTGTTCTTGTTACTAGTAAATCTGGCATTGCTAAAGCTTTGGAGAAAGTGGAAGGTGGGCATTTGGCAGTTGTAAAGTCAGGAAACCGGGAAGAGTGGCTCCAGAAGATAACACAGCTCTCCATGCAGAATCCAGATGAGAGATGTGATGGTGCGGTTCGTCTTAGGGAAGAGTATCACAAGATTTACTCTTGGGACACTCAGTGTGCAAAATTCAAAGAATTTGTGCAAAGTCTAACTGACAGGTCGGCCAGTGCAGCTGCAGTTGGATCAAATGGTATGCAATGTGAAAGGATGTTTTTACAGTTTAACTACAGCATTGTAACCAAGGCCACCTTTACAAAATTTACCAATTGGATTACAAGTTGCCGGGTAAAAGCAATTAGTAGGAGGGGAATTGTCTAGCTTGAAAGTTCTTGGATCAATTTAGATTTCCGAAAGCTGTACCCCCCTATCCCTCCCCTGATCATGAGTCAACATTAACACTTACTTCTCACTTATGGCAAAATGTTGGGTTAGGGAAGGGGTGGGTTGGCAGTTTCCCAGAAACCTAGATTGATCCAAGGTTTTTGGGTTCTATTTTCCTTTTGTTTCCTATAAGAGTAGCCAGAACTCACGCTCATAGTAGCCGGGGAAAATCCTGGCCCGCGGCTCTCAGCGACAGCTCTTAGTGCGATTACAGAAAAATGACAATGCATTCTGAGGAAGTGGTTTTTGGAGCTAATCAGCTGCTCGTAAGAAAACAAAAAGCTAGGTCAAGCACAAAAATAATGTGAATATTAATAGCGGAAGTTTAATTTCTAAGAAAGCAAACTTTGTCACAAAACAATGTTTTCTATGTTTGTGGCTTTAAATATTACGCTTGCGATTCATATTTATTTGTCACAATCATATTTCCTTGCTAACATTGCTGCCCTTTTCAAAAATTAAAGCAATGTTTACGTTTTTCGCTACTATCAATCACTTTTATGGACCTCTCAAGAAATATACCAGGTTCTCTTCAGCAGGTCACGTGTTAAGCTTGCAATATTTGGCAAATTTCGATTTGTTTCTTTCGTTTGTTGATAACCTCCTAAAGTTCTTGGAATTTATTGCTATTTTCCTTTAAACCAATTGGTCAATTTTGTCCGGGTGGCCTCGCATGCAGTTAAGTTGCATTGTGATCATATCCCTTGTGTCCCTCCAGTTTAATATACATTTATGTACAGGTTCTCAAAATGGGTAACTGTTAGTCTTTATAAAAAAAAGTCTTTTGATTAGGCTCAGAACGTTAAAAATGAAAAATGCAGTTGTTAGTAATTTTTATATACCGGTAAATTAATTTGCGATTGCATTTGTTCTTATTTTGAAACTAGTAAAACCTTGAACACCAGAAAAATTGTAAGAATGTTTGTTGTGTTATGACCAATCACAGCAAAGGTCAAGACAATGCGGCATGCGAGCAATCCAGTAAACCATGAGCTAATTACCTTTGCTGTGTGGGGTTTAGTGTTCCCATGCGTGATAGGCTTGTCCCTTTGCAACGCAATAACTTTCCAGAAATACTTCTTGTGTTGAAGGTTTTGTGAATTTCACAGTAATAGCAAACAACGTTTTAAAATTGTAACAATATTCAGTGACAAACTAGCTTGTTGGCTGGGTGAAAGCTCTGGGCGGGGGCAGCTGGGCTAAAACAATAACTATTAGGATATGAGAGAATTGTTAGATTTTAAGGTCTTCTTTCTTATTGTGTAACTGAGGCCTTTGTTATAATCATGGTTTATTATTATTGATATAAAATTAAACAAAATAACTGGCCATGAATGAATGCAAAATGCAAAAATAGTAGTAAACAGGTCACAATATTCTGGTACCTTATGTCCATAGGAAAACAAACTATCTTAACTACTTGCACGGTAGTCTGGTTTGCTAGCTCAGTATGAAATACTGAGTCACTTGCTGTATAATTTTGAAGTGTAATGTAAATTGGGCTGTCATCTAGTACTGTTATAAAATTTATTGTTATTTTAATTGTATGAATGGTTCTGTTGTTTAGATTCAGCAACATTGGCTACAGGTGGTTCATTGAAAGGCTTAAAGCAGATGCCTTCTTTTTTTCTTGATTCAATGCAAGCTTCCAAATTTGGAACAGTTGTCATGGGTGGTAAGACAGCAGACGTAGACAACAGTGGGGAGGAGTGCCAACCAGCTGAAATAAAGGAGTGGAATTTGCTACACAGTGCAGCTGAGGGTGGTGATGTATCTATCATTGAAATGATGCTTTCCCTGGGGTTTGATGTTAACTCAAAAGATAGTTTAGGCACAACGCCATTGATGGTCGCTGCTGCTAAAGGCAAGAAGCAAGCTGTAGATTTCCTCCTCACCAAGGGTGCAGATCCATCCTTAAGAACCTTGATAGGAAGAAATTTACTTCATGCTGCTGTTGAAGGTGGTGACGTGTCCATTGTGGAGACAGTGCTTTCACTTGGCATTCCTGTTGACTCCACTGATAAAGATGGACTCACTCCATCTATGATTGCGGTCTCTGTTCTCTCTAACAACAAGTTAGAGACCTTGGAGTTTCTCCTCCGCAATGGTGCAGATCCACTTTTGAAAAATGAAAATGGAAGAAATGTTCTGTTTATTTCGGCCCAATATGGTTGCACTGATGTGATACAGCGATTGCTTTTGTTTGGTTTGGACATTGATTCACGAGATGATGAAGGTCACACATCATTAATGTGTGCTGCAGCATTAGCCAAGTCACAGGCTGTAAATTGTTTTCTTGCAAATGGTGCCGATCCAACGCTGACAGCCAATAACGGTTGGAGCCTCTTGCATTTTGCTTGTCAAGGTGGCAATACTACCATCATTGAAACTTTTCTCTCACGCGGACTTGATGTTAATATTAAAGACACTTACAGAGGACTAACGCCTTTGGCAGTTTCCATTTTGTACAAAAAACTGGATGCCATAAAGTATCTTCTTCAGAAAGGGGCTGATCCATCACTGGAGCTTGGCATATTTCCAGTCAATATGATACAGCTGATTATGATCGCAATGCAATCAGCATCTAGTATTGACATAATAGAGGCCTGTCTTTCAAATGGACTTGACATCAACGTGCAAACCAGGGAAGGTCTGACACCTTTGATGACTGCAGCTTATTTGAACAACCCTGCAGTTCTAGATTTTCTTCTTCTGAACGGTGCAGATCCATCTCTGAGAGATAATTCTGGGAGGAATGTTTTGCACTATGCTGCAGAGGGAGGTGCCATCACTGTTATTGAAAAGTGCCTTTCACGAGGACTTGACATTGAGTCTAAAGACCATGAGGGTAAGACACCCATAATGCTTGCAGCATCTAGTGTCAAAACTGAAGCTGTGAAATTCCTTCTACAGAGAAGTTTAAACAACCAGGGAATCTAATTTTTTTGCAGTCTCTTCCCTCGGGTGTGGCATGTGCTGCTGTTATTATTTTCACCATATTCTCATGTACTTTCTATCCAGACTGAATTAGAATTTATGAAATGGAAAATTCATGAAAGGAAACGTGTATAGGATAGATAAGTTGGATTTTGTATTTGTATTTTTTGTAATAGATATTTTCTCCATTTTATTTTCGAGTACAGCAACAAAGAGATACCAGTTACAAGAAAAATTGGGAAGGGCAAGATACAGTAGAACTAGTTATTTGCTATGTTTGTATTTGTAACAATGACGCCCGGATGGCCGTGTAATAAACCAGATTTAACTATGAAAGAAACTACACTTCATTCGGCCGCCATGACACCCGGAAAGCATGGCCCACACAAATATCCATGATCCTTTGCACGTTTACAGTATCCGAGAACTTCCGCTAACACAACTTCCGGTAGACAATACTATCGATACATTATATCCCTTCCTTTCTTTAGAAACAAACAGACTACGAGAAAAAGTCAATAAGGCACTTAACAGCGAAAAAATAAATCTGTATGAAAACTGTTCTACTAGCATTAAGTTATCTCAATAAGACTGTTCAATAAAATCTAATAACATGAAACCAAATCTAACAGACTTCAACGTAAGTCCAACGTGTCAACAGAGTTCAGTTCATAAAGTACATAGTCCTTGTATTTCTTCGGCATTCTGACAGTCCGCCTTGTTCTTGATGTCGCTATACTCTCCTCCAGTGGAAGAGTATTGGGTGCTGCTTGAGAAGCGGCCTTTGTGGCTTCCAGGGATTCCCCTGGTGGGTTGTACCGCTTAACAAATGAACTGTTTCGCCTGTATTCCACACCCTCCTTTGACCTAACAGTCACCTCACTGCCTTCCTTAGTCAGCACTGTGTATGGCTCATTCTCGAAATTTGCTTCTAGCTTGCCAGACGTTTTCGTGTTCTTCAGTAAAACCAGATCTCCAGGCACTACAGGGTTTTCGGCTGCAACCCGCGTGTTGTCAGCATGTTCCTTGTGGGTGAACTTGTGATTCCAATCACGATCTCTGACCCTCTTGTCCAACAGGTTACCAGCGCGCCTCAACTCTGGAAGTTTGGTTTTCAACTCCCTGCCAAACATAAGGAACGCAGGAGTAACACCAGTGCTTGTTTGCGGTGTGGTTTTATATGCCAGCAGAAACTTCTGCAGTTCTTCACGCAAGTTTTTTCCCTCAACATGAGCAACTTTTAAAGTCTTAAGCAGAGTTCTGTTCTGTCTTTCAACATGTCCATTGGCCTGCGGCCAGAGCGGTGGGGAAGTCAAGTGTTCGATTCCGTGATCAGAGAGAAACTTCTCAAACTCCAAACAGCAAAACTGAGGACCATTGTCAGACTTGAGAGTAAATGGAAATCCATATCTGGAGAATACCTGTGTCAGTACATCCATCACTCTCTTAGCTGCTGTTGAGCACATGATCGCTACCTCGTAGAATCTACTGTAATAGTCTACGACTACGAGCAAACTTTCTCCGGTGGGAAGGGGGCCCATCAGGTCTATGGCTATGTTTTGCCAGGGTCCAGTAGACGGCTTCACTCTCTTCATGGGCTCAGGAACCTGTAACTCACCTACGACTTGGCAGCCATGACAAGACTTACACACCTGCTCTGCGTCTGAGTCAATCTTTGGCCACCAAACCTTTGTCCTTAAACGTGCCTTCATTTTTACGATACCCTGATGTCCCTCGTGGGCAGGACGCAAGACTTCTCCCCGTAAAGCCTTTGGAACAACAATTCTTGTACCGCGCAAAACAAGTTTGCCTAACACACACAATTCATCCTTGACACACACATAAGCTGTCATCCTACATTGAGACCAGTCCCCACTTAAAATGTACTGTCTCAGGCTAGCAATTTCTGGGTCACTATCAGAAACCAATTCGACTTGTTTCACTGTTAGGGCAACAGGTAAGCTTTCCTCAGCGACGGCCTTAACAAAGTCAAATTCCTCCCCACTTGTGTCTTTAGGTTTACATTGATTGAGTCTTGAGAGAGAGTCTGCGATATTCGTTTTGCCAGGCCGATAAACAACTCTGTAGTCATACCCCTGCAACCTCAGAACCCAACGTTCGATACGTGCTGATGGTTTTGAAAGCCTGCCAAAAATACACTCGAATGGTTTGTGATCAGTTGCAAGTTCAAATTTGCGCCCGTACACATAAATGTTGAACCTCTCACAAGCCTATACTAGGGCAAGGGCCTCTTTCGCGGTCTGGCTGTATCTCCGCTCCACTTCAGAGGCACGAGATTGCTCGCCACTGGCCGTCTTGAAGTTGAGTCAGCACTGCACCTAAACCCTGTGGACCTGCATCGGCAATAATACGTGTGTTACAGTCTCCTCTGAAATATGCAAGCGTAGAGGCCTGTGCAACTAGCCGTTTCAACTTTTGGAATGACCTTTCCTGTGCTTCACCCCGGATGAATGGCTCATTCTTCCTCAGGAGGCTCCTGAGTGGTTCTGCGTCCTGCGCGAAGTTGGGAAGAAACTTTGAAGAATACTGTACAAGCTGAACAAATGATCTGACCTGTGAAGCATCTTGTGGAGGGCTTGCATTCAAGATGGCAGCTACTTTCTCTTCACTGGGCGCAACACCTTGCCTGCTCAGATCATGACCGAAGAATGTAAGCTTGGGAAAACGAAACTGGCATTTGTCCCCGTTCAAGGTTAGTCCTTTCTCTTTCAATCGGGTCAGTACAGCATGCAAATTCCTGTCGTGTTCCTTTATGCCACAGCCATGCACAATCAAATCATCTGCCAAATTAGCCACTCCCTCGCAACCATGCAAAACATCCGCCACAATTTTCTGGTACTTTTCAGGCGCCGATGTTACCCCGAACATCAAATGTTTGTACCTGTACAAACCCCGGTGTGTAACAAACGTTTTCATCCAATTCCACCTGGTGGAAGCCCCACTTGAGATCGAGCTTTGAGAAGACAGTTGAGCCATTAAGGTCGTACAAGACTTCCTCAATTGTAGGGATGGGGTGTCTTTCCCTCTCTATTGCTGAATTCGCCCTGCGCATGTCCACGCAAATCCGAACGTCACCGTCTGTCTTCGGGACAACAACCAACGGCGATACCCACTCACTTGGGTTGTGTGACACCTCCTCGATGATGTCTTTGGCTAACAGCTCATCCAACTCCTCGTCAACCTTGGCTCTTAACCCAAATGGCAGTCTCCGTACGGGTTGTGCAACCGGCATGACATCGTCTTTTTTAGTAATTTCAGCTGAAAATCCTTCAGCTTCCCAACCCCTGTAAAAACCTCTCTATACTTCTCACGGATGTCGGCATCACTTCCTTCAACAGTTAATGAACACACATCTGGACCGACCCTTAACACGCCCAACTTCTCTGCAGTGTTCTTTCCGAGTAGAGATCTTCCTGGACCTTTAACCACAGACTGTGAATTCGTCCACACAACTGTTGCCACTGATCTCGCACACAATCTCAGACACAAACGTCCCAATCACCTCAATAGGATCTTTCTGTCCATAAGCAAACAACTTTTTGCTTGATTTCTTGGATTCACATTGGACACTCTTCTTCTTCAAAACTTCCCAGGTTGCTTGGTCAATCACATTGCACGACGCTCCAGAATCAATAAGTACCGCTGGTAACGTCACTCCTCCAACCTTCAAATCAACTTCACTACCACTTGTAGGCTGACCGACTCCAACTCTAAATGCATAATAATCTTGTTGGCCAGTGACTGAATCCTCTGATAGTTGATAGGCTCTACCCCGTGTGTTATTCCTTCCCTCGTCATCTCTTGTAAGAGGTTTGCGTTCCTTTGTTTTGCAACAGACTGCAAGATGTCCAATCTCGCCGCATGCATTACATTTCTTGCTACGGGCAGGACAATTCGGGTCACGTGCCATATGGTCAGTGTAATTACAGCGAAAACAGCCTCTCACTTTTGTCTCCTGAGAACCATTAGACGGTTTACCAGGCTTATTTCTTCTGTTTCTACCCTGCGCTATCCCTTTTCCTTTTCCTTTGCTGTGAGGTTTGCCGGAAACAGCATTCACCTGACCGGATGACTGATCCATAGCCTTGACCTGCATGTTCACTTCTTCCTGTACACGAGCCAAATCTTGTAAATCCTTCAGAGTAGCATTTGTTTTCTCAAGGAACTTACGGCGAAGTCTGGGATCCCCGAATCTCTCAATAAGCTGATCCCTTATTGTCTCATCAACATTTTCAAGCTCGCAGAAGATCGCTTTCTGCCTCAACCGACAAACAAACTGATCCACCGACTCTCCCGACGCTTTCTCCATTTGCCTAAACTGATGCCTTTCGAATGGAACGTTCAACCGCGGTGCAAAATAGTTATCGAACAACTCCATACTCTCAGCGAACGGCTTGATATCCGTACCGGTCAATAACGTGCAATAAAGCTCCTGAAAATTCAACCCTCCAGTATGCAACAGCAATGCGGTTTTGTGTTCATCTTTCGTAATCCCTTTGCAACCAAATACAGATTGAACGAGCGTTTCCACAACTTCCAGCGAACTGCAAGGGTGTTCGAATCTTCCTTTGGATTGAAGGGAGAAAGGCTGGCCACATCAAGAAGAGGAACAAACGTCGCGGTTGGCGAAGCTTGTGAACTTGAAGTTGTACTGGAAGTGGTTCCACTTTCCGTCATCTTCCTGACAAAATACTAGGACTTTCCGCACAAATGACTTCCAAAACATCAACTAACTCACAAAACGAATTGAATCCTCGTCGCCAATGTAACAATGACGCCCGGATGGCCGTGTAATAAACCAGATTTAACTATGAAAGAAACTACACTTCATTCGGCCGCCATGACCCCCGGAAAGCATGGCCCACACAAATATCCGTGATCCTTTGCACGTTTACAGTATCCGAGAACTTCCGCTAACACAACTTCCGGTAGACAATACTATCGATACATAACAGTATTAGATTTCATTTTGAATGAGGAAAGAAGAGACATATCAAGAGAGAGCAAATGGAAAAACACACAAGTAATATACTACCGGTACAGTGCTGTTTTACAGATGTAAATAATGTTGCCTAGTTGGCTTTTAACGTATAGATATTCCTAGTGGTCATAACATCTTATAACTTTGGGACAAAATTTTCTTAATTATCTATTCTAAAAGTGCTAGGATTTAGATGCTGTATGAATGCACTTCCCTGGGTCATTATGTTGCTCATATACAAGGGACAGCTTGAAATTAGACGGCTTTGTATATATGGTGTTATGATAAAAATATACTTTAGTTGACAGGTGTTAAATTTAACAATGTTAGACCAAGGTTCACATATAAATGGGGAGAAATCACACGGTCAAAAAGTCATTACGTTTTTGGCATTTCTAACCACTTCGTTTTGAAGTTTTACCAGTTGTGATATTGGAGCTAAGTAATTATTACCCCACAACACACAACCATAGTTAACATAGCGAAAACCAAGTGCATAATAAAGACCGTATTTACTCGAATAAACGCCACCATAAGAAAAAAAAAAACTCTGCACAACTTTGTAATCTGCCCCATCCACTTACGATTCTATCTTAGCAAAATAAGAGAGACATTGGAACATTACACATCTTTCTGTTTTATATAATATTTATTTTATCTGCAGTGACTGTTTTCAGTGGTCAAGAAATGTGGTTTCGAAATAAACTCCGCATCGGGAAAACTGAAAAGTTAATACAGCACACTTACTTGTCGCTTCCCTTTTGCAATGATATTTACACTTTCCCTTATTACTTCGGCGAAGCGCGAAGTAAAGGATTCGCGACGCTCAGGAACGTATCAAAGTTGACTTTTTTTTGACAAGATTGGGCACGCAAAGTCTGTAGGTTTTCGGTTTTATTCGGCTATTTGACGAAGTGAGAGCCGAATTAGTTGGAGATATCTCGAGATCACTTCGATTTCTTTGATTTATTCTTTAACTTTTTCGAGGAAGAAAGAATTATTATTTCGGCTTTCCCGGAGTTTGAACCGACTCACCTGTGTGACCCGTCAGATCAGAGGAGACTCTAAGTTGAGGGATTAGCCGATTGCGCTACTGCGACCCAGGGTAGTTCGGGATATGAAAAATAGTTATGAAATGATGCACTAGTTTCGGGACAAGATTGGGCGTGCAAGTTCGTGACTTTTCGGATTGTTTCGGCTATTTCACGAAATGAGACCTGACTACTTCGTGATATCTTGAGATCACTTCGAGTTTAGTCACGAGACACGAAATTTCTCTTCGAGTGTTGAAAAACATTTCACGAGTGAGCCCTACTTTCGAACTGTTTTATGATGAATTTAAAGTTACAAAATGCTACACAAAGACATTTTGTCTTTGTTGAGTGTTACGTAGTAAAATTGCTTTCATGTGTTGCGTGACTTTCTCGAACGTTCTCTACGTTTTTGGATTATTTATGAATAATTAATCAGGGCATGTTTACATTTCAGCATGAGTCAGCAGATTTGCATCAGTTATTGAAATCATAAAATATGTCGAAAAGCTACTACTATTCGCCTGTTTAGTATTTTCTAGAACCTTATGTCAAACCGCGGTGTACAAGTTCCAAGCGAGTTCTATTGACGAACTAGGTTTTTTCCCACGAGCTGGACTGCTGTGTTTAGTCAAGTGTGACGAAGGTCGATTTTCAGGTTCTGTGTTTAAGATATCTGAAGTTCAAGTGAGAGTTTGTTATTATTGGCAGAGCCTGTTTGGTTTAAATTAAGTTCAAGTCAAGTTTGTGTTGGCAGATGCTGTGTTTTAAAGCTCTGTAAAGGCTATGTTCCTTTGGTATTAAACTTCCTTTTGTTAATCCGACATCCCTGCGTGCTGATAGTCAGTGATTAATTATGCTCAAAACTGATTCGAACTCGTAACATTGAGTTTTAGCCAATTCCATGCTCAACTTAATTGACTCCTTATACGTGCCTTACATATCTTTAATCAGTACACGAGACTGCTATGCTGGTTTTGAAGCCTGATTTGACTAAGAAAAATAGAGAATTCTTTTTTCACTGTTTTGTTAGACTTGTTATTCACCGCCAGTAACCTCATATTTGACTTAGGTCTAAACGTTTGGAACCAAGTCAAATTTAGAAGGATTTGTATGGAGTCATCAGAGCATAACTGAGCTAATATCTCAGAGACAATGTCTCAAAATGCTAGTTTTGGCAAGTAGGCCTCTTGGATGTTGTCCTGACAAATCCCATAATTTCATAAACACACCTAAACTCTTACCATATTTCATTTCTTACTATTCCTCCGCATTTACAATTAATCAGTTCCTCAACCACGACGCCGAAGTGTACGCTCCATAGCGTCTTGTTTTCTCAATATAATATGGTCATGCTAAGAAAAGAAGCAATCAAAGACCAGTCTCCTTGATATTTGATACTGCAAGACTGGTCAAGATACTGATTTACTGAATGACAATATTGCTTTTTTTTCGCGGTTGAGAAACTGAGATTTAAACATTGCCATTCATAACTGAATTCAGTTTTTGTGGGTCGGAACGCAGTTTAGCTAGTGTTCGCTCGTTCTTTTAACGCCATTGACAGTTTGCCAAACCTTATTTTCTAAATAACGTTTATCGTGAGCAATTTAACGAAAGCAAATAGCGAAGACTGTTCAGAGTAAGATCGTCAAGATCGGGCGCTTAGCGGTACCCAAAGTAGATTTGACAAGCTTTTTGACAGTCATTCAAGATGGCTGTCCGTAACGCAAAGCGCTCGATCTGGACGATCTCACCGGAAAATAGGGCAGTGAACAGTCTACATATCTTGACCAGAAAAGCATTTAAATGAACATGCTATAATGATACCATAGAAAACGTGAAAAAGGGGCAGTTTTCCCGAGTGTTGCCGCTTAATACGTGGATAGTAGAAAGACCAGTCTTTCTATTATCCATGCCTAAGGTAACCCACTTAGAAAGAGATCTTAAACCGTGGCCTATTAAGTTAGATTTTATTTAAATGACCGACCGTATTTGTCGTAGTAATACAGATCGAAATCCTTACCAGTCACAGTCAGGGAAGTATCATTGGGAAGTAGTCTTATAATATAGGAAAGTAGTTGATTGCATTAACAACATCATTTGTACCAACTACAACAAGCTAGAAAAAGAACTGATCTAAGATCGACCCTCATGGTACTCCTAAATTTACCGACAGAAAATCAGATTCAACGCAATTTACAAATACCTCTCGCTCCCATTTAGTAAGACCTTACACTACTGATTTTCAATGTTCCGTATACCACGTAAATAAACTTTTCATAACAAAATAGAAAGATTGACTGTTTGTCAAATGCTCTACTTAGCTCTGGAAAGCCTAGCGAAACACTAAATACATCGGTGGCAAAGTATACAAATAAAAAAATCTCTATTTCAAAATGAACATACGAGAAGACACCAACAAAGAAGAAGCCGAGAGGAATTAAAAGTAGGGGAGTCCTTCTCCTCGGGGGTGGCGAAGGTCGCAATTCAACGCAAAATTTTGGTGAAATTCAATTCAAATTCAGACAGTTGAAAGTACGCTTGATATAAACTAAACAACGACAAGAAGTTATTTCAAACACTTTATTGTCAAGTTACGTTTAGAATCACTCTTTGTCACTTACATCAAATAAGTTATTCGTGCGATGCCTTGGCGAAGCAAGGTTACAAATAAATAGGCACGTTTGAGATTAAAAAGAAACTAAAATAAAATGAAAAATAATAAAACGTGATTAAAAATCAGTTTTCTTTAAACACTATCAAAGTCGGCCACACTCACTAGTCACTCTTGGGGTGTAACGCAACCCTCCTACAAGAATTGTGCGTGACGTTGTTTTCAAACCGTTACAAGACATCCCCAAACACGGTCAGTGAAAGCGACCGAGGCGAATTTTTGGCTACAATTTTTGCCTCATTAACATATGCTTATCACTAACTGTTGACACTAATAAAAAAAAACTCTGAATATTGAAAGGGTATAACAGTTTGAGTTATCTCTGAAGATTTGAGCCCAATAAACAGAACGGTTTCCGAGAAATTCCCTTCTAAAAACTCGAAATTTTACAGAGAATGTATGGGTCATTAACTTTTTTGCCAAACAGCAATTTCGCAGTTTTTGATGGGCGATATTTCCTTCAATATTGCTTGCAAAGAGCTGAAAAATTGCACAAATTGCTCAACTTGATCAGCTCTTTTAACTTTTGCATTTATACGGCCACCGCTTCTATGAGTTTAGTAGTATGCTAATGAGGAAAAATGTAAACAATGACGTACCCTATTGTAGTGCATTCTCTAGATGTTCAAATCATTTACCACACACGGTATGGGAATGGCGTTAAAATATATTAGATTTTCAATCTACCTATTTAAAATCTTTATCTGTTTTTCAATCAAAGTCACCTAAAAACGAATGAAATTGGTAAAATTAAATATGAGAAAAAACCTTTTTCAATAGATTCCAAGAAGGTGTTGGTGAACATAAACAAAAAATTAGGGCGTTCTGGTAAAACATTTGTAAGAACGACAAGCAAAAGGGCTGACTTTTCACGCATACACACTGTAAGAACGCCAAGCCAAAAAAAAAATGCGCCCAAAGAACTCTGAGCGCAAGAGACTTTCCACACTCAGTTTCCGGATTCGGTTAAGTATTTTCGGCCGAAAATTTGTCGGCCGACAACAAGGCATCCCGCCACACACGAGGGAAAAAAGTCGGGGTATATAAGAAGGAAAAGTGTGAAAAATCGCTTGCAGCCTTTTAAAGCTATAAAAATTAGTTAAAAACAAGTGATTTTCCCTTTACCCGAAACAAAAAAAATCCTTGGAATTATCTTGCTTAAGAACTAAATTTGAAAATAAAACGTTCATGTAGTTGACTTCCTAGTTTTGCGCAGAGGGCTCACTCCAGGAGTTGTACGACGAGCCACCGACGAGGATATCGGAGTTGTTCGGCGAGATGGCGACACTCCCGAGTACGCTGGAGTGCTTGTCGCTACCTTGTCGGAAGGGAATCGGACTGGAGGCGAGGCAGACTTAGTCCGGCGCATGGGCGAAGTTGAGAAGCTCGCATCCACAGAGTCTTCAAGTCTCTGTGACTCTCGTTCCAGAATCGAAGGCTCATACATCGTGTCACGAGCCACTGTGTGAAGCGAGTCTTCCAGTTTACCTCTGAGATCACGGATTTCGTCTGATTTCTGCGCAGTACGTGTTATATAGGACTGCTTCTTTTGTATTTCTTTAGAGAGCTGGTCTTTCAAGGTTGAAACCTGATAAGAGAAGTAAAACGGCAAAACAGACCATGAGTATTGCTGAATTGCACGTGACGTCAGGGCAGCCATGTTGTTGGTCAAGAACAAACACATTTCTATTCTCTGGGAACTAAGCTCCATTTTCATGTAAATTCTTTGAAATAATTTTTATTGTATTGACAACCAACATGGTCGCCATGTCGCGTGGTTGCAAACTAAGAACAGACCATTTTACAGTTATGAGCTTCGTACCCTCGCCTCTGTGTGTACGTGAGGCTGAGATTGACCTTTTGAAACAAACCTCCTTCCTTTTCTGATGAAAATTATGCTTAACCAACTAGTTAGCACAAGAACATGATTAACTCAATAAGGGAAGAAGGGTTATATCAAAAAAAAGGTGAACTCCAACATTTGTAACTGTAAAATGGACTACTCTCTAGTTTCACCGTTACGCTATCCCCCAAAAATCGAATCCATTCAAAAAACATAACGTTTAGAATCTGGAAATTAACAGATCCTCGCCAAGAATTTGCCTAGTCCCTAGGCCTCATTATTCCGCGAGGCCAAAGCGTTAGGGTCACGACACCGAAGGGAATTGACAGAGAGGGACTGGGAAAACGCCGTACAAGGACTAGGCAAGCCTTATGCAAGCCAAGAATAAGGTCTGAAAGATATTTCGTATGTGAGATATCTAGAAGTCGGAATGTTGGCATAAAACTCGGGTTTTGCGGTGTTGTTTTGAGTGCTTCTGGCAATTTATGTGAATGAAAAGTTTTGCCTCTTGCCGTCGCATCTACTTAGTTTTCGGCGGGAAATGTGAAAGCCGCGAGCATCACGGCGATTTAAAAATTTTCTGCCACAACACTAAAAAATAAAGATTCTCCTTGTCATATCCATAGTCTGTATCAAAAGGGGAAACCTTCTTTAAACGATGAAAAGGCATCGACATGGCTCGTAATTATCGGTAATGTTCGAACCCTTCTGACCATCTTCCGAGCGATTTCATACGTACTTGCTCTTCTAATCCCTTGACCCTCTGTTTATGAGCTCGTTCCCGGGCCAACTGAGTTTTCTCCAGTTGACTTTGAGATTGTTTAGCCCTCTCGCTTTCAATATCTACTTCTTGTCGGTGTCGGGTTGTCAGCTCAACCAATCTGGGTTTTAAAACAAACAAAGCATTAGATTTTCAAGGAACTAATACGAAGTCTGCTGATGAAAGCGATTAGACTATTTACAAGGGCCGCTATGTCAGGCTGTTTGCTATCTTAATAAAACGCTAAAAGATGTCTTCACGCCAACTGAATTCCAAAAATTATGGTCAATTAGGTATCGAAATCATTTCCTGTTGTCTGTTGGAGCGAATTGCAAGGAAAGCATTGGCTTAAAACTTGAAAAACGTAAAAAAATTTAATTATAGTTAGTGCTCTCTGATGAAATTTGTTTGATATCTTCTTCTTGCGCATGCGCACGGTAAAGGCACTTAGTAATGACTTCAGCACAAAATTGACCTAAAACAGCGATATTTTTGTGACATAGTCCCTTAAAATAATTAAAAAAAACCTGACATTCAACTGGAAGCATACATGAGGCACTTACTTTTGTGCATGCGCATGCTCAGTATCAGCAATCTGTTGTTGCAGAGCATGGACTGTTCTCTGCAATTCCTGATTATCTTGCTCATAAGAGCTACTTGTCCTGTCTAGCTTGTCACGCTCGTCACGCAATCTTGCACCCACTTCTTCGGCTTCAAGTTTCTCTCGCTCGATCTATCAACGTTATGAAAGAAATATCGTTTAAAATGCACGGAGCCAAACAATCGAACAGAGAAGTTAGGGGCTTTAGTTGGGTGGCAAAAGATATCATTGTAGTAACGAGGTAGCATGCAGTGATACAGGTTTTTCCCATCTTTACACATTAGTTAAAAATGAAATGCAAACGTGTGTGAATAAGTTTTGATATGAAAGCTTACGACCTGGTACCAGTATTCCAACTCGTTACCTTTGTGAAATGAGCGCAACTCCGACCGCTAAAAACAGCACAAAGATTTTTAGTGAAAGGCTAGAACAGAGAAAAAACGACGCCGCCTCCTACACTATTTCTACTGTGCCTTGTTAAGTAGCCACTCCTAGAAACTTGGTATTAGTCCTCATAACTGCGGTGGGAAGAACATTTAAGTGTTGCGACTTATTTGTTAGTTTTTGCCAGGCTCTCAGTCGCGACGGGTGAAGGGAAAACGGAGCGCAAGGGAGAACAAGAAAACAAAGTTTACGACCAAACACGTAATTTGTCACGTTTTCTTTCCAACCGCATAAGCTACGATGGAAACAACCGCAGAGTTCAACCTTCAAAAGTCGTACCTTATCAAGTGTGTTCCTTAAAGCCTTCTTGTCCTTCTCCAACCGAACATGCGCTCGTTCCAGCTCCCTCTTCTCTTGCTCGGCGCCGGACAGTCCTCGCTGGAAGCTTGCCAATCGATCTTGAAGTTCGCGTTTCTCTTCTTGTAATTTACCGATTCTCGCTACCAGTTCTTCTTCGGCTTCCTTCTGTTGCTGTAACATCTGCTGTAATTGGCGTATTTGGCCTTCTACTTCCATGCGTCGAACCTGGCAAAACCAAGAGGAAATCTTAACCTTAAATCTTCATCAAAGGGAGATACAAGAGGAGCTTCGCATGAATCATCGATCCCTACCACTCTGACAGCCTTTACCTTCGACAATAAAACAAGTTAGTCATGCTCATGTCAATCGTCTGGTATGTGGTCAAAATTTCTAATTGTGTTCAATTAAATATCTGAAGGGAAAGGATTTTCCTGTGCTAACCATTTCTTTCAAATGTCACCACTAAAACTACGAACGTCTGCTAAAACGAGAGGGAAGAGGGAACGCGTAAAGAAGCCCTAAGATCGTCCGCATGGTGGGCTAGAGTTTTCAGTTCCTTTAGAGTTTGAGCAAAGCAAATGGAGACCACCCTACTTAACAAACCTCTGAATCAGCCTGTTCATTTTTCATCTGCTGCATGCGGTCCTGCAGCACATTGTATCTGTTCTTTGCATCTTGTTGAGCGGCCTTAAGCGCCTCCAGTCTTTCTGCCATGATCTTGCGGTCATGCTCACTGTTGGTAAGCGCACGCTGCATTTGCTGCAGCCTCTCTTGCAATGATTGAGATGTGGCATTGCTGTCATTCAAACTAAGTGACAGTTCGGTAACCTAGCAACCAAGACAAAAGCTGATGAGTTAAATAATCCACAAAATAAAAAAAGTGAATAACCCTTTAGACACCTCGCACATGAAGTGCTGAAAAACTGTGTTCCTTTTAACTCATTTTCTATTGTGTTTAATACTTTGACAGTGAAGTTTAATACCTTTTCTTTAAAAGCTTGTTCCTCTTCTTCTGTCTTTGCTAGAGCAAGCGTTAATCTGTCAACTGTAAGTTGTAGCGACGTTGCACGTGACTCCAGTTCTTGTTGCGATCGCATTAGTTGATCGATACGTTCTCGGAGAGCAAGCTTCTCGGCTTCGCTTTCGCCCGACTGCATTCGTAGCCTTTCGATGTCACCTGAAAAAAACGAGGAAGCCTCAGCATAATGCAACGAAATCCTTAAGTAGTGATGCCGCTTACAATTTTGTTATGGAGTTTTTGTTTAAAAATTCGATTCGAATTATTTAAATGACAAAAAACGTTTCTTAAGTTTCATGTTAACAAAAACATACCTTCCAAAGACCTCTTCCTCAACTCAACTTTGGTCAGCCTCGACTCTGCGTTCTCGATCTGCGCGCGCATAGCTTCTTTCTCCTGATCGCTCTTAGCCTCGCTTTGTTGAAGTTGAGCAACCTTGTCCCGTAGCTGACGGCGCTCGCCCTCGGCCTGAGCAAGACTGGAATCTAATACCGAGATTTTCTCGTTCAGACCCTTTCGCTCTCGTTCCAGGCGCCTAATGGTTTCTTCTTGAAGCATGAGAGCAGTCTGGGCACTGCTTAGACGACCATCAGCACCACGGCGACCTGGGACAAAAAAAGTAAAAAATTAGGGCTTTTCTTGTAGTTTGAAGTGACAAGAGTGTCTCATCTGCTGAAACTCTACTAGGAAATTTACTCGGAATATACGTTTCTCAATGACAGTGATAATTTACTCCATTAGGTTTGGGACTAAGCTTCTCATCGCAAACACATCGCATACGACAAACAACACCTCATTCGGCCTTGCGGGTGATATTTGAAAGACCCACTTTAAGCAACGCTTATTTTTGCATCGTCGTGTATCTCATTTTGCTTCCCAGCATCAATCAAAGACTTTTATCAACATACCTTCCTCCGCTTCGCCCAGTGACTTCTGCAGAGCCAGCAATCGTTGTTCAGTGTGTCCCTTCTCCTCTTCCATGGCTGCAACAGCTCGCTGTAGGTTATTCGCTTTCGACATCGCCTCGTCTCGTTCCCGCTCAGCTTCTTTCATACTCTGGGCAAAATCTCGCAGAGCAGAGCGCACAGTCTCGGGATCGATCTCCCCAGACATTTCCATCGATTTGATTGGCGACATCTTTTTGCTAGGAGAGAGGGAGCGGTCACCTGAATCTACGGTTTCATCCATGGTCTTTTCTGGCGAGCGCGACCGACTCCTTCCGAACATACGGCGACGAGGGCTCGGGCTACGAGCACGAGTAGGAGATGGAGTTCTGAAAGTTACAAAAAAAATGAGTAAGAAACATGATTAAGGAGGAATGTAAATTCATGGAAAATTGCATGGGAATTTTTTTCTTGGATAAAAATTTTTACGTTCTAGAAAAAGCAAATGTCCGTCGCAGACCCGAGTTCGTCGAGCGCGCGTATGAAAGTAAAAACCGCGGGGGAATTATTGACCGCAAGCGCGAAGGGGGTGGCGGTGGGGAAAGGAGGAAATGGACGCTAAACGTTAGCCTCTTCACAGACGTTTTTCTTTCTTTTTATTTTACTTCCGCTTTTTCTCTTTCTTTCGCTCACGCCCTCTTCGCGCACCGTCGAAAGGAAAAAGAAAGAAAAACGTCTGTGATCAGGCTAACTTTGTCCCGACATCACTTCGTCGGAAAGTGTCGGACGTCGACTGTTATTTGCAGCTCTGATTGTAATTTCGTAAATCTTATCGTTGTACCTGCCGCTCAATTCACCAGGTGGTTTAATACCAAGAGTCCTCCTCAAAGTTGAATGTAGACTGGCTAACTTAAACTCCAAGTCATTCTTTGATCCTTCCATACGTGCTAACTGCGCCTCTAGACCAGTGATTCGTCCTTCTGATCCGGACAGCTTCAGTTTCAAGTCGCTGTTGTCTTGACTTGCGTTCTCAAGCAGATTCTCTAAATTTTTCACCTACAAAAAGCGCATACAAAGCAGGTGAGGGTTCGATCATGAAAAAAAATGATTCGCGACAAGTTTTTTCAGAGGATTGATATTTTCCGAGGGCTCGAAAAAAAGTTCCGTTCGGCACAAGACAATGATCTCAGCAGGGCCTAATCGCGGACGTCTTGATACGGAGTATAAAGTACTCACCACTGGGCCTCCGCTAGTTGCTTACGTATAAAAATATAATTAAGCCGCTCAACACCTGAAAGAAAGCGTATATTGAACTAACCTGAGATCAGGCTCTAGTTGAACATTTTTTCCTAACCTTGTCTGCGGATTTCTGTTCCGCGCGGTGTGCCTCATCCAAGGCGGCGTTAAAATCTTTTTCCCTCACGCGGTTGTCTTCCTCCGTTTCCGTGAGCTTTCGCGTGAGGTTCTGGATTTCACGTTTGGCGCCTTCTTTCTGGCCTTCGGACTCGACGAGTTTCTGTTTCATGTTGTAATTATCCTGACGGAGTTCATCAATGAGGTGCTCGTCCTTCGCAAGTTGATCTTTAAGATCAGACACTTCTTTCTTGCTCTTTAGACACTCGCCATCCAGCATCTTAACCTAATAGAAAGGCGCAAGAATTCAAGAGGTTAAGCATGTAATTTTCGAAAGAGTGATTGTAAATGTCGAAAATCGTGTAGAGTCTTCCCAATCTGTAGCCTGCAAGGAAGCTCTTCATGTGAGAGATATCGTGAGTAATCACTTTGGAATCTGTGAATAAAACCTCTTCAGCAGTACTTTCAGATGGTACTACTTATTTAGTATGTAGTTCTAACTTTTGAGTCTGTGGATGAAATCGTATGGTGTTACCATTCAAATGAAACCTCTTCAGCAGTACTTTCACATGGTACTATTTATTTAGTATGTAGTTCTAACTTTTGAGTCTGTGGATGAAATCCTATGGTGTTACCATTCAAATGAAACCTCTTCAGCAGTACTTTCACATGGTACTATTTATTTAGCATGTAGTTCTAACTTTTGAGACTGTGGATGAAATCCTATGGTGTTACCATTCAATTGAAACCTCTCCAGTAGTACTTTCACATGGTACTATTTATTTAGTATGTAGTTCTGACTTTTGACTCTGTGGATGAAATCCTATGATGTTATCATTCAAAAAGAACCTCTTCAGCAGTACTTTTACAAGTACTATTTACTTCGAGAGTTATTTATCTATTTTATTTTTAATGCTTAATTTTTTTGCAAAGGCACCGCGCACATTCACTCACCTGATTATGAAGCTGTTGAAGCTCTCGTCTCGCCTCTAACCTCGCCTTTTCCACCTCTCTCAAACTCGCTCTCAGTTCCCCAGCCTCCTTCTGCAGCGCGGCCTTAGTCTCCTCGAGAGAAGTGATCTTCTGGCCAGCCTCGTCTAGAGTCCTTCTTAAATTCGTCTTCTCTGCTTCGCATTTCTTCACCTTTCCTCTCAACTCATTGGCAGTTTCTTGTACCGCTTGTTTCTCACGCTCTTCGTCCTTCAGTTGTCTCTTGAGATCAGTATTCTCTTTACGAGCGACTTCTCGAGCTTCTTCGCCCTCTCGGATTTTCCGATGAGCGTCGATAAGCTCACGACGGACTCCATCGCGAGCTTCTTCGGCCATCTTGAGTTGAAGTTTAAGCTCGCTGACTTCCCTCAGAGTATTTTCTTTGATACGCTCCAAGTCTTTAATATGGTTCTTCAATTCCGCCACTTCTGCCTGATAGCGTTTGCTAACAAGAGAGAATAGAACGTCATTTAATTGTTGTCACTATAGGGTTTCTGGGACTAAAACCAACGCTTTAAAATGTGCATATTGGCAATTAGCCTGCGAGCAAGCTCTCCGGGGCGCTCTGGTGGCTGGGCGGGAAAGGGATCTTCCCTTTTCCCACCCCTTCTCCCGCCAGAGCGCAGGCTAATTGGCAATTGTCTAAGTTCATTCCCTGGGGGAGGGCAGTGATAAATTACAGGAGAACAGGGGGAGGGGGGGAAAGGGGAAAACAGCCCTTTGGGTGTCAATGTATTTGGTACACAATTAATTATTGAGGACACTTATTTCTAAGTATACTAGTGGAGACGCCGTTTCAAGTGATCATCTGAACCACGCGAAGGTCTAGCTGAATACAGGGCAAAGACAGCATGAGCATTGATCTGGGTATCGGGCATTGAACCCGCGACCTCCCCCACTGCAGTCAATCCCTCTGAGCTGAACACGCCGCGTCTGAAGGAGGAAGGTGTTTGTATGAAAGCTAGTCTACTTACTTGACATCTTCAAGTTTGCTCCTTGTATTCCTTAGTTCGTTTTGGGTTTGAGCGATAGCGCCCTACAAGAAAATATCAAGAAGGATAATTAGAAAGGTCTTACCTGGCAAAATAGTCGAAAGATAGCTTTTGGTTTGTTTAATTCAACGAGGAAGAGTTTTGACAAGGCTTGGGAAAAATGAACCAAAGGTGTAGAAAAGAGAAACGAAAGACAATAGCATGGCGCTGAAGTAGCGTTCCGGGATGTTTCAGCGCCATTGCTACAAAAGGGGGTTTAGCTCACGCCGAAGAGGATGTGCGATAGTGTTTACCAAAGCTGATTATTAACAACTTTAAGCCCCAATTTCCACACACAAATTCTCCGAACTGATTTCATTCATTTCCTTAAAAGTTTAGTTGGGAGCTTCTGTTTAGAGATCAAAGTATTTTCTCTTTTAGTGCAAAAAATTCCAAAAACCTGTCACCTCACAACGCTGATTCGGACGAAATATTCGTTTCGTATTAATTTTTCGCTTTGACTTTTAGAATTTTCTGTACTAAATGTCTCCGCCAGAGCAGAGGAAAAACCTTTTTGCTAACATATTTTCCCTTGGGTGATCTTTTCTTTAATTCTCATAACCTCTTCTCTTAAATATGTACGGTATTGATACTGTTGAGGGAAAATTGACGTTGGTCACCCATTAGAGTGTGCCACTTAGGCTTGGTGAGGGAACCCTGCGAGTACCTTGTCTTGCTCAGCGCGGCTGAAAGCGTCACGTTTAATCCTGTCGATTTCCACATGTGCGTTTTCCACCTCGCCATGTGCCTTGTTCAGTTTGTCCAGGAGCGTGCCTTTCTCATTGGCTGCCAGATGAAGGGCCTCTTGCTTCTCATTCTCAGCCATTAACAACTGATCGTCACGTTCCTTTTGAACCAAGGCAACCTCGTTCACAAGTATGGCTTTCTCTCGCTCGAGTCTGAAACAGTAAACGTCACGCAATCAAATAACCTGTCACGCAGTCAGAGCTAATCGAGGGGGGTCTTCTTTCTAATCCTACTTTTCTCTAACTTTCTTTACACAATACAACATCGTTCTCACTTGCACAAAGAGAGCCCAGTTTGGGTCTGTGGCCCGTTTCTCGAAAGTCCCGGTAACCGTTTGGGCTCGAAATCAATAACAATCAATAGAATAAAAGCGAGGGTCCAAGCCAACAAAGTAGTCCATTTTGTTTCAACAACTGATAGTCTCGTTGTATCACCTGCAAAACTGTTTAAACCTAGACTTTGAATATAAACAACATCACCTTTCCGATCCTGTTAATTATCGGGCTTTCGAGAAACGGGCCCCTGGATAGGAATTGGTGGTCGACCATCTAGTTATTTGGGTTTGTTTGAGTAAAATAATGTAGAGAAGGTTTGGAAGTAGAAAGCGATGAGAGATTAGTATTCAGGTCTTCTGTGCTAACCTCTTAAACAAGCATAATTAGGGAAATTAAAGTGAAAAAAAAGCAGTATTGAGTAAAGGAAGAAACACAAAAACACTTTCAAAACTACCTTTGTCCTAACTCTTCCTTCTCATTCTTGAGCATTGAAATGGCTTCCTCTTTTTCCTGATTGGCTTGCAAAAGAGTGCTCTCCTTCTCTCGCTTCAACTTCTCCGTCTCTTCTTCATGTTTTTGCTCCATTCTCTTCAAAGCAACCTCGCCATCACGCTGTGTCTGGCCCAGTCTCTGCTCGACCAGCTCTTTGTCTTTCGACAACTTCGCCTCTTCAATCTCCTTCTCTTTGCGCACGCGCTGTAGGTCGACAGTCAGCGCTTCCTTGGCGAGCAGAAGTTCTTGATTTTCGGCTTCAAGTGCCTCTTTGCGCGCTTCAAGCTTAGTAGCGGTTTGCTGAAGGTCGTACAAAGCTGTCTCCAGCGACTCCTTCTCGCTCTTCAAGCTCGCAATATTCTCGGCTAAGCCACGGTTTTCTCGCTCGCTGGAGTTGACCTGCACCAGCAAGCTGGATTTCTCTCGCGTCAGTTCCTCCTTCTCTTTCGCCAAACGCACTACGTTCGAACTCTGTCTTTCCACATCACGGCGGGTTGTCATCAACTCATCGTAGATGGAATCCCTTTCTCTGCTAACTTGATTAAGAGCCTCGCTGAGTTCGGCTTTTTCTCGGTTGGACGAGATGACCTCTTGTTCGAGTTTTTCTCTGCTTGCTTCGTGTAGGCTAAGGTTTTGATCGAGAGTTGATTTCTCTGTGTCTAAGTCAACCTATGTGAAAGAAGAAATGAATTGAGAATAAGTAAACAAGTAAGAAATCTACGCAAACAGAATATAAGGGTCGCGCAATTATATTAAATTCTCACAAAGTGATGATGGGATGGCACGTTACACGTATAAAGAATTAAGGGGATGCTATTGATGATGATGGGATGCTATTAATGATTTGAAGTAACTTGGGATAGAATTGACTAATGCTATCTGCCTATTAAACAATGGCTAGAGTTATAAAACTAACCCCAGTCCATTTTTCCCTTCTACAAGCTGGCCAACGTAGTTAAGTTTCCTTCCTTTCTTCGCCAGTCGACCAGTCAACTATATTAAACTTCGTAAAATTTGTTTATTCACCCACCTTTTCTTGCTCAACGCGGATGAGTTCCTGTCTAATGCTGTTCTTTTCGTTTTCCAGCTCTCGCTTATCCTGGCTGAGGGCCGACTTATCCATCTCCATCTGCTTAATAATCTTGTTCAACTCAATCTTGTCCTGCCCAAGCCCTTCGTTCAGCGACTGTAACTTCACCAACGCGTCACGCAGCGCAATTTCTTCTGACTTCATCTTGTTAATCTCCAGTTCTAGTTCCGCCTTCTGCAGCTCTGACTTCGACAGCGTCTCGCTAACATGCGCCTTCTCTTGGTCTAGTACCTCCTTGTCCAACAAGGCGCGTGACAACTGTTCCTTCAGCGTGACAATCTCTTCCTTAAGAGACGACTGCTTCGTTTCAAGCTGTTCAATCACTTGATTGGCCCGCATTACTTCTTTGCCCAATCGCTCTCTCTCACGTCCTAGATCGTCTTTATCGTCTTCCAGGTTATCTCGCTGGCGCTGAAGCTCGGTGTTTGCGGCTTGCAGCCTTTCAAGCTCTGCTCCCATACCTTCAATCTGTTCGCCCATCGACTGACGCTGCTTTTCTAGATTCTGCTTCTCAGTGCCGAGCACATCTGAATGCGCCTTGAATCGCTCACGATCTTGATTCACCTCGGACACTTTCTGACGGCTAAAACAAAGAAAAATGGCAATCCAGTTGACCCCTTTACTCCAAGACCACAATACAGTCAAATCTCTATATAGCAGTCACTGGACAACTTCCCAAAATTTTTAGTCTTATGGAGTCAAATGAAGGGATTGAGTAAAGAAAGGAAGGGACTAACTCTAGAAGCTCGTCTTCTAGAGGTGTACGTAAAGAGAGCAGCAGTCGCAAGTTAACCAGCTTTAACTTAGCTTTCTGGTAAAATGGGCTCTAAGAGCATTAAAAACGCAGATTTGGCCAGCAGAACCTTGGCAGACAATACAAATTTCACCCTTCACCTGTAACTATGTGTGGTGGGAAACCTTCCCCCACTACCCCTCCCCTAAGCCAACATTAACACTTACTTCTCACTTAGAATTGGCTTAGGGGAGGGGTAGTTTGGCAGTTTTCCAGAAACGTATAATAATCCCTACTGTATACACGTACGTGGAGTCCAGTTCATCGCGGGCACTGGAGAGTGCCTTTTCAAGTCTTCTTCGTTCATTTTCTGTGTCATCAAGTTGTTTCTTGGTTTTCTTTTCTGAATCTCGAGCAGCCTCCACCTTGCTCTTCATTTCCTACGTTTAAAATAAGGAAAGCAGAAAAATGTTTTGACGCTTTTTTTTGTTAACCCTTTCACTGCCAAATGTGGCCAAAGGAAAATTTCGACCAAATTTCATTTTCTAAAATTTTGAGAAACAATTAGCATCGTGTGAAAGTACAGGAAGAGAGCTTTGATTTGAATGGTCACATCATAGGATTTCGTCCACAGACTCAAAAGTAAGAGTCACCTTACAAAACTTTATCAATTCAGTTCAAAAAATTTATCGGTTTCTGATACGCTAAAATCTTTGCGTCCTCACACGCCAGAATTCGAACGCCTGTCACGCAAACTACACTTGCAATATCGACTTACCATAACTTGCATGTTTTTCTTCTGAATGGCTGAATGAACAGTTGCCAGGGCGTTGTCAGAGTGAGCAGGAGATCTGGAACGAGTGGGTGATGAAGACCGCAGGCGAGCCGCGCGGGATGGTGAAATAGGTCTCTTACTCAAGAAATCATCCTCGGCTGAATCAAGCAATCCAGCATCTACAACCTCGATGTCACCACCTGGGGACCCAAGCAGCCTGGACGTGGTATCGGCGTCCTGTTTCACGGCGTGGGTGATTTCGCGCAGAGTGCTTTGAAGGATTTCTGCTTCTTCCCTCATGGCAGCGAGGCTAGCCTCGCTTTGGTTTTCCCACTCTTCAGACTGTCTTGCAAAACCACTTTCCTAAAGTTGAAACATGAGGAAAATGTTGCTGTTATGGCTGAGATTGCTATTGTCACTCGCGACGTGGACTTACAGAGCTCAGTTTTTCAAAGGGCCCAAGGCATTTTGCCTATTCACAACAAATCGGCTGTTATTGTTTTAAAAACTTAGGATTTGTGATCAGAGATGTGATCAAAGGTAACAAAAGCACTGAGATAAACGCATGCTGTGCTTTTTACAAAGAAATGCTAACCGAATACATGTACTTTTTTACAGGTACTGGCGCAAACACAGGTTGCGTAGAAGACCTTTAGGTCTTCTAAAAACATGCGTTTCATGACTTAAAGAAAGCACGCTTTCTTTCTCTATATGCGCATGCTTTGATTGACTTGATTTAGTCTCTGCTCATCCTTTGCGTTCGCAAAACAATAACATTATTTCGGACCTTAGTCGAGATTTAACTGACACCAAGATGAAAGGCAAAACACTCACCAAGCCATGAATCTTCTTTTGTAAACTAGCAATAGTCTCCTCCGTGGCGACTAATTGGGCCTGTAGCTTTTCCCTTTCATTTGTCAAATCCTTGACTCTGTTTACCAAAGATAGTACGTTAATAAGTTTTTCGTTACAACGGAGTTAGTATCACAACTTCGCCTCAAACAAACAGGTCTCCCAAGCATTTTAACAAACGTTACAAAAAACAAAAAATGAACTTCGAAAAACTGTTAGGATAAAAGTGACGTCCTCACAAAGACAGTGTAATCTGTTATAATAGTCTTCAAGTGTGACCTTTCGTACCTTCCATTATAATCGATGCGTTATTTATGCCTTTTTTTAAAGGTTTTAAGCGTTTTTTTATGTTCCACTCAATCGACTGTGGCACTTCCTAATGTCTGAATTTTGATAAATTTCGTTACAAATCCCTTTTAATTGACACCAAGTTCTTGAGATGTAATATTGGCTCATTCCAATATCAGCTAATGTGTCAAACTGGCAAAACCAATCATGACTTTGTTACACTTCCTAATGTCTGAATTTTGTTAAATTTCGTTACAAATCCCTCTTAATTGACACCAAGTTCTTGAGATGTAATATTGGCTCATTCCAATATCATCTAATGTGTCAAACTGGCAAAACCAATCATGACTTTTTTACAATTCCTAATGTGTGAATTTTGATAAATTTCGTTACGAATCCCTTTTAATTGACACAAAGTTTCTCGGAGATGTAATATTGGCTCATTTTAATATCAGCTTGTGTTAAACTGGCAATACCAATCATAGTTGTTACACGCGTTTTCCTGCACTGGGCGCCAGCAACAGGAATTTTTCTTTGAAAATTGATTGGCTTATCTGAATATCAGCATGTGTCCTGATTGGGGGAACCAAAACCATTCATGACTTCGTCACACGCGTTTTATAAGAATTTCTCTTCGAAAAGTGATTGGCTTATTTGATTATCTGTTTTAGCGATTGGCGGGAGAAATAACTCTGGTTTGAATTACCGACACTGAACTAGACTGCTCTTTAGTTGACGTTTCACTTACTTGACCATTAAATCAGCTTTTTCGAGGTCAAATTTGTTTTGAAGCTCAATGAACTCCTGAACTTTTTCACGCAATTGCTCTTCAGTCTATAAGAGAGGAGACAATATAAGAAATAAGAATACCTAATTTAAGTTGTACAAAATTTGGGGGCAAACAAGGAGTATCATAGGAGAAGAGCGAATTGTGAATAACCAGAAAATACCACTGCAAGTCAGAAGTAATAAGCCTAGCCAATAAAAAAATGGGAAAATCAAAAGCTTCTGTAGAGTTACCTTCTGACGTCGAGCCCTCTCATCTTCCAGTGCACTCTGGGTATTTGCATCCATGCCTCGAAGGTTTTTGTCCAAGTCCATGCATGCACCTTGCACAACACGGACAGACTTGGTAACCTCTGCTCTTACACTAGACAGGTCCCTAAAGACATGGAATACCACTTAGTCCTTTACAAACAGTATTAAAATAAAAAATATACTAAGACAATATTTTATGTGTCAATGATAACATGAATAAAATACATGTATCTTATAAGTTCAAAGAATTAAGGAGTGGCATAAGTGCTGTCAAAACAGCTCAGGTATAGAGGAAGAACTCATCCACTACTGTGCTTTAATTGCAAAATGCACATTTTGGAAGCACAGTTTTAAATTTGGGGCTAGCTTGCAGATTCGGGGGTCAATTTACTATTGAAGCAGACTAAATAAATGGTTATCAAGTGTGAAGGCCAAGGGGATAGAACAAGAGAGCTGATGACATCATCGATGTTATTGTAATTATTATGATGATGACATTCAAATGAGTTATTTATTCTAATACTAAAAGGCACACCTCTGTGTCGCAGATTTCATCTCATTGAATTGACGCCTGAAGTTGTTCATTGCCTTCCACATGTCCATCAGTCGCACATGCTCATTAGAAAAGTACGCCTGCTCCTCCTCATCTCGGGCATCAAGCTCTTCTCTTGCTTTGTTCCAATCAGCTGTCAGTTTTTGGATATCAAGAGTTAGCTGTTGATTGGCTGATGTTGCTTGTTCTAACTGTTCTCGAAGCATATTGTTGACATGTTGAAGGCTCGCACTTCTGTTGACGCAACAGAGAAACAAGTCATGTACATACAAAGGGTTGTCAGATAGGTTTGAAGTAGATGGCTGAGTTGTCAAAGTAAGCGGCCACTCCAGGGATATTTTATTTAAAAAACGTCATCTGTAAAGAAATGCCAAGCAGAGTAGCCAGCCAATACTAAGCCAGCAGATATTTAACCAAGCAGCTGGCTACTTTTGACAACCCTGCATACAATTTACATATTGCTTTACAATCTATGAAACACTGGACACTTGTTATAAACTCAGACAGCACCAAAGTATACTCATCTGGCACACAACAACACCGGTAATTTTAACTCAGATTATTACTAATTTTTTACTTTCCCTATGTCTCAATTGCAGTGCATTTTCTCCTGCTAACTCCAAACCCCATTAAGTTAAACTCTTTTACATTTCTCTCAGGACTTTTGTAAGCAGAGTTCTACTATGGTACATGTAACTACTACAGCATCCAAAACTGCTACATAAGCTGTTTATTTGTAATTTCCTCCTTGGTCATCATCACCTACATGTATGAATAATAAATAAATCATGACAGTTCACCTTTGTTGTTCTTCTTCAAGTCTGATCAGAGAGTTCTCCAGATCACTAGAATGTTCATCTTCTGTTTCCTTCAGCCTGGCTTCTTGCTCTTTCAGTGTTACTGTTGCACTTTCAAGCTACAAGACAAGGTGCAAGTTAGATGTAACACTGACTGAATGACAAACACTTTAGTTACATTTTTCCTTTCATCTTCTCATTAAATAAACAAACAAACAAAAAGAAAAGTGGTCTGTTTACAGCATAAGTCCCATCTTAGTTAAAATTACTTGAGCAGGATACAAATTTACACTCATGTAACCATGCAGGCCCAAACTCAGGTCTGTCAATTGAATATGATTTTAAGTTGCCTGGTACAGTCCTACCTGCATATAATGGCCCTGTATACAGCTTTTTAGCCAGACATTGAAAACTGGCCGCCCAGAAGGCATGTTTTCGCATAAAATTGTGAGAGATTAAGTGAATTTTCCTTGTATTTCTTCCAAAAATGGGTGCCCATGGGATGGCTGGACACCCTTCTGGCTAAAACCTTGCCTTAAAAGCAATCACCTTGTATGTAACGGTCACCTTTCCATTTCCCAAGGGTGACTGTTGTACACAAGTTTGACTGTGTGAACATGCAATTACCGTATTACATGTAGGACCAGGGCTGTGCACCAGCAGAGTGCAGTTTGTTCTTGGGTGACCAGAAAATCTTAATTTTTTCATACAAATCATGTGCTGGGCATCGTAGATTTTGCAGGCTCAATACATATACCAGCCACTGTTGTAAAATGAGCACCCTAGATTTTGCAGAGGTTCGCAGAAATTAACACATCGAAACAGAAGCACTGGGGAATTATCCCGATTGTTTGTTTGAACTTTTTTTTTTCGATTGTTGTTGGAGCATTTTAGTCTTCAAGCATCTTTTCAAGGCGATTTGAGAACAGAAATTCTGTCTGGTAAATCAGAAACTTTTCCATTTAATTTCGTCTGCTTCCGAGGACTCAGTCAGTTCGGACCCACAGAAGACGCAACCAATGTTCAAAGATCAAAGAAAATTAACTACATGTCGCCGTGTTCAGAAATGTACCGAAGAATATTTTTCACAATGTATGGAAATGTGTGAAAAAAAACTATTTCGAAAGTCATTTGGGCGGGCAAGGGAGTGCTTGATGCAATTTTGAGCCAAACAAATAAGAAATTTCACTTGCAGTGATATCGGAGACGCCTGAATTATCAATTTTCCAATTACATCACAGACAAGGTCAATGGGTCACGCGTCCAGCCGTCTATCTTCGGGGAGGATCAAAGACCAGACCCGGGAGACGGCGGAAATCGAGCCTAAGGACTAGGCTCCCTTCAATTTTCCTCAGGTCAAGGGAGAACAGGAGTAAAGCAACAAAGGGAAACCTAAGAGGGAAGGGGACAGGGTTAGGAATAGAGAGTGACTATTAGAGTAGCAGACAGCAGGAGATGAGCACTGAATGTGGATGATCACAACATTGACAATGATCCCATTCAACTCACTCTTCATGTTGACTATGAAAAAAACTCCCTGGATTTATTTGGTCTGGTCATTTACATGTACACCTACTCAGTAGCTCAAATACAGAAATGCCCAACGTGTACAGGTACATGTACATCTACTGAACCTACATTAAAATTAATGTACTAACACAGAAAAGCTTCTATATTAATATCCACTAAAAGCTGTATGGTAATGTGGTAAAAGTCCCCTCTTAAAAAGGTTCAAGCCACCTCTAACACAGAATTCCCTACGATAGTATCACACCTTTTTCTTTGCATCCTCCTCAGAGCTTTTTGACTCATTCACAGAATTTTCTAACTCTCCGCACTTGCGTTTGTACTGCAAAACCTTCTGTTGCAGCTTTTGAATTAACTGTGCTTGTCTCTGTTGACCATCCTGGTATGCCTGAAGCTTGCGCTTGTAGTTTGTATGTTCTTCCTCAAGCTTGTTCTTGAGGTAAGCAACCTGTTGGACAACGTTACCATCCACTGATTGGTCACCAGCTCCAAAGCCACTTGTGTACCCTCCACTGGTTGGGCTTGTTCCACCTTTGATGTAATGCTCCAACTGAAAGAACAACACACAACAGTTGACTGTTTAGTTTAAATGTGACTAAATTAATTTAAGTAGAGTTAAACTTGAGATGTCTCAGGTAGAGATATAAAGGGTGTCCTAATTGCTTTGTAGGGGTTTAAGTGTTTTTACAGCCTTTCACTTGAGGTTAGGCCATTGCATTTTTGTGTCCTTGCTGTTGTGGCTTGTGCTTTAAAAGTGTTTTGTTGCTCCCAAACCTTCCCCCTCCTGGTATGTATGTGGTAAGTAATGTTAAGTTCTACGGGTTAGCAGTGTGATGGCACCTGAGTGGATGTCACTCTCAGGGTTGTCAAGGTTACGCATTGCACCAGTTTCAGCCTCACTTGCACCTCCTTCCTTGATGTCCCATTACCTTGGCTGATAAGTTTCATCATGAACACCAAATAAATGTATGTTTCTGGATTTTTTTTGTTGTGTAATAATAATAATTAGAATCAATAAAACCAATCAGGTACAGTGTAAAAGGTAGCTGGGTCAAAGTTGCTATGAATTGCATGGTAGGACTGTTTTGGACAGCCAATTTAAATTCAGTTTCCTGTGCAACCTCAAAATAGCCACTTCTGACTCTGGCCTAGAAAGTGTTCAACACTAGCCTAACTTTAATATCTAACTGCATCTTAATGATTAAAATTTATGTGTTAATTATGGTGCAGGTACCAAGACCTATTGTTTTGTTAATGCAATATTTTTTGTCTAAAAATAGTCATAGAAATGCCTACCAAAATATCACCTGACTTAAATATGACCCCCTTGAAAATGAGACCAGAGAGTATGGACCTTTTTTAACATACTGAGCTGTTTTTTTGCAAAAAGGCAGAGAGAGTTTGTAATATGGCCCTTTTTTAATACTTGCGCTAACAACTGAAATATCCTTTATTCATAACTCAAGAGCCTCATTTGCCTTACTTTCACGATGCAATATTGTTTAAAGCTGGATATTTCCATGTGAATGCCACTTTCAATGATTTCAAGACAAATAAATACAATGTCTGTTGTTGATAAATCACTTCAGCTTATACACAGCCCAATCTAAGTCATCACAATATACTGGTAGTTATTAAACTGGAAATGCAACGAAGACTAATTGCAGTTCCTGAGCTACTATACTATAAAACAACAATGAGATTTTCATGTCACCTTATTAACAAGTTACCATAATCATATCTACCACCACAAAGAATACAAATTAAACTCCATGCATAATTTATTGCTGGAAAATTGCTTTTTCACCAAAGCTGATATAACTTTTAGCAAAAACAACCTACACTATTAAGGTATCTCATCTTGGATGCTATTACTTTAGTCACAAAAAGGAAGATTTAGCCTTCAAAAATCCCCAAAATGCTATCAAGAACTGTGTCCCTCACATTTTCGTGTATTATAAAATAAGTGAAAAAAACTTGTTATCAGCTAAATGGGGTTGCAAAAATTCTGCGCTCAATTTCGTGAAAAGGAAAATAATGAAAAAAGACTAAAATAATATTTGGTTTGAATAAGGGAAACCTAATATTACAAATGAATTAAAAGCTGGGAAGTGCTTGCAAATAAGTCAAGAAAACCTGCTGACAACAGAGTATATGAATTATACATTATAACCATCCATTTGCATTGCCATGCAACAATATAGCTCTATAACAATAGCATTGCCTTCCTGATTTCATCATTTTCCTCGAATTTAGTGAAAAACAAATTTATCGATGCTGATTTTGACAAGGATAGAATGGTTATTGACTTTTCCCTGACATGTCAACAAAGGAAGCCAATGTAAACATACTAAAATATTCAAGATTTGAGCGTCCCTGGAAAGTGTTCAATTCTAAACTTACAAGTTATTGAAAATTTAAAGGGCTGTCGCGGAAGGGGGTGGGTTTTAACCTCTCGCAAAGCAGCATGACCAATTTCATAAATTGATTGAAGCTTTCGCTTATTTCTCAAGTTACAAAATTCAACGTCTCAACAAAAACCTTTGAGAGCTTTACACGGAACCTTTTTGCAAACCGGAATCTAAAGGGCTGAGAAATAATTATCAATTGCAAGAATCACCCTCTTTAGGCACATTGGATTAAATTTTATACGTAATTTCACATTATCAGTCCCGGGAATTTGTAACGGGAGGCTGAGTTTGTTGTTGAAATTTACAAATGACCTTGCAACTATTGGACCTTATAAATAAGTAAATATCACAGTTAACTGGTCTTCCTTACCTTATCACTAACGGCCATGTATTTAGAGCCAATTTCATCCCTCTCTGCTCTTGTAGCTGCGAGTAAATCTTCAAGTCGGCTGACCTCCGATTGTAACATTCGCGATTCATCACCAAATCCCGGGGAAGCCATCTTGGAATCGACAGGGGAAATTGATTTTGTGACAATGTCGCGAATCTTTGTGGGAACAGTTGGGCTTTTCGCTCCGGGATCGCCGTTCAAATGCTGGTCCTCTAATCTCTGTGGAAAGAAAGCCAAAGCTGTCAAAAATTTTGATCAAATTCACACTATGATAACGGTCATAGCAACAGTTTACGGAGCAGTTGGGATCACTACATCGAACGAGAGATCGAGTCGGACACGTTCCAGAACTAAATAAGAAAATTAGCCTTTCTTCGTTCTATCTAAAATTGTAGTTAGATCTACGATTTACCTTAATGACAGAGCTAAGACCGGGCTCGGGCGAACCACCTAAAATTGAACTTCTTCCGTCGTGATAGCTCATGCTCACACATCTACGATTACTCACAGGCTGGAGTCAATTTTCAAAGACCACCGGCCGAAATTTCGCGCTTCGACGAGTAGGACTCCTCGAAACGCAACCAAATCCCAACGTGACGAGCTAGAATCGAGGTGAATTGAAAAGCCTCAAAGCTCTAGCTAAAAGCCAACCCAAAGCGTTGTAATCTTTCTAAGTCTTGCCGCTAATCTTTCGCTTTCCTCACTGGCTGAAGCTAACGTAAACTAAAGTGTCTCATGCACTGGGTCTAGTCCTTCTGAAGCGACGCCACGCTCTCGGCCAGTGGCAGTTGCTATGGCGACGCTATGCTGAGGTGGGATAGGTGATTGTTTCGCGCCACCTAGTGAAAGGAAAGCGCGCTAAAGTGTAAATATTACAGAAACTCTATTGTGGATAAGATCAACTCGGAATTCTGTTTTCCATTGGAAACAATAGTACATATCATGGAATCAAAAGCCCTATACAAAGGTATCATTTTGGAGACAGCGATTTCGCCAAAAAATGGGTTGAAGACGAGATGAAATTATTTGGAAAGGCCTTGGCTGTCCCAATTTGCGTTTCTTTGAGCTTGTCAACACTAGAATCGATGGACGCTGCATTCCTTAATCTCCAAAACGAGTAATTAACGTCTAAATGCGTGTAGGAAGCGTATACTAGTTTTCGCAAGCACGTTTTGTATCAAGAGGATTTAAGCAAGAAAAGTTAAAGAACTTCGACACGCCTGTACAAGATGCCACGAAGGATTAAATCTAAGCCTCTTCAAGATTTTTTCCTATCACTGCAATCATCTGAATCATTAACTAATGAATTATCGTTGTTAGTTCATCCAAGTAATTAATAAATTAATTGGGATACAGCCTAATCTATTGTTTCTTTACAAAAGGGCATTTAAAAGCCGCAAATTGCTTGAAAGCAAATTTTAATGCGCCGCTTCTGTAATGAACAATCAAGAACGAACTGAACGCGAAATATGTACAAGTTTCAAAGTGCCTAAGGTTATTTTAGTACTGAAAACCATGCCCATTCAATGGCAATTGCTAATCAATATGACCTGTGGCGATCGTCTTCAAAAGTGAACCTATCTTGAATTATTTTGCTCACTCGAAAAAAAAAATCGCTCATCGCATCATATTAGCCATGTATGATTTTCTTCGCCTAATCAATGTCCAAGGAACTTTTATATGTTGTTATTTTGCACGTTTAAAAGCGGAGCTCGAGTACAGATGTGGGTTATTTTAGAGAAGCTTAATGTAGAGACCGCAGAAGCCTCCTGGACGCCCATATTGATACACCTCGGCCTAAGGTCCAAAAACAGCCATATGAAAGAATACACAACCTGGACATTCTTCGAGAAAAGAATATCCAGGTTGGGATTTGGACAAATAAGCCCCACATAAACAAAAACGGTTGTCTTTTTTTCTATACAACCACTTTAGAATGTTGCCAAATCAGCGTTACTTTACTCTTGTCAACGGGGCGCCTTGAAAGGTAGGCAAGAAACTACGTCAGAAATCTTCCCTCAAAAAAATGAAAAGCCGACAGATATCACTAGATTTTCAACTGAATTATTCTTAAGAATAGAAAGCTTTATAAGGCAACGCTGGTGCAGCTGTCTGAAATATAGTCCTAGTCAAGAGAGGAGTCGATTAGGAGACCAAGATAAAATTTCGGAAGAAACTGATCTACGGTAAATTCTTGCAATCTTCATCGAGCAGAAATAACAACGAACCATCCCAAAACTACCTCTGATGCAAGGTTGAAAATGTATAAGTGAAATTAGCATAATCCGGTTTAACTACTCGCTATATTCAATCAAGCCCTTGAACAATTGATTCAGAGTTTCCAGTTATCATCCTAAAAATGAAAACGATTTCAAGAGAATTTTTAAAACTTACCCTAAAAAATAATCGAAGACGATTTTTCCGAGCCTTTGCTTTCGCGACAAACCAAAAACTGTCTCAAAACAAGAGTACAAATCACTACTAGCATAATTAAATCTGCAAGGAACGCGACTCGATGCACATTTCTATGGCGACGGATTAATTCCTATTCAAGTTTGATTAAACCCTGTCAAAAGTAACACCATAAGTATAGACAAACGATCCTTTATGTTTGCCAAGGTTAAAGAATATCAAAGGATGGATAATTTAGTTTGCGTCTACGAGATAACCATAAACTTTAATATCAAGCTGTGCATGCATCCTCGGTTTTCCTTACATTTTTCAGTCCTTTATTGTTCATTGTAAGAAATATTGTCACTTCTACTCTATATATACTATTATAAAAACTGTTGCACTGGGTATGAAAAGTTTTAGGATGGTTAAGTAAGTCTTCTTTGGAAAAGAGCAGATCGACCGCTGACTCATGACCTACAGTCTCTTTGGCGTTTGAATACAATGTGTTAAGACCTATCAGTACATGTATCATGATTTTCCTTCCACGAGACGGCAATGAAACTTCCAGCTGATGGAAATTTAGAAAATAGGAAATAAGCCGAAACTAGAAAACAAGAAAATACTATAAGCTACTAATTGAACAGACTAACCAATCTCTCTTCTCGGGGTTAAAGGAGAAGCCAAAAATATCTCTTCTTCATCATTTAGTTCAAGAACGCGAGTATGTTTTATTTGCATTGTGGGTTTTTTTGCAAAATCGTTTGGGATTTGTGACTTTTTCTTTCTAATTTTATTTATTCCATATACTATTCCAATTATAGCCATGTAAGTCCTGTCTCTTTTCAGTTTTTGTAATTGCAATTGTTGCTGTTTCAAAGTACAGTTATTAAAATCGGAGAGAAAAACTAAATAGAGAACTACTGAAGGTTAAAAACTTCCCTTAAAAGTAAATTGTCATCATTACCATTATCATTAAATTTGAATTCCCTCTCACCGTTCACCACCACCACCACCACCACCATCATCATCGTCATCATCATCATCATCATCATTATTAATACTGCTACTCAGTTCCGTCAAACAAGAGAGAAGCCAGTTTCGTAAATAAAGCGTATCGAAAAAAGCAAATTTAACATTTTCGTGATGAAAGCAATACACTCCACTTGACTCAAGCAACGGAAAAAAAATTAAGTTGTTGGTACTACAGTTTTTTGTTTCACTGCACTGATCCTTTTTTTTATTGTGCATGTTTATTTTTCTGTGCTATTCAGCACTGTTAAACTTTTATAAACTCATTAGAGGCATCAACGGAATTCAACTTTAAAAATAAAGTTCTCTAGCTCGTCCCATTGAAGCACTGTGATATTTAGTAACGCCGGAGCCTATTACGAGAGGTAAACAAATATTATTTTATCGCTCGCTAATTCATAATCAACAACAGGCCAGAGCTGATTCTCAAAACACCTAAGGTTAAAAATATGTCATTTTCTCTTAATTACTGTTAGAATCAGATCAGTTGGTCTTTTGTCATTTGTATTGTGACTGAAAGTTTTGGAACATTCTTCAAGGCATTTTTCACACTGTACTCAGTTTTTCGCAGCTTTCAGATGTCTGCCCTGTGAGTCGAAGGTTTTAACGCAAATGAGCCCTCAAGGAACTCAAAAAGCGAGTGTTGTCATCGCAAAGGAGTAAAATTATATTGTTCAATTCTTTTACACTAGGACCCGTTTTGCTTTTATTTTGCCGAAAAAAAAATTGTGAAAGAGCAGATTATCAAGAATGCAATCTTGGTCAAAACCGTAATTTTGACAAAAGACTCTTAATCCCGGAGTGTTAGCCATTGCAAGTTCGGTAAGCTGATCACTGCAAAAAAAACTTTAACAATTGCGTGCAAGGAATCCTACCTCCCCTCCATCCAACAGCCTAAAACTGATTACTGGCACAAAACAGCAATATGGGGCCGTTGCGTCGCATTGGTCTTCATAAACTAAAAAGGTTATATTATTGTTCTGCAAAGAAGTGCAAATTTCTTATCCAATCAACAACAAAGCTGGTTGCCGCAGGTGAAGGAACTGGTGCAGTCTTGTGATGAATGCATAATTACAATGGCTGACTTGTAAGGTAGACTTTTTCCGTTATCCGGCGAACTGTAATGATGAATAAGTAACGCTCTCTCCCTCTGCCACTGCTGTCTGGAAAGACATATAGTGGATTTTTATACTCGATGATAGTCGGAAAGGGAATATTTTCAGGTAAAAACAAGAAACATACACCTTGCGTGTCAGTTGATTGTTCTACAGAAATAAAACACATCGAATATAATAAATTACCTTTTTTGAAGCCATTGCCCGGTTTGCAAGTTATCGATTGAAGTAATTATCTGTTGCGTTAGATACTGTGAAAATTGGGCTGAAAATTCCTGGAATATTAATAGCTACAAAAGGGTGTATCGAGAGAAACTGAGGCCGTGCTTAGTTTTGCTTCTGCAAAGCCAACTCATACCATTTATCTCAAGCATTGAATTTTGTTACTCCCTGGATTTAAAGTCTTTTGTTATGTAAAGTTCAGACGCTGTTTAAAGTTTACCGTCAACTGACTGCTAACTACATCCGGTGATTGCCTTTAAATCTGATCAGGTCGTCATTGCAAAAGTAAACACTCCCTGTACAGAGTTTTGTACGAAGTTTTCAGTTTCTGTAGCCGGGTATATTGGCTCTCGACAAATGCATGATTGTTCGCGATCGTATAAAGAAAAATGATCGTTTCGATCGCAAAATAACTGAAACCCTTCTAGTGGCATGTCAACCCGCCTCGGCCGAATCATTATGACAGTCTGATATATGCTACAGGCAAAGCAAATTGACAAAAATAAACATTAAAGTATAAAACTGTTAATGGAGTTTACACTCTGCATAGGCAAAAAAAGGTCAGATTTCTTCCTCTTACAAAGCAGATCTGTTCATATATCAGCCGAGACAATAGAAGCGCCAGCTCTAGTCTACTATATTATTTAAAAAGGGTTGATTATCAGGGATTATAGCAAAATATATTTTTCAAATGATAGTTGACTAAATGCATACCTTACGAACCGGGGGAAAAAATTGGTCAAGACAAGCAATATAATGCAATGAGACACAAGTTTGGTGACTAACTATTGTTTAGTGGGGAGTTTTCGAGGCATGTTACCAACTGAACTTCATGATGTCAATCCATGAAAGCTCACCTGATTGTAAATGTAGCTGTCAGGTGTCTGGAATATTGTAGATTAACTTCATCAATAAAATTTTTTTCAGAGTCATCATTTTTTTTCATGGAACTCTTAATTATCCGATCCATATTAAACACTGACAGTAAAAGATGCATTACTTTTTCGATGCCATTTAAAGCAGTGACCGTTACTTTGGTTAAGTCTTTAGCAAGCCGGTGCTATGCGCCCGATCAGATCAGCTGTTAAACTTACGACGCAGCTAAAATTTGGAAAAAAAAAATACCTTGATGTTTCGTCCAATTGAGTGATAGCCAATATCATCTTCTGCCTCGGAACCACTGTTTTTCAAAGTATCAAATTCTCCTTCGTCGTTTTTCGCGAGCAGGGGGTCTTCCATTTCGCCTTTTCGTCTTTCAAGCTTCGCGGCTCCCTCCTAGTTACACAGCCGTGTAAGTTACTTTCAACATAATCTGCCCAGACGAGAGACGCGATGTAGGTAATATTTGATTGGCTAGAAAGTCAACGCTATTGTTAGCTGGATCAACGTAATCATGATCGCATTGTGCGCGGTTATTACGAGACCCCTTTTAAACAATGCCAAATTGGGTTGCGTATGCATACGAATGGTAGATTTTTCTGAGACCAGACGGCTTGGATAAACAAATAACGACTAAGTGCAAATAGATTGATCATTGGAGGCTATAAAGTTGTAAACTGAAGGAAAACTGCTCTTTGTTCATTGGCACATTGATCAATATTTAAGGGTCATAGACTTGTGCGCGCGTATTGCTTTTATACGCGCCCATATTCGAACCCGGGTTGCACCAGACGCACGGCTTGCCTGCGTTGCGCAAGATTACTCTGTTGTTGCAAGCTTAGCCAAAAAATAAGAAACAACTTCTAAGTGCATCTGTGTCACCACCCCAAGGCTCAGATCAGTGAGATCAAGGTACCATCCACCTAATCCACCACGTCTGTTGACTTGTGCTCGAAGGAAGCTCAACGGCCCCCGATCAGTCAAAACTTAACAACAAAACTTCCATTTGAACCAAACAAAAGGGCAAGTATTGTAAGTTTATATTTACGTTGGACAATTGCTTACTGGAATTGCGTAATCCCCAAGGAGTAACGTCCAATTAAAGTTGTCTCAGCCCTTCGATGTTCGTTTTATCGCATTCACTGCCTGGGTCTCTGAGTCTTACCCCTTACATTCGCCAGTTAGTCTCAAAACTTGGTCGAAATTGTGAGCTGGAAGTTAATTAGCTTAGGCAAATGTGGTACTTATGGAGCAGACTTTTTAGTTCCTTTTCGTCTGATTTTGAGAGGTGCATCAGCAAAAATGTTTAACGGCTAGTTGCTTTTTTAACTAGATCCCCAAGACCACCTCCCTTCAAGAAGTAATCTTCTTGGTTAATCCCTACCATTTATTACTCGCAGGAGGTCTCTCATACGTCGTTGGTTTAGGGCACGCGAATCACAACACTTCGCTCATCTTTACTGAAAAAGAAAGAAACTCTTGAAGGAATACAAGAGAAGAAGAAGGAGGAGTAGGAGGAGAAGACAAAGGAAAAGTGTTAACCTTTCAAAGAGGGCATATCATGACCACAACACCTCTCAAATTTTCGGAAGGAAAGCTTGATTCTAAGGGCCTGTTTACATGGAGTGGGGGACCCCGGTCTAGTGGGGTAAGTTTCTTTTGTTTTCGCGCTCTGGGGGACACAAAACTTACCCCACTAGACCGGGGTCCCCCACCCCATGTAAACAGGGTCTAACTTATTAGAAGCGCGAGCAACAGGCGCAGGTTAAAACACAGCAGTGCACAAACGTAACATTAGTCAGTGAGCTAAGAAAACTGAAAACATTTAATTGAACTCAAACATCATAAAAAAGTACCTTGTGTTTTTCATCTCAAATCCATTATAAATTAAAGCAGTGGATTAACGAGCTTACGAATGTGGTGACACAATCTCTACCAGAAGCGGGTAATCGGCTCATGTCTCTATAAAATTTCATGTCTAAAAGGGGCCACACAAAACATGGAGTCAATTTCGGCTCCTGACCTCTAACTACGATGCAACTGAGAGATTGCCAGAGAGAATAGCCTTTCAAATAAATCTTTGCTTTAAAAGAAGAGTGAGTGACCAAGAGGCGAGAGGATATCTTCTTCTTGGATGTTTACAAGGCATGGTGTTTTTTTCCCCGCAAGGAACCCGGGCTGAGCGCTTGATGCGCCAAAAAATTGCGCGAAAAATTTACTCGCAGAGAGACTGGGGCGAGGTAATGAAATAGGACATCAAAGATGGCGGACGTTGCAGATCAGAAGGAGCAAAGAGTTTTGCGTGTTAACCAGGTACATTTATTAGTCATTTTTTTTTATCTATAGTCTTTCAGCCACTCATTGTTATATGAGAGAGTAATTGAGTAAACTGAACGCTATTTGTAGTTGGATGCAGCTCAACTAGATGAAGAAATAATCCACCTTTTGCGGACTCAACTGAACAGAGCATTCCAGTATTTTGAGGTATAATTTGTTTTTCAAAGACTTTATACAAGTTACTACCATTTAACATAACTATTTGTTTTAATTTTCATATAGCTTCTAACTAAAAGTAATTTTTTGGGCGAGTTTTATGCGCGGCGATTTAGAAAATTTTAAAATATAATTCGCAAAATGTTGAAATGCATGGTTTGCACCGAGTCATACGTACACCCATATCATCGTAACTCAGCTTGGAAAACCAAGTGAATTGATTTGCCTTCAGTTGACACAGAGTCTAAGAGATGATCAGTGTTTTTTTCGTTTGCATGGGGTTGGGTTTTGACATTTTCCAAAAAATTTCTTTCAAATTCCCTGCGCGCGGGCAAATCATTCCAGTCAGATGCACAGAAATTTCCATACCCCGGGCTGCACATGGTTGCTTTTGAGTTAAGTTTTACCTGTTCTGGTTTCTAGTAAAAACAATAACTGACATCTTTTATTGAAGTTTAACTACAGTATCAAAACATTTTAGTCCCGCACAGCATTGTAAAACATTTCCAAACTTAAGTATTAACCTTATACAGAGTTCAATCTAAATTATAGAATATCCACTAATGGCCCTGTCCCATTCTCAATTAGTACACGTCTGGTGAAGAAAGATTCAAATATCCCCTCCCCTGGGAGAAAGTCCCAACTCAGGGCCAACGTAGACAATGAAATCCTCACCCCATGCCCTGCCTCCCCCCTTTTTGGTCTGTGATAAGGTCAAGACTTGGAGAACCAGATGGCACATCCCCTCCTGTAGATTAGCTTCCTTTTGCACTCTGTATGTTAGTGCTCTGCAATCTTTAACTATTTCTTTATTAACCACTACTTTTATAAGAGGGTGTAAGTTATTCTGTAATGGAGTGTAATGCACAATGCAGCAATGCAGCATGGTGGCTGGATTGTCAATGTTGGTGGTAAAAAAACAAATGAGAATAACAGAATGCCTTTTTGCACTAGGCTGGTGTGTTAACGAAATATGAAGCTGAACTGAATGCTGTTCTACGATTTCTTGTTTGGAGGGTGAGTATACTGAACCCTTTACCTGCCAAGATCTGATAAGTAATTCTCCTTTTTGGCTGGTTTAGATTTTATTGTGCATTAGCTTAGAGAATTTGGGTTTATATCAAAACACATTCTCTGGCTGCTACATTTGCTTTTTCTTATCACCTTCCTGCCAGAGAATGTCTTGGATTCATGTATTATAAGGAGAAATTAGATGGCAATCAATATGAAAGTTAAAGGGCTTAGCTCAAAAACTACATGTACATGTAGATGTTGGGGTTCAAGTTTTGGTTTGAATTTTTTTTTGTTGCTTCAAAGTTATTATCATACATTGTCTTACATCAAAACAAAAGAAACAAATAGATGAGCCACAATTAAAATTTAGTCACATCATAGATTTTATGACTCTGTAGCATGCTTGAATAACCGCTTGGATCAGATGTGGTTGTATGCACGTTTATAAGAAACCATGGTTATTGAAGCAGAAAGCTTAGGTCTGATAGCTGATCATCCTAATAAGTTGCATGGACTAAGAGTGCAAGGCACCAGTTTGCCATGATATCTCCTAATTTGCCAACCATGTTTGTCCTTGTCAATGTCAGGACTGTGCTCTAGCAGAGCCCGGAGATTGCTTACTGTTTTTCTTGGGTGACTAGAAAATCTCCGTTTTTTGCATCGAAATGGGCACCCTTGATTTCAGAGGTTCTGAGTATTTCTAGGGCTCCCTACAGGTTTCCTTAGAACACAGCCTTGAAGATGCTTTCTGCCTGCCTTTGCTAGAAACTTATGTCCCCACCTATGGGGACCGAGTTTTTCATTTGCCCCCAAACTTTGGAACAACCTGCTGGTAAATATTAGAACAATGCATATGAGTCCCTTAGATCCCTTTAAAATAAAGCGCAAGACCCATCTCTTTCAGGACGCATTCTTATAGCATTTCTTAGCATTTTTGTGGCATTTTTAGCATTGTAGCTTTTGTATTTTTTAATAATTATATCAATTGATGGTAATATCAGGCCATGATAGATTTTTATTTCTGTAAACACATTGAGGCAATACAAAATGCTTTCCAAAAACTGCAAGTATTATTTTGTATTTTTGTTATTATTAAGAGGAGGGTTGCTATCCAGCATTGATGTTGCCACGGGTATTCTCAAAGTTGATGCTAAAAAGTAACAAACAATAATATCTTTTTGCATTTATCAGTTTTCAAGGTTAGGTGAGTGTGTACCTAGTAGAGCTGTGGTCTAAAAAAACCCCTTTGATTCAGTTTTCAGTTTACAACTGTGAAGCCACTGTCGGCCAGATAATGCTTAATATGAAGTATAGCTCAACAGGTAAGAGATAAGAATCGTTACATTTATGAAACTCAAGATAGATTGTTGGAACCTTTATTTAAGTGTCAAAGTATTTATTGGGGCCATTAAGAAAGCTATACTATTAAAATGCTTTTAAAAACAAAGTGAATATTTACAGAGGTAGAATGCTTAGTTTGATTTTACTTAACCCTTGAATAAGGTAGTAGATTACTACACAGTTATTATGCACTAATTCCATTGTCTATCACTCATTTTTGTTTACTTGTAGCAATTTGGCATTGGTTGTTAGTATCTGTTTCATGAGTAAAGTAAAATCACCCTTAGGAAACCTACACTTCTTGTTAAGCTTCAAAAGTGAATATTTACGATACTAAGATATTTAATAAAAATGTCTTTAAATGAAGAATGATCCTCGCAGTTGTGAATGCAGTTTATGCAATTGCATAAGAAGGCTGAAAAAAATTCAGGACTTCAACAGGATTTGAACCCATAAGCTTGAGATACCGCTGCAATTCTCATTCTTCATTTGATTTAATTTCCAAAGTTCTTTATGATTTATTTCACATACATTTGTCACAAAAATGTCTTTGTTACCTGTACCTCTAGAAGGCACAGCTTTTGCTTTTAAGAGGCACAAACATGAAGTCTATTAAATGCCCAGCAAAAGAAGGAAATGGGAGAAGAAAAGTGAAGGGAGTGAAGTGGGAGAATGCAAAAGAGGAAAAAAGTGCTTCCTGGGTCTGCCTGCACTTAGAAAGCAGACAATCAAAAACAAAAGCCATCATAGATCTCAACTTGTAAAAAGGTTTTGCATAGTTTTGCTTCTCTCTGGCAAGATTGTGGACAGAGAAAAGGGTGTTTTTGGCAAAATCTCTGATGAGTTCACTTCAGGCATGCTAATGGTGGTGTGAAAAGTACTTATGGGTTTGGTGTCTGAATATTTTTCAATGTCTTTAATCTGTTGAATTAATTTTATTTACTTCATTAATTTTGGTAATCACACCTTCTACAATCCTCAGAAGCTAAGGTTATGTGAGTAATGTCAGGTTATTGTCATACGTCCTGATTGTACTTAACCGAAGAAATTAACCTTCTTTCCACAGGACGCAGTTTATCTTTGTTACAGAAACTGTTAGTTGGTTTCTGTGTTGTGGGAATACCTTACATGAGAGAGAGGAGTACTGAGATCAGAAGAATCACTGACAAATTATCAGACTTCAATTTTGTGAGTAAATAACCTCATAAATAGTTGACATAGTTGAGATAATTATGTAGCTTTGAAAGTCTAGGAAAGTCAAATGGGGAGCTACATTAAACCTGTTTGAAATTTCCCTGTGCAATACCTTCAGACTTCATTTACTTATTAAAGGGACCAATCTAGTTCAAAGAGATGTTTGAAACTTGTCTGCTTTTTTTCAACTGGATTTGGCAGTTGTGCGATAAAGAAACACTTGTGCACCCAATGAAAATCCTTGCATAATCTTCATCTCTTTTATAAAAATATGAATGTGACTGGTTGAATACCCAGTGAGACTGATTGGCAAGTCATGAAAGCATGAAGGAATTTGACAAACAGTAATGCTTTTTATTGAAAACTATTGGAAATTATTAGAAGAGCATAATACATGACTTTAGCTATAATTGTAAAATCTGGTTGATTGATCAATAGTTTGCTCGTAGTATAAATTATTGTCAAAAAGGCAACTGCAAGGACCGATCAAACAACGTGAATAGAGTTTAGTTACGATATCTCGAGTGGCCAATACCAATCTTCATCAGGTTTATTGGGAAGATCACGAAATTACAGAAATATTTTTGCAGTACTACAATGGGTGGAAGTGACGTAGTTGTTTTTCTACTGGAAAAAAATAAGATAACAGAGAAACAAATGAAGATATGTTATATACTAAAATATAGAGGCGGATCATAAATCATCATTACTAATTTAGACTGATCGCGATCTGTTTTGATCCAGTGTTGAGCAAGATTGATCGGACACGGTTTTTTGCAGTGGTCTAGTACCTTAAATTTTCATTCTTTTATAGTCTGTCTATAGTTCACAAGACCTAATTTTGGTTACCATGAATCCATGAATCCATGAATCCTTGTCTATTTTAAACACATTTGGCTTAATAGAGACGGAAGGCTTATTTAAGAGGGGGAGGGGCGGGGGGTGGTGTTATTTAATTTAGTAAAGGCCATGGTGTTAGTTCTCCATAGAAATCCAAAATGCAAGGTGGAAAAGCTTAAGTACAAAACGTTGGAGGGCATGCATCTGGAGATCAAAAACAAATCCGAACTTCCAGCTGGTAATAAACCATCCTGGATCAGTCCAGACGAAGTTTTACAGTCAAGATTGATTAATACAGTCTATCATAATAAGGGGGGAGGAGGACTGAAAAGAGAGGGGAGGGGGGGCTTATCAACTTTCTTCCCCTGAAAAATGGGGGGGAGCTTGTTAGAGAGAGGGGCGGGGGGTTAATAGAGGATTTACGGTATGTTTGTTGTTCGTTCTTGCCCTTGCTCACTCCAGGTACTCTCCGCAAAATACAACTTCGTGGTTTTTCCATTCAATTTCAAATTTTAAAAGAGTAGAAAAAGAACCTATTTTATGTTCTGCTAAATCGTTGTTATGGGGTTTCAACGTATACTCTGATTGTTATATTGATATTAAAAGCTACTTCCTTTTGACATTATACTATTTAACTTAGTTCTACGTGCTTTTACTGTGGTTGTAATATACAGTCATGATTATCTTTCTGCTCTTTACTTTTGTTATAGATCTGGAAATGCATTTATGCTGGAGAAAAGCTGCTTCATGTTTTGTCTGTCCTAAACTTTCTTGTATTTCTTCAAAGGGGAAAGTATCCTTTTCCTGATTATTTTGATCACACAATTGCCCTTAGTTTTTCATTTACTCTTGGTGAGAAGATTTGCTCAGTAGCTCTCAAATCTCACCTCAGGATTTCATAAACAGACTGAGAAGTTAGATTCACCTCATATGGCATAATTATTAGGAATTTGTTCATGTTTAGCGTTCATATATCGAGTTATGGATTCACGAGGGAAACGGATTGGAGAGCACGAAAGAAGCGAAAGAGTAATTCCCGGCTATGCCTCGAGCAATTCGTATTAGGGAGCTTAAGCAACTACGACGGCAAGGGCAGCGAAAGCATCACTTAGAACTAGAATTCGCGCTGTTTCAAACTTCATCGCTACAGTTCTACCTCGTTCAATTTGTTAAATATGGGCGAATTTTTCTAAAGTTAATCCTAAATGACTTTATCCAAATCAGAAACAGGAAAAAGAAAATCGTTGTCTCGTATTCACGTATTTCATAACACGTGAAATCAAGAAGTTTCACGTCGTAGTCGCGCAAGGACTGCAAGGAAATGTACAAGAAAGCGTGATGCACGTGCAAAGTTGTTGTTTTGCTTAAATCTTAATCTATTGCTTTTTTGCCGTTCTCGTTGCCGTCGCCGTCGCTGTCGTGGTTGCTTAAAGCTCCTCATTGACCCACCAAGACGGTCTTAATTGAAAGTAAAGCCCCCCCCCCGAATATTTTTTTTTAACGGAGATTTTTTTCTCCGTTCTAGCCTTCCGTTCTCGCGTAAACGGTGTTTTGGAGCACCTAAAACGCATTAAAAATGGTCCCCAGAGTGGAGATTTTTAAAAATGCCTGTTTCTCATTTTATACGTGTGGACGGACGGTAACGGAGAACAGCATGATGTCATACATCATATTCCACTAGCATTACGCATGCTCTGTAAGGGATGCTATCGTATTTCCATCGTTTTAGCGTTTTTACATGAACGGGCGAAAACGATTCAAATATGCTCCGTGGGGACCCCCCCCCCTTCCCCACCTTGTTTCTAAACAGAGAAAAAAAATCTCCGTCTTCAAAAATATCCGGATATGTGTTGACTTGGCCTAACTCTTCCATAACATTGTTGCGTACGCTTTTACGCCCTTATACAACGAACGGCCTTTCTGGAATTGATCAGCTCTATGTACATAAAGGCCACTAAAAAATCGTTCGAAATCAGATCACTTGAAGTTTATTTCTTAATAAATGTTCGAGATATCCGTCAATACTTGAACGTATTCTTGGCATTCATCCAGTGTTTGCTCAGCGGCAGTCTATTAGACAAGTCAGTTTTGAATTTATGACGAGAGAGTTGTTATGGCATGGATTTGCGGTAAGTGTATTTTTACTGTTTATTTAAAGATAGTACCTTCTGGCCCCTTTGATAGAAAAGGAGGTGGGTGAGGGGTGGGGTGGGGGTATTAACTAGGCTTACGTTTTTTTGAGGAGGCCCGAGGCAGCTTGGCCGAGCGGGTAGCCGATGGACTGGTAATTCGGAGGCCGCAAGTTCAAGTCCCGCCTTGACTGCTAGCTGGATTTGTTCTCTGTACATCCGGGTTCAGGTCCTCGGAAACACTTGTAAAGTAGCCTACTGGGCCGAGTTGTTCAAAGCTGGGTTAAGATAACCAAGGGTTAGTGCGAGATTTAGATTCATATTTGAAAGCGTGAAAAGCAGTTAAGTCTTAATTCTTTTGGTCTACAAGTTGATGATTGGAAGCTTTAAAAATAACAGAGATAATTATCCGAGAAAATGCTCCTGAACACAAGAAAAAGAAACCCGGGTTAAATTTAACCCCGGGTTAAGCACTAATCGGCCTTCGAACAACCGGGCCCTGGTTCTCCTCCTGCCGGTTGGAATTCTTAACCCTATTATGTTCCATTTGATCATCATCGCTGAAAAGCCGCATAAGAGAAAAGGATTCTCGTTTTTATCTTTTCATCTTTTTTAGTAAAATCCGGTATCATTTTTATTTATTTACCTTTGAGCTGTACGTTAACCTTTGCTACACGTATTCAATTGAGTATTCGTTAAAAAATGACCCAGTGCTTCTTTCTTTGTCAGGAATTTGTGTTCTTTCTTCTTCCGCTTATCAACGTTCCAAAACTCAAGAACATGATAGTAAGACAGTTCTCACGCCCTGTCTCTCTTGATAAGCAGCCGTCAATCAAAGTCGCCTGCCACGAGTGTGGAATCTGCAGTGAGCCACCCACTTCACCGCACCAGGGTCAGTGCGGGCATGTTTTCTGCTACTACTGCATAAAGGTAAAGTACAATCTCCTTGTTCTTTGTTGTTTTATTGTTGTCCCCCCCCCCGTGGGAGTACTCCCTTATATAAGCCATATAGGTCTGTGCGGCCCCCAAGGTTAGGGGTCTTGCGGAGCTTTGGTCTGAAAACGGGTATAGACTTTTCCTATTTTGGTTCTGAAATCGGGTATGATTTTCGAGGGAACTACGGCAAGTGAATGAACGTATTTACCATTTCAGTTCCAAATGACTAAGAAAGAAAGAAAAATATGCAAATTCGAAATGGATTTTAAGAAATCTTTTTTGTTACTGTTCTATTCTAAGTAATGGTGACAATAAATTCTTAGAGGCCAGGTCTGAACATGGGTGTGAATAAGGACATTTTTTGGGTCTGGAATAGGGTCAGAAATTGGACAACGGGGCAGCACACCCCAACCAAGAATTCCCAGGAGTACCCCTCCGGTTTCGCACTATATAAGGATATCCAATACAGTCTTGGATTCTGGATTCCACCGCGCCGTGGGTTCCGGAATTCAGGTACTGGATTCTGGATTCTTTCTCTGTGGAATTTGGATTCCGGACTTCAAACTTTAGCGGGATTCCGGATCCCAAGGCCTGGTATTCCGGATACGACAAGCAAAACTTTCTTGGATTCCGGAATCCGGATTACCTTAGATGGGGCGATTTCTTGCTTTCTCACCCAATCCTCGTAACTGTTCCGAGAGCTTTCTTGCGGCCCGAAACGCTGCCAGTTTATAAAGAAAAAACCCGTAGGCCGTGGTACGAGGAGGATATAAACCGTCTGAATAAACTCCTCCAAAGGCACGCCCTTGGAATTAGAAGAAAACGTTGTTTATGGGGTAGCATGCAAACAATCTCTTCGCGGGCGTGAAATAATTGTGCGGCTGGCGCCGGTCAAGGTGGTTTTCATGCAATCTCGTGAGACACAAATAACAATGGTGAAATGAACAAATGTTGGTGGACAAACAAAACGAGCTCATGAGCAATCTTTTGTTTACCGTCCACCAGCATGGCGGCGATCACGTAACGTGAAAAACCACCTATAGCTATTTCGTCATATCTCTACCAAAGCAACCCTCTTACAACGCGCGCTACTCCCTCTCGCCGCTCCGTCTGTGATGTAGGTATTGATGTAGATGTAAGTATATTTAGTAAGCTCTCATTGTACATGAGCATTGTCTAAAATAGAGAAGGTGATTTAAAATTTCATTTAGAAGCCTAAACTACCGGACAAAGTATCCGGTCATCCAAGGCTTTGACCAGACAAAGCCTACTTTTGATCGGACAATGTCCGTTGACCGGCTGTTATTTCAAGCCCTGCTTCGATGGCAGATAGGAGCGCGCACAAGGGAATGTTGCATAATCATTGCCTAGTCCCATTCTCCTCTGCTCCCGCAGGGTTTGCCGATGAAAATAGCAAAGAGGCCTCTCAGCTGCGGAGCATAAAGGCCTAGTCCATGTCCTTGTACTGTGTCTTCTCAGGCCTTCATGGCCAATACATTTCGGTGACGTATCCGAGGCTCGGACCACGTGACCCGAAACGCATAGGCCACGCGCAATAATGAGTTGAGGGGACCACATTAGGCAAGCAGTATCACAAAAGATAAAACACTGTGTGCGCTTTCTGATCACGAGGGTGGGGGTGGGGGTGGGAGTGGGGGGAGTGCTGAGGACAAAGGCATCGCGTTGCCTCACAACGTTTAAGTAGAAAAATGCTTGAGGTAAAATCTCCTTTTTTTCTAAAAATGATAAAAACAAGTCGCAGCATCATCTAATGCCAAGGAGGTTTCCACATTTTTTTGTTAATTAAACCGCATTATTTCAGGCCAACAGTTTAGCGGACTCCTCCTTCCCCTGTCCGTTATGCGGAGTTGCGGTTGGTGACGATATCACCCCTGTTGAATGCACAGTTGCTTTGGAAGTCACGTGAACATTTCCGCAACAATCAGACCGACACGAAGATTTAATATCGATTCGATACCGCCGACACGATTCGATACTTGGTATACAGTGTATATCGTCCCCCGCCTTGGTACAGACGAGCTGATAGCTGGAATAACCGCGGAGAAATTACGCGAAAGGGACGTGAACAGCGAGCCACGCACGCCGTTATCGTCTTGGCTCGCCCATGTGTCAACAAGGGAAAAAAGAACGAGCTAGCACCGTCGCTTCAAGAATCAGATACTGGATCAATGAAAAAACCGACCTCTAAAGAACAGTATAAGGAAGGCACTTCTTTGGCTTCCCAGTTGCCTTCCTCTACGTCAGTATGAATTTGCAAGTCACGAATAACCGTATTGTTAATGTTTCCCACGGAAAGACGGGCGTGAGTAGTTGTTTTAAGAAAATTAAATCAAAGAGAACATCAAATTTGCCTTCAACCACGTTTGAATGGGTGCCCGCAATGCACGGAACGGAGCATTTGCCCTTTAAGTTATTGAAACATCGTCCGTGAGGGGAATGGGGTACTTAGAGAAAAGCGACCGACAGAATTTGCCTCCGATAGATACTTTATCAACGAGAAAAATCGATCACTTGGCCTTGGGAAAATTTTGGCTCCTTATTGCATTTAACTACGTTTGTTTGAATTTGCCCCAGTGATCAATGCTGCTTTCGGCGGAACATTCATTCCCCCACCTTTACCCGCAATGGGATGGGAGGCACTTGCAGCAACTGCAGATGAATTCAAAAAGTTGTGAGTTTTGATGCGGGGTCTGGAAACGAAAATGAGTTGCTTTAAACACAACGCTTTGATTATTTTATTTAAATCTTCAACCAAACACTTTACAACTTTAGCAAATGTAGACGATCTATGATTAACCTCTCAATAAAACTAATTCAAACAATATTTAACTTTAAAAAATGTCATCAAATTGTATAATATCTTCTTATATTGGTATGTATATATTTTTCCTCAATAATTTAACTGTTCCTTTAAATTTCTTCGATTTAACGTATCTTGTATGAACTGTACAGATAAACGCTCTTAAGTCTTCATAACAGTCGAAGGAAATCCTTTTAATTTGAACCACGTATACGTGTTAGTCCAGTATGATCATCAATAGGAAATTTAGGAGTGCACTGGCGTTGCTTGGAAACAAAAACATCACGTGATATAACAGGTGACTGCTCCAGAGCAGCTGAATATGCTTTTAGCTGCGGAGGTTATCGTCTCTGGGAAACGAACCAAAGCATAACCAAACGCAGAACGACGCGAGACATACTTGAATTTTTCCCAAGACGCATCTTAAACAATTTTTAAAAGTCAAGCAATTTGTTCTTGTCTCGTTTCCGTCTCTGAGAGCGACTTTGAAGAGTAGGCAAGGTTTGCCTCTCCCAGCTGGTTTCTTAAGTCAATGGGCCCCACCAAAGTCCACTCCTGGTTCAGCGCAATCCATCTCGCAAAGTAGCGTACAGTCTTTTTTAGCCAGCGATAGAAAAATGCTAGCCCCAGCAGCGCACCCGCTGACCCAAGCACGTAGAATATGATGCAGGGGTCTGATACGCATCGCTGGCTCCCGTCTTTGGTTAACGAAGCTATGTTCACTGTCATCGCAACAACGTAGGTTAAAAGCCATACAATAGGAATAGGTTTGTCCTCTGGGAGACGCCACTGAAAAAGAAACAAAAGCGAAAGACGGTTACAGAACGCGTAGACTTTCTCAAAATCCGTTTTGGTTGGGTTTATCACGATGTCGTCGCCCCCCCCCCCTAAAAGGTGACGTGTGGACAAGTCTGTACCAGAGGCCTAAATAAACACTTTACTAAAAAAAGAATGATTCACTCCGAAACGTGTATTGCAAAGTCAGTGCTGCGGAGGTTGAAACTCCATGCGTGCAGGCCTCTTTATTGTGGCCTGTTCCCGTGCCTGAAGCGTCATACATTTCCTCAAGGGACCTAAAACACGGATAGTTTGTTCTCTCTCTTTGGTGTCCACACAGTGGGAATTGGAGTGTGCTTAATGGTTAATTGATAATTACCAAGGGTTTAGGACTAGCATCGCCTGTCATAACTTTGTCATTCTCAACTGCTTTTAAGACACGAACTGATTCTAAGACATTCAGAACATGACTACCAGAAAAAATTTTTCCTGTCTTAGATAAACGTATTTGACATAGCCCGGCGAAACTGCCACGCTCAACTTCGTTCCTAAAGATAGTATTACTGCATGATTTGAGAGAATTACATAAGCTGTAATGTATTCTCGTGGGAGCAAAAAAAAGCGGCTTTAGCTGAAAGTAAAACACGAAAAACCCACAAAAACGTGTACTTGAGAACCAGAGGTTAATCGGTCAGTCACGCATAATGCGGTTACCGTTCTGAAAATCCGACATAATGAAGGCCCTTCAAAGGCTTGAAAGAAGGAACCAGCGGCACCCTTTGAGTGACCTCCAGCGCCTTTCCTGAAGTGAACATTTCACTGAAAATTGGAAAATATGAGCTTTTTCCTTGTCGAGTTCATTTCCGTCTTTAAAGTACGAAGACCTCGTGGCGCAATTGTGCCTAATATTAGTGCCTGAAGGCCCGTGCAAATTATTTTAGCAAAATAGTTAAGTAAAGGCTCTTTGATAGTCAAGCTGCTTATAAGAAGTCAGCTTAGCTAAAATCAATTTACGTAATAAACAACCTGACACCAACTTAATGCAAAATCCTAAACTTTCCACAGCCCTTTGTTTCCAGTAGACTTTAAACAAAACATAAAATTTATTATGACCTTAAACAAAAGCACACCTGTTGCGTTGAGCCTTTGTTTACCATGTTTAAAGAACTTGCCTAATGTTGGTGTTAGCTCCGAAGACAATTTTTTTCAAAACAAAAATTAATCCTTTAGAGAAGGCTCAACTAACAAATTTAAGTACAAAGTACACGCCCAGTTCTCCCAGATCGCCATCTTAATCCACTTCATGAAAAATCCCGAGTGGATTAGGGTTTATTAGCTGTGAATACATTGGGATTTAGAGTTAATCCGCTGTTTATCAGGCTACAATTGCAGATCGCAAGCGCTCTAAAATTACAGTTTAAAATAAATATCGATAAATAGTTGTACACTTCTACGTAATTCTTTTTCGCGAGAAAAAAACTTTCAAGTTTAGGAAAGAAAAAGCACAAGAAAAACAACAACTAACTAACTAAATAAAATAACGAAAAAAGATAATAATACCCGAACACATATTTCTTATGTTTTTAAGCTATCAATTTAGTGAACTTCATCTCTACGTTGCCTGAAGTTAACCTGTGGGTAATACGTTACGTCGCTTGCATCACAGAAAGAGTGAGGTCCAATATTTTACAGCACACGTGAAGTACTTACCTTCGATAAAGGCTTCCTTTTTCGTTTCACCGCTAAGGGATAAAGACAAAGTTCACATTTGCTCATCACAGCTCTCTGCAGCCAGCTCATAAGGCAGGTATGATGAACAAACTTTACAGAGCCCGTGCACAAGCAAGGACTTATTAAACTCTCTGCCTCGTCGCCACTATGACATATGCGGCACACATCGGTTTCTAAGTCTGAATTATCACCTTCTGAAACGTATATAATTGTCGTTCGGGTTGATATTGTGTCAGAGTTTTTGCTTATATCATCATTGTCTTCTGTAATATCCTCCACCTCTATGCAAACGCTCTCGGTTGTTTCGTTTGCCTTGTTTACAAGAGTGTCAGTGGTCGCTGTGAGGTCTTCGAGGTCTGCTGACCCACAAAGCGTATCGGTACTTTCATGTACAACACTTTCTCCACTTTCTACCCTCGATTGAATTTCCACCGCGCACTCGTCGCCACCGGGTCTCTCGTGGTTACCAGCCACCGCATCATTTGTGTTTAACGCTTCTCGATCTAACGAAGTGCCTTCATCGGCCTCCGCCTCCCCATCGTCAATACCAGCACAGTCTGTAACCGCTGTGACAAGCTCTCCAGTTTTACAACTGTCCTGTATTGTTTTTGTTTGTTCTGCACCGTTATTATCACCATCTCTAACGACAGCATTTTCACGCGGTAAATCCGAGTTACCGACATCGACGTCCGCCTCCGTAACTGTTACTTCGTCCATTTTGTTACACTGAGAGCGCGCTTCCTCGCACATTTGTCTCTTTACTCCCGGGAAAGGTTTATGTCCTGTAGGAAACGAACAAAATGAGAAAATTCTTAATACAGAAAAACGTTCTATTGTTAGGAACAAAATTCTTACCGAACTAAGACGAGCACGGACCGAAATGGTTCTGCAACGAGGACTGGTAGCGGGGTGAAATTGAAACAAAATTACTTACAAAGTACCAATTTTACCTTCAATAAAATCTGCCTGCTGACATATATAAGCAAGTTAAAACATGAACTAACAGAGCCCATTTTCTGCTCTGTCATTAAAACGACACAATTATCATAATTTATAGCATAACAGTTACAAATGACGATTGGTTGCCAGCCTCCCCAACATGTTCGCTCAAAGTAGTATATTGGAAACATAAAAGTGTGTAATATTATACGGCAGAAGATCAATACTTATGATATTCATTTGAAAAACAGGAACTTCTGGGTGATTGTATACATTCAAATGTACAACCAACGACCCAAAACAAAGCGAGTTTATCAGAAAATTTAGACACGACAAAAATATCTTTTCCACTCTACTTCCGTTGCATAACATTCATGAAAACAAAACTTAACACATACCTCACTCTTTTTGGTCTAAGGTTAAGACCAAGAAAAATTGTCTACTGCGTCACACGATAATAGAAAGAAATGAACCAGCCAATGTTAAATTTGCTTATGTCAGTAAACTGTCAAAATTGTTTCTCGCGTGTTATAAAAATGGCAGTTTCTTTGCCACGATAGATCATTGTGGAATAACAAGGATTGGTTCTTGGTACAGTATTAGATGGTGTGAATTACCGAAGCTCGTTAACGACCATTAAAAGCGGAAAAATGTTTCGTCGTCATATAGAGCGGTCGCTCGCGAGAAAGAACATTCGGTCAAGGTTGACTGGCCTCAACTGGCCGAGTTGACGTCAACCGAGGTGACGCTCCGAATTTTAAATTCCAAGTTTGCCGGTGAGCACCCGTATAGCACAGACTGTTTTGTTTTACATTAGGAAACGAATCACTAGGTCAAATGAATACGCCTGCTATGGGAAAATAGTAGTCAGAGTTATTACTTCGATAGGAAATGCCTTCTTGAATTTTGTTTCTTTACTTGATCAGTATTTTACGTTGCGTCAACGAAATGTTAATCAGAGATTGAATTTTTTATGGTTACAATGGGAAGAGACCACGACTTCGCAATAGCTTTCGCTTTCTAGGATTATGCTATTCCGTCAAAAAATAATAATGATAAAATAAACCTATAAATGAAAAACCAAATAATAAAGGAAAAAAAAAATGAAATTAGTAATAGATTAAAATAGATAAGAAAAAAACAACAACGAACTTTTGAAAAGTTTTTAACATTCGTACTTTTCGACACATTATTCAGTTACCATACTTGGTTAAGAACAGAGTTTATAATTAGCTCCGCTCCGTGAGAAATTATATAAATGTCTTTCACTTTTCAAAACCTAGATATCAATAAAATAATATCCGTCATATAGATAGCTCCATCTCTACATGTTTTCGTCATACTTACGATTTCACCCTCCAGCCGAAACTGGTAACTTATCAAGTTTAACAACAGCGAAATTCCAGTGATGTTTTAAAGAATGCCCACGAAAAAAAAGTACATTATGTGCGACGATTTTTGTTCAGAAACGGAGTTAAGTGGTGAATATAGCTCAACATGCGTGCGCAAAGGCTATTATCATAACACCCGTTTGAGTTGTTTTATAACAGGTGTGATACAATTTGGCCACCAGCTTGTCTGTCTATTACAGTTAGATGGCGGGAAAATTCCCGCTTAACCGTTGGCACGATTTACAATCAGAAGGCTTACGATGGAAAGTAAGGGCAAACAAAGTGTATAAGTAACACTTGACTTTTGAAGATATGGATGTTACTAAGATTTAAAGCTTTTCTTCCTAACTGCTACTAATACTACAGAATATAGAAGGCTTAGAAACAACAAAAGTGCAAATTTAATATTCAATTCTGGTGTAAATGAGTTAAAATAATTGTCTCAGAATAGCCCAACGAAAAGCGAACATGGCTCGGGAATAATTCTGTGGCGGTCTAAAACGTACAAGCTAGGATCGTTTTTTAATGAAAAAGAAGCAAAGCCTCTTTCCACTTGAAAGTATGCTGAAATGAACTCAAGAACTCAGTCAAGGGGAATTACGGAGACTTGAAATTTATTTCTTACTTTTGAGTCCATGAACGAGATCGTTGGGGATAACTATTCAAATAAAACCTCTTCAGTAGTCTTTCCACGTGGTCTCTTTGTCTGCTATTGTTATTGCCACCCGAAATTATTTGGATTTCGTTTCATTATTTGTTTAAGTCAATGTGAGAATTTAGTCGTGGTGAAGACAAGTCAGCACTGCAAACGGCCACAATCACGTTTTTTGAAATGAAACTTCTCCGTGGACAAAAGAAAAAAAGAAAGAGGAAGAATAATTAATGACTACTCGCGAAACAGCGTTATCTGCAGATCTCAGCTTTGTGTAGTAAAGACATTAAACGCCCCTTTACTAACCCAACAACTTCAGACATTATGTTAAATTATCACAAACCAAATAATAACTCGGGACTTACCGTACAATCTCTAATTTCCAGCTCTGTTCATCTACAACCTCCTTTTCTCTAAGTTCCCTGCAAAAGAACATAAGCTGGCTTAAAATGTGTGGTAAAACGCTACTTGACCGAATATAGGTTGACCGGCGGGAAAGGGGTTCTTGACAACTTTTCGCGCGTTCCCACGCACAATATTAAGAGCCTCTTTTGAGCGGAAAGTTGGTCACCCACGTTTCTGTGCTTTTACTCTCAGGCTAATCTTAATTGGCAATTTAGAACGGGTAGATAATTTGTGTATAAACTCATTATATCTGTATGCCAATGGCGGGAAAATGAGCCGTGGGAAAACCACAGTCTACCACAGGCAGGAGGAGTTATTGATGGCTGGTACGCCAATTCATTTCACTCGTCACATACACAGGATTCAAACTCCCCCCCTCCCCCCAACAAGAAAATTAATAAAAATAACCACTTCGCTTATGAATGGATCCACAAGCCACGGACCTAAAACTGAATAATAAAAAAGCAGATTGTTTACTTTGAATGCATCACTGCTGAATGAAGAGGGTGACAAATGTAATTGTTAGGTTCAGTAGTTCAATTCTGCCACCAGTACTGTAAAGAACACGTTTCTCAAGGACTATGACAAAAATACAATAAGAATTTCCCAAGGGAGACTCAACAGGTGTTTCTTCATCCTATAAGTCCCAAAAGTGACCAACATCAATTCTCTCCTAACAATATCAATAAATAATTAGAAAAAGAGTATGTGGGAATGAATAAAATGATCACCTAAGAGAAAATGCTTAATGATCTTTGAACAAATTTTCTCAAACATTCTGAGAGGAAATGTATGGAGATCAGTTTGGAGAATTTGCATGTGGATATTAGGGCTTGGAGGGCCAAGTGCCATCCACTTGAAAGTGAAAAAATGGGCACGGCTAAAAGAAACAGTCTACTCTTCTCCAAACTTAAAACGTAACTTTTCGAAAACCAAAAGTGATTTATCATTAGCTAAGTTGATCCACACGACTCTGAAGACTTCTTCATCTTTACAAGTCCTTCAAGCTCAGTTGGATCGGGGAGACAATATCGCGATATCTGCGCGTTTGTGAGACTACTGACGACATGACAAAGATCACACCCTTAATTACCATGTCACATAAAAACAGTTGAAAGTAAAACAGGATTGAAAAACTCGGCACCAAAATACAAGATCTAACGCTTTAGTAAAAAATGTAATAACAAGCAGTCAAGACTAAAGATAGCTGGACAAGTGCCCTGTAGTATATTGGCTTGAATTTACAGTCTCTTTCTGGCATCGTTCTGATAAAAATCTTCAGAACTAGTTTAACGGTTTATCCATTGTTTTTTCCTTCAGTATTAGTTTGTTTTTACTTTAATCGGAATCCTCAGAATGTTATTCCACTCGTACTTATCTTGTAGTACGTTTAAAATATTAGTTTTCAATGTGTTTTTTATATTGCTTCCGAATTCTTGGAATAGAAGCTAATTTTATTAATTCTACTTCCAACTCCCTAAAGAGACTCAGTCATAGTAATTTGTTTGCTAAGTAGAATGAAAGAAATGAAAGAAACAGAGTCGACCAGAAGAAGACTTCCTGCTATTGCTATAGCCACGGCATGGCACTAACTCAAAAGCAAAAAGAATCGCACACGTTGACAGAAAGGAGAGGCCGGTCTTCGTCGCCATATTCAGCATTTTCGTCAAAATCGCCACTCTCAATGGGAACCCTTTGCTTTGCCATAACATATTCGCCAGACTTTGGCAAATTTTCCCTATTTCCGCCATTGCGTGCATTTCTGCACATAAGTGGGCCGGTCACGACGTCTCGCAAAGTTTTGAACTTGTTATTCGACCCAAAAAGGGCGAGTCAGGCTCAGATAAAGCCCAAGTGGGAGAGTGCTTTTTTATTCCGAGTTAGGGCGCGAAAATCAGATAGTGAAGTTAAGCATAGCCTTTGCTGTCATTATCTAGAGAATGATCAGTATGGTACAATACTGGCAAAGAATTTTTAGGTTAGGAATTGCCAATATGAAACTCTCGAATGGGGTACACAACCGGCCAAAAATATAATTCATACCTCATAGAACACTCAACAAAGTTAACCAGGCACTTCTCTTAAACAGACCTCACCCGCAGTTCGTTAGTCATTTCCCATGACTCTGTAAGGCGCAAACCCCTCATCATGGACACGTAGAGTTGGTCCCTCCAACCTAGTTTCGGTTCCTCTCCAAAGCGACACCTTGATTTGGTCAATGCCATTTTTCAGACGTTTTTTTAGACTCTATGTAAGCCTGGTTCGGCATACAACATAGTTACGTGAACCAGGCTTAACGGGTACTTCTTTCTAAGGCGGACACTACAGTTGGTCCCTGTCGTTTGTTTGTCATTCCCCTAGATTTTCTGTAAGGAGTGCAAGGGCACTTAAAGCCGGTCCCAACAGTTGTCTTCACACTTTTGAAATCGTAAAAATACATTTAAGCAATGTTCACACTTGCACTAAGGCACGTTAACTCGAGAACGGTACTCGCTGGGTAATAATGTAAACACGCATTCGTTTTTTCAAGTTCATTCGCACAAGATGCGAATGTAAGGGTACAATTGACCCATATTGGCCCCAGGTCCTAGCTGTGTGCACACGTTTATTGTTACCCTGCTACCTTTACGTTTCAAAATGGTGACCGAAAAAAATTGAGCATATCGGATACCCAAGGTGTGCATGTGCATACACACAACACGATTTTGTGTCGGCACACCAGTGCCGCTCTTTCACAGTGTGTGAACGTAGCTCTGGTCACTTTTGAAATTTCAGAGAAAGTTATCGCCCGATGTAAGGGAATACGGATTCCGGAAACGAGAAACACTTGCTTGATGAGGACTGCGGAATCCGGGACATTATTTTCTTGAGGAATCCAGAATCCTGGACTCTGGACTGCGGAATACAGCTCAAGGACAGAGAATCCGGATTCCAGTACCTGCAATCCGGAATCCACGGTATGGAATCCAGAATCCAAGATTGTCTTGGATTCCCTTATATGGGGCGAAAATTACCATGCACTTCATGCTAAAACAAGAAGCAAACAAGTTGGACGCTTGCCAAACGACTCAGAAATGACATTTAGGGACTCTATTTTTTAGCCCTGCTCTATTTACCTTTTTTGAAACTTACAGTAATTAAATGCGTTTGGCCTTTGAAGGGACAATCGCAAAGTTTACACAAGAAACAATAAAAACAAGCAAGGTAATTGTAACCACATGCAATGAATGTAAACTTATTTCAATTAACAACTAGTGATCAATCAGTAGCTAATGGCTTCTTCTTAGTTGCTCAATGAACTTGAGAAAAACTTCCAGTTTTCTTTGTCCACTAATATTTAGTTGTTCTCCTCTACTGTTAAACTAAAGAATTGTGCGTTGAAAGTGATTTTTCTGAACCTTTTTGATCATCAAGATACGTTTTACATTGACCTTCGGTAACAACTGCATTGTGTTTGTAAGGTAAACAGAACGTGATTTCGGTTAAGTGAATGACTTTCCACAAGAAGTTAGGATATTCATAACACTCGAAGCGAGTTTTTCTGGATCGCTGTCTCTTTCAATTTCTTCTTTTTGCGCGGGAAACTGAAAAAATAGTCCTGTCACATTACGTTAAAACTAACTTAAACGTATTGAAATATCAATGAATCTCGAAGTATCTATCGACCTTGAGGATACTGAATGCTAAGGCCACTCACAATGAACGGAACCGCTATTCAAACCTCCTGTTGCAGGGCAGTTTCTAATATACCTTCCATCTTGATTTCTCCCCGCAACATATCCCACTCCGCAGACTCTCTTGGCTCTCATTTAACAGCCAAGCCAACCCAACCGCGACCTTTTTGAAAACTTTACTCTTTATTGAAATATTTCAAGAGTCTTCGAAATACTTTTCAACAGAAAACGCCTCACTCCATTTGCAGGTTGACCTTTCGTGCGCAAACGAGACAATTTCATCCAGACGTCAACAGAAGACGCTACCCAATGTCTCTTCGATCGATGCTAACAAAGTTTAAGCCAGGTGTTTTTACTTATGAAAAGTCTAGCTGTTATTCTAATCAACTGGGAATTTTAAGACGACTTAGGCCTTCCGGGACGACAACTATCAGTATCAAAATGCGAATTCTCCTGTCTTGAGTCATTCATTTCTTTTAGCGTCAGTTCGGAGAAGTTGACACTGTAAAAGAACTCTTTGTGGGTGATGGTTGCCTGAATTCTGATTAATTTTAATTAAAAGCGTTTACCGGAAATTTTTAATTAAAAGCGTTGATGTCATAAGAGAAACTGATGGAGATCATTACTAAGGATTATAATTAAAGTTAAATACGTTAAATAGTTATTACATGCATTGACTCGCAAAATAACGAAAGCGAATACCCAACAAACTTCTCCGGACTTTAGATTTAAGTCTAAATTTCTTTCACGAAACACTTGTAGTTTGAACAATACAAAGTCCCTTATAATCTCTCTTTCACACTTACTTTGAGTGAGCTGTTTGAAAGGTCAGTGCTACTCACGAGTTTTAACGCCACACTTTCAAAACACTGCCACTCGCGTTAATCTGCAGAGATTGTCGTGTCTCTAAGTAAAACAATTAAGATTTTACCTATTATGAAGCTGTGCGGTAGAGATTTTGCCGATCGTTTTTTCTTGGCCAGAAGAGCTGCCCAATTTTAGGCCTTCCTCGCATCCAAAACAAGTTTCCAACATGTTCCTTACACCTTAGAAATAGTAAAGGTGTTTGTTCATCTTTCCTCGTAACATTTACGCTACGCCAACATAAATATTATCTTAAAGAATTCAGGAACAACAATCGACGGGCCGATCTCTTTTGAACTCTCAAGCCTTCCGTATATTGGCTAGATTTGCATTTGCTTTCAAAATACACACGCCCAGTATAAACTCAATAGGTCATGTCAGACTGTTCATTTTCTAATACAAAGGGCAAGATAGCAACGACTATTTTTAGATCCGACAGACATGTCACCTGAAAACAAGATAACTTTCAAGTACAAGAACTAATTGTGTTTGCTTGAACCACTTGAAGGAATATAAGAAAGGCGAGAAAACTCTCTTTAAGCCTCATCAAACGAAGTCTTAAAAATGTCCTTCTCACATTTATGGCTATTCGCATCAACGTACGTTTAACAAAAGTCGACAACTAAAGGAACGTGGGAGATATAATCCGTCCACGTGGAGGCAAATATTTTTGGACTAAAGAAATAAAAGAGGGAACTAATGCGCAACAAACAACAACAAAATATACATTGCTTAGCAACTTGCATAGAGCAAGGTACGGTTGCTATATGGAGCACGTAGATTCTCTTAATCGCCGACCCAAATTCAGTCTTACTAAAGACATTTTAATTTTTCAATAAATTTGAAAAATGTGAATGACATAAGACTTTCGATTAATCCATTAACGAGCTTATGGAGCGAGACAATATTGAAACGTCATCGGTTTGGGGTTTAAGCGGCGTGCAAGAAAAATCTACGCACTTGTACATCCTCTTCAATATTTTGCAGATCCTAAGAGTTTTCCCGGATAATTTCCTCATAGGAATTAAAACCTAAAGGCCAGCAAAAGGAAACAAAAACAATAAACGAAAAAAGAACAGAAACTAACGGAAGTGAAAAGTCAAGTTTGTAGAGCACTTTTAACCCAAAGACTAGACCGAAAGTTTGTTTTCTGCACAGGTTAGTCAGAGAAACCTGCATTTTGAAACAGAAGTCAAGAAATCATGCGACAGTTTTGACAGTTACAGTACACTCTCTCCAAGGTAACTAAGCCTTTTATTAAAAGTAGCATGTGTACAGACACCGCCCCCCCTCTCCGATTTTTTTAGGGGAGGGAACATCTGTACACAGGCTGATTAAAAGCATCTCATACGGGATAGTATTCGGCAATTGTGGTATAACAAGACTGTCCATTTATGTCAGGATATTCAGACTATAGTACATATAGTACATCATACAGTCAATCTTCTATTCTTCCTAGCCGCCAGTTGTATATCCGAGTCCTGGGGACAAAACTGTCAGTGGAGCACCGTATTGTCCCCTGAATTGGCCGCTAAATTCCACTGTAAGTACGAACTTGAAATCACAATAGCACACGGAGTAGTTAGAATAGGCAGCATTTTTTTATCTCTGACAGTCACACTACATGGACTACATTATGGCCATTGCACTGTCCCAAGTTCTCTGGAACAGTATCGATATCATTTCGTGACAATATCGCATCGTCAATTAGAATATGGACGGTATCGATTACCGGTAATATTTTATATTTTCTTTTGGTTTCGGAGGTCTCCATATACTTAACGATTCCAAAGGAGCTGTTTACGCTAACTTGGAAAAATGAAGGTAATTATGTACGTGTTGTGACCCAGTTTTTCTAGAATGAGAAACTGAATTAAGGCCTACACGCTCTAGAGGTCACGAGGCCCCCATGTAAGGAAATCCAAAACAGTCTTGGATTTTGGATTCCACGCCGTGGATTCCGGCTTTAAGGTGCTGGATTCCAGATCTTTGACGGTGAAACCTGGATTCCGGATTCCTACAGCTGTACAGTGGACTCTCTTTTGACGGACACCTCTGTAAAACGGACACCTAGAGTTGGTCCTTGCCTTTCTTTACATCTTTCTAAGACGGACACTTAGTGTAGCCTGTATTCCGGATTCCAAAGCCCAGGATTCTGGATTCCACAAGCAAAAATTTTTCGGATTCCGGAATCCCTTCAATGGGATGACACGAGCACTGCACTGTGATCAAGGCATAAGAAAACAAGTATGACGAAGTGTAATATCTCTACGCCCTTACCAGGTCAATTGGCGAGCAAAAAGTCAGCCAATTTATTTTAATAAAGACCTATACATTTCATCAAGCACTCTAGCGAAATTAAGTGATCGCTATATGTAGTCGCCCAGTTGAAAGGCTGTAGATGAAAGACAACATTATTGAAAATTTGGCACGCAATCTTGTTGATACTGTTAACAAAAATAATTTCACTGTGATTTGCAACTCAAACTAAACGCTGACTTCTCGGTATCTTGTCTACCACGTTAAATATTGCCAAATGGTCTTTCTAATAGTAGACATCTTAAAACTAACCATAACGAGGAAATTCAAAAAATCTTTGTTCATTGTTGACCTCCAAAAACACTAAGGTCATGTTGTGTGTGATAGTTTTCTTTCTAAGAATATTAATAACCCTAAATAGAACGCCACGTTTGTTTGCACGCTAAAATCCACTTGCCTTGCTTTAAACGTTAAAAATGTGAACTTGACCATGCTGTCAAAACAGACTACAAAAATCAAATCTTTATACACAGAATTCAAATGTCTTATAAACAGTTTAAAATAGCGTGAATTCTGTTGGCGATCATGATTGATGGTCATTATCAATATCATCACTTTTTTTATTTCATTTCATATGCTTTTTTTCCTGTTTCTTGTCCTTTTTTCTGGTTTGGGGGGGGGGATGATTAAAAATCTGCCCTCATTATTTTCAATAAAATGGAAATCATTTTGTTTGAAGAGTGACGATGATGTAGATAATTTTTCTTTTGGCTTTCGAAGACCCTTCACTCCCGGGTTTTGGGCAGCATTTTTGAGGATCCCATCGTCTACGCCTTAAGGGATTCCAGGAGATTCTCAGAACCCTTTTCTTACCAACGACTACAATCAAGTCCTCTCTCCACGGACAACTCCCCAAAAAGGATACCCTGCAAGAACTGGTCTGCTGGTCCCTGCAGTTCTTAAGTTCCTTGATTCTCTGTCAAGCGGACACCTGTTTTAGACAGACGTTAAGTACAAGTGCCGGACAACAGTGCAGTGTCTCTGGCTGTTTATCTAAATTGCGTGACTGAAACGAACGCAGATCAAGAGTAGAAAATGCGAACTATCCGGAAATCGAGATTTGAACTTAATCCGACTTGAGATAAACTGAGTGGCTAAACAGATTATTATCAGGAAAAAGGTACATTAAACAATTTTACAAGGGCTTACGTCTAAGAAACTTGAACTTAAATATCTCTCCTAATTAAGCTTTTGACCAGAAAAGAGAAGCTACATTTTATAAAGCTGCGAATGAAATCTTGCGAAGTTTTGCACCATGATCCGCAATGATACTGCATACATGCAATTAAATTTCTTCCTTAAGCAAAAATTTCTCCTTAACGTTTATCTATGACCTTCTCTGCGGGCAGAAAACAACAAGCGTCAGTTTCATTATTCACGATCTGATCAAATTGGCATTATGGATATGGCACTGATTTCATATGACAAAGAAAGCATGAAGAAACAGCTGATAAACTGTTTGATTTCAGGGTAAATTTAGTGTACATGTAGAGTACGTGTTTTAGTTATCTGAAAATGGCGCCCCTGGGTCTGCCAGTAACATCAGTTGTGATTCCACAAGAGATATCCTAAAGAAAACAATTAAAACTACGTTTTGTTGTTCTACAGTGCTGTACCTTACACACGGCTAACTATGCATCGTTTTCGTGTCAATACGTAGCCTTTTTGCTCCTCTAAATAAAGAACATTATCTTCAGTCCATCGTTAAAGAAAGTCTTGGCAACTTTTTTGTACATACAACGCATTTGAAAAAGGCACACTCGCTATCTTGTCTGTCATATCATCATATCTTTCAGACGTAAGTTGAAGCTAAAAACAGCGAACGCCGAGTAGCTAGGCGTGCCTTAAAATCTCGTTCTGAAAAAAAAAAACAGCTTTTAGCACCTTGAATTAAGCGGCCTATTTGCGCTACTATCAAAATTGTCAACATCCTGCATTGTCAGTTACGGTCACGTAAATAGTGGAGCCCCATCTCAGAAGGACTCTTGCTCCAAGGAGTGTACATTGCCCATGCAACCCTAGTGAACAATGCATACAATGAAGGTAATGTACTGAAATTAAAGATGTCAGCGAAACTTGATGAAAACTCTCCTACTCGACAATGGAACTAATACAACTGTATGCATGGGCGGAAACAAGAGCTCTGCAGGGTCAATGCAAAATGGAGGTGAAACTCCATGGATGTCACTCCCAAAAGAAAAAAAAAGCTGCTCACGCATCTTGAAATGACGGTTCTAGTTGAGTTAACTATCAAATTTACAAACTCCCTACACGGTCAGTAGTGGTCACGTAAACAAAGGAGCTCTCCTCAGAAAGATTCTTGCTCCAAAGAGCGTACACTGCATGATTAAGTAGACCACTACGTAGAGTGGAGAAGACGTAAAAATGTTGTTAAAGAAACTGTAATGAAAACTCTCCTAATCAACAAATACTACTGTAGGCAGGAGGGGAGGGGAACAAACCCTGTAGCGTCAATGCAAAAGGGAGATGAAACTCCATCAATGTCACTTCCCCCCCGCCCCCAAAAAAAAAAAAAAAAGGACAGTTAAAGCATCCTGAAATGTAGTTGCCAGTTCAGTTTTTGGTCACGTAAACAAAGGAGCACTCTCCAGAAAGACTCTTGCTTTGATTAAGTCTGGTAACCACTACATAGAATGGCAACGATGTAAAAATTGAACACGTCAAAGAAACTGTATGAAAACTCTCCTAATTGGCAGTGGAAATAATATTACTCTATGCAAGGGCGGAGACAAGAACTCTGTCACAGGGTCAATACAGAAGGGAGGTGAACTCCATGAATGTCACTCCCACATGTTCAAGATGGCAAAGAACCAGAGAAAATCGTACCGAAATTAATGAGCTATAGGTAAAATGTGGGAAACTGCCATTGATGCAGAAGAAGAATGAATATGGTTGGGGATGCATAAGAGATATGAAGGTTGCCGTGAACAACCCCGTACTGTCATACGGTGGAAGCCAATGCACAGGCAACATTGAACGGGTCCTTTGTGCAAGGACACAGGACCGCAAAATGTTGGACTGTCAGTTGAAGTGAAGTCTACTTAGTGAACAAACTGTTCGAAGAAATTCGACATAATGGTGAATTGAAAAAGAATAATCTATTGTGTAATAAAATACTAAGTAAGTATTGTGGTATCATAAAATATACCCAGGTGAAAGACGAATTGAAACCCGCAATCAATCACGATCGCTTTGATGTATCATTTATTAACTGAATTAAAATTTCCCACTTGGATTTAAGTTAGAGTTTTTCATATAATCGACATTGACGAAAATCAACAACCTCTTTCTGTCTAACTTTGCCTTCTGAAAGAACTAGTAATTTTTGAACAGAAGCTTATAAGGTGTTTACAGTAATAGGGCAGAACATGAAACAACAGGTACTTTTAGTACGAATTCACTACTTTAAAACTGGTTTTAATATCATGTGTTAATTTGGACGATTACTTTCTTTCACTCCACACCACACTCCATACTAATGGACAAGTTACAGTTAAAAGATTGAAAAAAAAAACATGGTGAATGGCAGAATATACAGTTTACCAGTTGCACGAATATTCGAGTCTGGAGTACACTGAGTCCAACTTTTAACAGGTTCTAGCATGTAATAACTTCACATAATTGCTATACAATTAAGTACACTTAAGTACCTCCATTTCAACAAAGTTCACTGTGTTTGCAGCTAATGAAAAAGACGGAAATATTACAGGATTTATTTGGGGGGTAACAAACACAAAATTTGGAACCTCAACTTGTCAAGTTCAGGATTAAAGACGTCAACATTGCCATTAAAGACGAATTAGCGAGATTCATAAATAGAGTTTAGAGAATAATTTTAATCAAATACCCCATCGATTCCGTGCGATAAAATAGATTTTCGAAATTCAATGCATAACTTCATTCGTTTTTTTCTCTCGGACATTCTGTAAAAGTGCGAATGAAAGCGATTACCGTCTTATAAAAAAGACAGAAACACTCTTTGATACTTTCTGCAGCCATGTTTTGATAAAGAATACCTTTGAATCTCCTTCGACTAAATATCGGTGTTTCGATTGTTATCCACATACTTTAGTTTAAAAAGAAAATCAGCATTTTCCAAACAAACTAAACAACTAACCAAAATGCAGTGTAATCGGATTTGTGGTGTTCAAACTGTACTAGTAAATTTTATGTTGTGATTTGTAACCAACACTGATAAGCCCCAATAATATCTCTTGTTTTACATTGCGTTAACGTAACTTTTGCGTTAAAAGTCGCAAACACTTGTACCAATCATTACTTGCATTTTTATCAGCAGTTAATGTATAAACAGTGAAATGAAAAAGGTTAGCCACAAAAGCAGTGAAATGGGCTTTCGTTGTCAATGCGGTGTGTGGTCTGAAACTTTAACAAAACTTTCGGGCCTCTCTCACTCAAATAACGTCATTTTGTCCTCCCAAAATCAATAAAGAACTCATCAAATAGTTATTACTTATCATTTACCTACATCGGAAGACGTTTTCTGCTGAATTTACAGGCAACAAGAGCTTGTCTCTTCCCATCCGACACGACAGCTCAAAAATGTTATGTCTTCCTGACGGACAGACGGCTCCAGCATTTGCCGACAAACGTTCCTCTTGCTTCCGAAGAACAACACAGTTAGATCTTTTAAAAACAACGTTATTTTCTCACCTCAATAATTGCCCTTAAAAGTTTCCGCTGATCCGTTTAATTCCCATGGACGAAGTAATACGTCCACGTACGTCCAAGCGTAAACGGTCGTGTTGAAATGCGATGTCTTCTCTCAGCCCCGCGTGGTTCGTTGTGATAAGGGACCCGCAACGTCAACTCGCCCCGACTTGCCCTTGAAACAATTAGCGGATTTGACGGGCCGTCAACAAACGTGCTTCAGATCTGTTCTATTGTCCTTCAATTTGGCTTATTGTTTCGTCGCGTAAGCCGCGTAGAAAATTTATTCAGCTTGAAGTCGCGGACATAGTAATTTGTTTCGTGTGAGTCTCCAAGACATGCTCCTAGTGTAAAAGTGTTTGTGGAAGGGCTATTTAAAGCGAGCTTTCGCTTTAACTTTTAGGAATTCTGTCTATGTATGCAAATTCCTCGGCACGCGGTGAGCGACAGCTGTTTGGGTTGCCCCGGTCAAACAAAGGCACATCTGCTGTTGTTGAAATACTCTACTAATACCATTGTTTAGTCTCGGATACGAACTCTGCTTGCGTGAATAATTGCTACTAAACAACAAATTACTTCTTCAGGTGATATCTACTGGGCGTTGACTTGCTGTATCTCAGATTTTTGGGTTAGAAGTTTTGCGACTGTCACGCAATCAATCGTGGCAGACCAGAAGTTGTGCTATTCAAAGATAAAATTAACGACGCATCCCGACTGTCCAAACATACGCGAAATAATATAACAGCACGTGGATTCGGCCAATCACAGAAGCCTATCTTAATGGGAGCCACTTTGCAGTCGCATGCGAGATGACATCCATTGTTTGCAGAGCAGTTTTGGGAAAAGAGACGTTAGCCACGGTTGAAGTCTTTTGAATCACGAAAACCTAACTGAAGAATAGAATTTGGGTTTATCGTGGGCAAAAAGGGTTGCTTTTCGAACGACCTCCTTAGAGTGAAGGGCCATCTGTTCAGCATATGTGAATGAACTTGAAGGTCTCTATTTAAAAAAAAAAATTAAACCCGCCCCGTCTTGAAGCAGGTTAATTAACAAAACAGGTGGCCCCCAGACTCGAATATTTCAGTGGTCTAAACTCAGACAGCTCATGCTGGTCAATCGTTTCTTTATCTTTCCTTGAAACGTGCGTGTCGTGATTTATCGCCCGAAGGCTTCTCGGGCCTCCCTTGAATTTCGGGGGGTGGGAGGAAGAGGTATTCCTGGGAATTCATTGTGGGGGCGTGATGCCCGGTTCTCCAAATCTTGACCCTATTTCAGACAAAAAATGTTTTTCAGACCTGATGTAGGCAGAAGTTATGTTATCATTACTTAGATTAGAACGCCAAGAAAAAGATTTCGTAAAAGCCATTTCGAATTTGCCTGCGTGCAGACGTCTCCTATTTCCTTTGTTGCACGCGTGCAACAAAGGAAATAGGAGACGTCTGCACGCAGGCAATTTCGAATCTGCCTATTACTCTTTCTTTCTTATTCATTTCGAATTCAAACGACAAATACGGCCTTGCATTCCCGAATTCCCTCGATTCCGACCAAAATAAGTAAAGTCTATACCCGTTTTCTGACCAAAACGGCGCAAACATCATACCCTTTGGGGCGACATATACCTATAAGGCAATTGTAAGGGAGTACCCTCCCGGAGCTTCAATTCTTGCGTCAATCGTGACAGAATTCAGGAGCTCCATCCCCGGGGGGGTACTTTAGGAATTTCTGGGTGGGGGTGTGCCGCTGGGACCCTGGAAACCTAAACCTATACCAGAGCTAGGTCAGCTGAATTTTGATACCCTATACTAGAGTAAACTCCCCAAATCCCCCTATCCTAGAGTAGCTATTTCCCCAGTTTCCTGAAAAATGATACCCTATTCTAGACCCAAACGCTCTGATTTATATACCCTATCCTAGAGTAAACTGCTTGAAAACCATACCCTTCACAGCGCACATACCTATGTAGCCCATATATGGCAGTACCCCCCCGGAGCTCCATCTGATTGCGCCACTGGCCATCGTGCAGGAACACGTTCCTCCGTTGAAACCAATTTTTGCGCAATCTTGCGCTACACAACATTTTGTTTGATTTGTGAAAAAATTCTGTCAACAGGAAGTCATTTGCGCCGTGAATGATTTTCTTTTTCTTTTTTACCTACGAAAATTTTCTCCACTTTGACCAAAAAACGTCGAGTAGCTTTTCAGGCGAGAAAATACAGGTAAAAGGGAGTATCGCTTTCGCTTAGAGGAAGTCTGACCCTATTAATCCCCACAGATGGAACAGAAAATCTCGGTCGTCACGGTAAAGCAGGAAATGCCTTTTACCGAAATATTTCTACCGGGATGAACTGTTCACTGAGTTCCCACGGGAATTACTTGCGCGGTTTTTCCATGAGGTAAGCGCAGTCAAAGCCTCAGAAATTCGTGAAAGCTGTAATGTTTTCTATCAAATTTAAAACCAGAAGTAAGGTCAAGTAATTGTTGCTTTGCCACAAAGGGCCCATGAGGGCCGCATAGAAAACTCGAAAAAGCGCGATTAGATCAAGTCATATGAACTATCGGTAAAAGTGCGAGTTACTTTATATAGCTGATTCAACAGACCATAGACGTCACAGACCCGCAAATTAATAAAATAAGTTGTAATTTAATTGACCAGTGCCCTGAAAAGGGGAATACCACTGAAATGAAATAGAAACTGGGATGATTGTCGTAATGCAGATTTTGGAACCCCTAAGGGTATGTTAACTTTTACCTATTCGACTGGTATCGCTTAGGAAAAAGGAAAGATTAAGGGGGAAGAATTCAATTAGAAGGTGTTTATTATCGCAGTTAAAAACACTGATGAGCACTTATTTAGCTCAGTGTCGGCCTTTTGATCTATCAAAGCAAGTCTGAGACAAGCCCAAATTTGTCTCTTTTAAAGGTTTTAATCCCAATTTAATTTGGCTTTGTCTAACAGAAAAAAGCACAAATAAAGCATCATTTGTGAAGGGTGACACGGCCTATAACCTCCTCCACATTAGTTCATTCTCGCAATTATTTCAGTATCCACGTAAGATTTACTTCGATGCATAACAGTGTTTCATCTGTATACATCTGTGATATATCGTTTTGATGTTTACGGACAGGTTAGTCCCGTTACAAGATAATCAGCTTTGTAAGGGACGGACCATTAGAAAACTTATGGGGGGGTGGGGGAGCGAAGTACAAAAATTAAATGAGAAAAATTCTTGCACGCCAATTAACCCTAAAAAATATTCATGCTATGGCCTAAAAAAAATTCATACAAGGAATTTGATAACGAAAAAAAAATTCCTGCGGCTCGAAAATTCCCCCCCCCCCCATAACTTTTCTAATGGTCCGTCCTTAAACTCCCTTTTCAACAGCAGTTAATTAGTAAATATCAATAATAACGTACGAATACGAAATAACAACTCCCTTCCCCTAAGTTCCCCATTTGCTGAACTGATGAACAGTTGTCGGAAAAAGGGTCCGGTATCGAGAATCGTACCGCGCAATTCCTTAACTGGCCTTAAGTTGAAACAGTACAATCGTTGAAAACCTAATACATTTGGAATTAGACTCACAGCCATGCAGTTGTTATGTTTCACCGCTAGTTGCAAATAAATAGGTCTTACTGTTCTAAAGCGGCCGGCAACATAGCTGCACGGAAGGAAAAATCGATGCGAGCGATGCGTAACTACGACACAGATGCAAATAAACGTTCATTCAAGAAAGACTTAAATTTTATATTGGTCTTAAAGGCGTGGAGTCTTGTCATTTGGCCCTTAAAGTCTGTTTTAGTGATTGGTGCAATCTTAAATTGTTTGACTGAGTCAGTTCGGGGACTGTAATGTAACTTTTACAGGTTACAGTTGCTCTACAAATAATAATTGACAAACGGACTTTAATTCAATTTAGGTAATACTGCTGATTTTAATCTCTTAGCAAAGGATGCTTTCAGTCCCTGATTTAGTTTCAGTTATGTGTCTAAGGAATGAAGCTCCTTGTGAAAATGGGGTTGCTAATTGGGAACCCTACATAGCTTAAAATATGTAAAATTAAAAATCAGATTACCAAAAATTAAATCAGATTACTAACTAATTATGAATATTAAAAGATACAAATTTCAAAAGAGGCTCAATCTGAGAACTTACAGCCTGGGTTTTTCTATTATATACTCAATACTAAAAATCCTTCAGAATTAAGAATCATTCAAATAACGTTTTACCACAAATCACTAGAAAATTGCACCCCAACAGCTTAACACAAACATAGGCACGTTAAACATGCATGAGCTATTTTGAATGCTTCAGTGTAACTTTAATGCTTCAGTGTAACCTTACCAAGAGTGATGAATCTACGTTTTTCGTCCTAAATGTAGACTGGGTTTTTGTGCGAAATTGAGCATTGCCGTAAATAAATGAAAACGCGAAACGCTCAGCTGCGTCGATCCTCATGCTACTTTCCTCTGTCTTTCCCTGTTACATTTGGTGCAATTTAAACAAATTGTTAAAGTAAAATATATGTCTACTCACCAAACGTTGATTAGAGGGAAAACTCTAAGGTTTCCTCGGAGTTTCTTAAGCCAAAATGTAACTCATCGAATTCGAGTAGTCACGAAATACCAGGATTTTTATCATTGTGGTATATGGTTGCATCATCACAATTCACGAGGTTTTCACGTGCGATTCTACTCAGTGAAACAGTGTTTAACTCTGACAACTTATTTCTTCATGTTTTAAAAGCTATTGCTTCTTAAAAGACAAGAGCCTTTTTTAAGGCATTGGTTACAAAACAAAACAGGTCTTCATACGTTCAAGTCACTATTACTATTGTGAAAAGCCAATCTGCATGAGATGTACAGTCACACAACTGGCACGTGAAAGTGTTGGACTTTGCCCCCTTTCTTGGTTAGTACGTGAGGGAATTCGAGTTATCACACAGTAATCGAGTAAACAGAATTATAAAAATAACTCATGCGCACAATTTGCACGTGAAGATGTTGGTCTTTGACCCTTTTACAATTCGTACTTTAAAAAAAACGCAAATTGTTTACTACAAAATTTTCTCAAACGATTTTAAGAAATCACCTCGGCTTCATTACAACAGCTGCAATTAAATTATGTTTCATGCAACGTCAAGGTTGATAGCCTAACAATTATTAACTTCCAAGAAAATTAACAAACTGCCGAAATATATTTCTGCTCATATCATGTTACTCCACTCAATAAAGCAGTACCTAATTATTGTGTCAACTAGCTTCTTCTAATTTTATTCCCTAACGCTACTGTTTCTACTTAAGTTTATACGCATCTTTACTAAATAAAATACGTTTCAATAACTATAATGCTTAGTATGCAGGAAGGATGTATCATGTTGTTCACTTATTATTCCTTTTTGTTGTTGTTTTGCCGGAACGAAAAAGGTCTGTTGAACTTTGTGAGCGAGAGAATAATATTTCTACAGCTTGTTTACAGGATTAACAATACTCGGTACAGCTTTAAAAAAATAAGCTGCTTTTCAAACTTCTAAAACCACATTTTATAGGCCGCATACTTTCAAATATCAATTATTGCTTCACTGGAAGAGCTTTGAAAATATATGATCGTTTATACTCTACCTTGAAGCAGGTGGAACACAACTCATAAATACGTGCGTGGTACCGTTCGCGATAGCCGAATTCGGTCAGAAATGTCTTGAAGTAGCATCCACACTAAAATATGAACCCTTAAACAGCTGCATCACTGTATACAGCGTTTGAATCATGAAGATATTTAATATAATGTTTCCAAACACCTGTAGCCGTAATAAAAGACGAACAAATTGTAAAGAATCAAGATGGCGGTCTTAAAGTGCCCTTGTTCGACCTTTAGCAATGTGATTTTTAAGTAGATGCCAAGATCTCATTGGTTCCTTAGCATCAACTCATAGTACCTTCAACCTTATTGGCTCTTGCAACAAACATCCGAACATACAAAGTTACAAAGATACAAAGATACAAAGATACAAAGATACAAAGTTACAAAGATACAAAGCCACAAAGATACATACGCTCACACCACTGACATATGAGCTATTTTTTCAAAATAGCTCAATAAACAGGTTCATGGGACTCCTAAGCATAACTAACCAGCTTCTTCAATTAAAGGAGCGGTCATAGAAACATGTAGTAATTAGTTACTAACTCACTTAGCACGTCTTTATTTTCCTGAGTATAACTAACCGCCTTCTTTAGTTAAAGGTGCGGTCATAGAAACATGTTCTGTAGTAATAGTCCAGTTTCGAATTAAAAATCACCGCTGAATACAAATATTAACGACACATTCATACACGGTTAGCCTCGACGGAACTTAAAATATTCAGAAATTCTTGTAAGTGTTTGAAATTCGAATATACGCAATAGACCCCGGGAGGGGTACTGCCATATATGGGCTATATAGGTATGTGCCGCTGTGAAGGGTATGGTTTTCAAGCAGTTTACTCTAGGATAGGGTATATAAATCAGGGCGTTTGGGTCTAGAATAGGGTATCATTTTTCAGGAAACTGATCAGTTGGTTGAAGATTTTATCTAGACTGGGGAAACAGCTACTCTAGGATAGGGGGATTTTGGGAGTTTACTCTAGTATAGGGTAGCAAAATTCAGCTGAACTAGCTCTGGTATAGGTTAAGGGTTCCAGGGTCCCAGCGGCACATCCCCACCCAGAATTTCCAAAAGTGCCCCCCCCCCGGGCAATAGGCAGAGTAATAAAAAGGTCTTTTTCTCGTTGGAATTTTTGAATATATTACTTCAGATTGAGGCTAAGGCTGTACAAAATGCGTCTTCACTTCTTTAATTCAGCGGTCATTGCGAACTCGAAAATGGGCTATTAGTTACTAACACACTTAGTACGTCACAACCTTTTTGTTTTCTTCTTATACGTATTAATTACTGAATTTCTAAAAATAGAACTAAAGAGCACAGTACGCATTCCTCTTGCCATGGGTGGCAGCGCCATAGAATTGAAAATAGTATTGACTCTCGCCTTTTTATTTGCACCATCTTTTCATGCCTTAATTGAGAATTATCAAAATTCAGCAAGGAAGGTATAGATAACACAGCAAACATGTGAAAAAGGTGCCGGACGGTTAGAAAAATTGGAAGAAGTTTGAAACGGATTGGAATTGTGGTTTTTGAAAACTTGTTAGCCTAAAAGTTTTCAGATTTGATTTCCATATGGTTATTAGTAGCGCTACTGCGAATGCATGTAGTAATTGCGCTTTGTAAGTGGCAACAGGAGCCGCTCCTGGTGACAATTATTTTTGCTATTATTTTTCTAATGGGGGATAATTCATCTTCTTTTGGTACCAACCACCATGGCATGTAAATACCTGTCCCACGTAACTTTTGTAGAAGTATTTCTCGATTTCCCCTTGTTGCACACTTTTTTTCATACGCAATTGTTACCGATTATTGAAATTTTCCTGTTAAGGGCGGACCATTAGAAACGTTATGGGGGGAGGGGTGGGGAATTTTCTAGGCGCAGGAATCTTCTTTCGTCATCAAATTCCTTGAATGAATTTTTTTTAGGCCATAGCATGAATATTTTTTAGGGTTATTTGGCGTGCATGAATTTTTTCTTCATTTAATTTTCCCTTGCGCGAATATTTTTCTTGTACTTCGCCCGCCCCCCCCCCCTCCCCCATAAGTTTTCTAATGCTCCGTCCCTAAGTGTACCTTTCGCAGCCTTCCACTTCAACCACAGAAGCCTGTGATGAAAGATATTATTCATCGTGGTATGCGTATAAAGGCTTGCTTCGGTTATCGCTTCTCTCACGATAGAGGAATATATTTAAAAAAAGAAAGAAAAAGAAAGAAAAGAAAAGAAAAGAAAGGAAGGAAGGACGAAAAAAACCTAGAATTTTTCCAACAGGAGTCGAACCTATGACTTTCAGAGGTAACCGGCTGCAGTGACCTTCTTGCTATAAAGAGTCGACCGGGCTGAACTGCATGTTAAATGGCAAAACTGGACATCAAATTTTTGGAATTCAGTTGATGCGAAGCAAATGAAAAGTTTTAGTTTTTTAAAAGGATAACAAATAGCATGACAAAGTCCGGCCCTTAGCAATAGAGAAAGAAACTAGAGACTTTCCAGAGGCTTTATTTCGGAAAACACCCATTAGCTGTAAGCATTCTTATCGTCGTGCCTTTCATCTAGGAGCACGGCCCTTCTCTTATGGTCTTTGTTTCTGCTTTCAGTCGATGCAGTTCGTCGAAAAAAAATTCATCAATAGTAATTTTAAAGAGGAATTCAGAACGTTCATACTTTCTAGTACATGTAGTAGGATTAATTTAATACGTAGGACCTGCGCACGTAATAAGGCTTCCAGTCCTCTTTAATCTCGGCGTTTAGCATTTAAATACAAACATACTGCAAAAAATAATAGGGATCATTCTTAATCTGAATGCCTTCAAATCCTTTTCAGAACGTCCAACCTGTAAAATCTTTTTAAACCCAATCCTTCCATTGTCTGACGATCAGTCTAGAAGTAATCGTGAAGACATAAGATATGGTACAGCGAATCGGGAAAATTTTTGCAGATAGTTCTATGACTAAATAGGAACTCTAATCAACCTGTCATCGAAAAGTGTGGCTGAAAAGAAAAAGGTGCTAAAATACTAACAGTTCTTGCTACCAAGCTGTCCTTAGAATTTTTACAGTTATTAAGCTCGCTTTGACGGAGGCTTCCAAAAAAGCGATTTTCATTAAAAACCTTGTGAACTGAAAATGTCGTGATACGCGCGCGGAAGCTATGAGAACCTTTGATAAGTATTTAGAATATTACTTACGCTTGCATGTCCCAGCTTCTTTCTAGTTATAATTTTTGTCTCATTTTTGTTTCGAGTTTGCTCAGCATCTGACTTCACTGATCCTTTTTCTGAGCGGAAACTCAACGAAACTATGCATTTGAATTGTTGGCGCAGCCTAAGCTACGATGTTATAATCACTTTGTGCCAAGCAGTTATGGACAAAAGCATTGAAGAGCATTCCACTCGGATTATCGACGGATTAGCGCGATTTATGAAGACAGCGGGATTTTCTGGCATGTCTAGGGCCGTCCTCTTTTCTGTTTGGTAGATCCGGGGGGGAGGGGTGGTACTTCCTAGTAGTAGGATAATGGGCATGTGCCGCTAGATGGGGTCGCATTTTCACGACTGGATTGACTATTATGGCGGTTGCATTTTTATAAGAGTTACTAGAATGGGGTCACACATTTTCAGGATTTTGGGGGTCCGAAAATTCAGGTATGTAGTGATTTAAAAATAGCAAGACTTATACAACATCACAGAAAGTGACTAAGTTGGGATTGCAAAAATTACTTTTTTCATAAAGTGGCTAAGATGGGGTCTATAATGTGGCCAGAGAAAAAGACTATTATGGGGTAGGGAATCTGAGAGGCCTGCGACACATACCCAGCAAAAATAAAGCCAAGTACCCCCCCCACCCCCCGTGGAAGATTCTGTTAATGTTAAGGAGGGGATTCCCTACCAAAGGATTTAGCAATTTTTCCGGCAGACTTAGCTTCTAAAGTCCAGTTTGCTTGACAATACCTCCTGCTTTCTTTTCTTTTAATCTAACGGCGGATGTTTCTTGCGGTTAAGTATAACAATTTTGACGGCTTTATCCTCCATCACTTTCCGTTCGGCTGAACGAACTCTTTTGGGCGAAGATTGCTGTTATGTAACAGGCCATTCCTTAAGACATAAATTGGCTTTAATTTCGATCGAATGTATAGAGGTAACCAATGGTCTTAATCAGACAGCGAAGAGTTAAAGTACCGCCTCTTGAACCCTTAATGAAAAATTACGCTACCTACTTGTCTTCCAAGATAGAGCCGCTTTACCATTATTAAATTAAAGTTAACTTAATTTTTTAACCTAGAGAAAGTTATCATTCATCTCTCCAGTTTGAAAGGTTCAGACTGAAATACACTGCCAGTCAAGTGAAGCCAACTTCTACTAGTGTGCCCCACCGGGCTCGTAGCGAGCCCCTACCTGCCCGGGTCATATGTGGTTTGATTTGTTGCTGGTTCTGGTTCCGATCTCCCAGGGGCGTTCACCGGGTACTTCGATCTCGGTCCCCTCTCACTAAGATATAAGACCAACACTTGCAATCCACATTTCTATTCTGAAACGCAACGAACATTTGTTTTAACGAATACTTTCAAAGCCCAAGATGCTTTCGTGCGCAATCTGAAATGACTTCACTTTTTCCCGTCGAAGAAATAAGGACAATCAGGGCCTGGTTTTCTTTAGTTTACGCATCATGACTTGAGTAAAGGTTCTTATACGGATTAGAGCTATGGACCAAAAAATACCAAAATACCAAAAAGTATCTGTGATACGTACATTACGTCTTTTTCAGTGGCACCTCGTCAGCGGTGGAACGACATGCCTCTTGAAATTAGATCTTGCGTCCAATGACTAAGAAAAAAGCGCAGACTTAATCTTTTTATGGGAACATTTATATCAAATTAGCAAATTAGTCCTTTCAAGTTTTAGTCAGTTTCACTTGAAGTCTGTCTAGAGCAAGATAATTTAATTATCAATTTTTATGGTTTTAAGCACTTATTGTAATACTTTTTAACATTTACTATAATACTTTAATTAACCATCAGTACAATTATTTCTTTTTAACATTTGTCGCTTAGCGCCATTGGGCTCTAAAGAAAATTGCGCTATATGAATAAATTATTATTATGATTTATTTCATATATCATTAACACCTATTATTATTATTACTATTATTGTTGTTGTTGTTATTGTTACTATTATCTGCTGTGGCAGCCGGACTCAGTTTTGTTCAATGAAAAAGAAACTCACATTCAGAAAAAAAAACAAAAAATTTGTCACGCGGTCTCTGGGGTCGCCATACGTGCATGTAGTTTACATCCAGTCCCCCTTCCCCCGGGGGTAAACTTAAGGAATTTGAATTGTAGGTGGGGATGTGCCGCTAAGACCCTGGAGCCCTTAGCATATACCAGACCTCGGTTCAGCTTAATTTTAATTTGTTACCCTTTATTCTAGAATAACGTTCCCAAATCCCCTCCTAACCTAGAGTCGTTATTTTCAAAGATAGCCATCACCAAGTCGCGGTTAATTTTAAATTTGCTAATTTCATTTTTTCGAGTAGTGTCGATCAAATCCCGGTTTCCCTAGCCTAAAATAACTGATCAGTTTCCTATGCCCCATCAGGGGCACCCAACGAGAATATAGTTCAAAACCACTCAAACATAGCATTGTTAAACGTATTTTAGTATTTAAACGGTAGATATCAGCATATCTTTTTCTCCTAAAAATTTTTATCTGTTCCGATTTCCTAGCTGAAAGTCTAGTGATCCGAAAATTATAGGGATCAAAACTTGCCTTTCCGAAAATTCCAGCCAGAAAAAAGGCTCCCGAAAATTCTAGGTGACCTTTTAGGGTAAAAATACGTTAAAAATAGGCAATTATACCATTTTTTAGATGTTCGAAAATCCTAAGAGAGGCAGGCAAGCAAGAAATTTTACAACAAATGTTCCGAAAATTCTAGATCTCAAATCGTCTTCCGAACAGATATTTTCCGAAAATTGTCGTTGGGTGCCCCTGCCCCATGCGAGTGATCCCAGACAAAACTCGGCTTGAAAAGCATATGCTTCACGGTGGCAGCTGCACTTAAATAGCCCATAATTATATGACAATATCCCGCGGGAAGTTTACGGATTTTAATTTTGTTTACATAGACACGATAAGGCAGGTGCTTAACTATAAGCCTGAATTGAACTTCAAATGTTAATAGAAATGTTTGAAAGAACTTTCTGCAACTAGAGAGTTTTGGTACAATATATCTTATTTAGGGTTTTAAATAATGTAGTAGTTTATTTAACTCTTTCTAGTTTCGCCTCAGTCTTTTAAAAAGTAAACTTTTAAGCATATCCATGCATATTTAAAATCGGCCACTTTTGTTAGTTTCTCGAGTCCGTTGCTTTATTCACTAAACAAATATTGGCGTGGCTTTTTAACTGGTACTTTTGAAGCCAAGCTGATTCGACCGGTGTTGCATTGGTGACCCGAAAGTCTTCTTCTTCTTTTTGTTTTCCTTCGTCCGAAATCCACTTCACGGATCTTCAACTTTCTCTCTGAAAACGCCGACAGGATTGTTTTGATTTTTTACTTCACCAGTAATACCGGTGGTACAGTGACACGACATTTATCTCACGGTTTCAGGTTGGGTTTCAGGTATGTATGTAATACGGTTGTTATTAAACAGTCATTATAATTTTTCACACGGTCACGGACACTGAATCAGTCTTGTTATACTTAGAGACCGTTGAATTGTAATTATCACGGGCCTGTTTTGAGAATTTTAATTCTTTAACGTGAGACAGCTGAGGTTAATGCCGGTTTAGAAGTGATTCGGTGACACTTACTTAACTCGGTCTCTTTTAATCGGGAAGTGCCACGGACCTTTCATATGCCAAACTTATGAAAATTTATATTGTGGGTAAAAACTGGCACAAAATAACCCTTGCGTAGATTTTGGAATTGCTGAAAATACGGTAAGAAGAATTATCTGAAACATTCACATTGTAAAAAATCCGAATGGGGAGTTGAACTGAGTCATTTCAGTACTAAAAGTTAGCACGCGCGCTGAAATGTCATTTGAACTTTTTGGCATTATTTTATTTTTTTTCGCGCCGAACTCGCTCCATTTTTTTTGTACAAGATCGACTTATTTTAAAAGAAGGACGCACTCGTGCCACAATAACAAAACTATTAATGACATCCTTGTAAACTAAAATTTACATTAGAACTTTTCATGCTTATACTTACAAATTTTTAATTATTACAAGTCGTAATTCATCCGCTTGCCAACCCAGGGGTTACTACACTTTTCAATGGCGCGTTTTCCTATTGGTTGCTGACACAAAAGCAATTTAGGTATACTGCCCCTGAGGGCACGTTTACAGACTCATTTCAATTCAAAGTGAATTCAGCGCGTCGTCCGTAAACCATGAACTTATTTGAATTTTAACGGAATCCCGCGCGAGAAGCTGACTCTTTTTGCCGTCGGATGATTGAGAAACTTTTTACTCTAAGTTTGGAGACTTTTGCAGTGGTTTTCGCTATCTGGTTGACTGAAATTGGAACGCGTTGCTTAGTTTTTTTTCGAGGAACCTGATCGAGGTAAATATTTAAAGTAAATTTATCAGCTGTTAACAGTTGTGCTGAAATGTTTCTTTGGTAATGTGTGTTTTTCTAGCGTAAAATTGACCCTGCCTGACAAGGAGCATGTCAGACGACTCAATTTCGCCTGGAGCGTTACAAAACGGACACCATAATGGCGAAGCCTTTTCCCCCGATCAAGAAATCGCAAAGTCACAAAGAGGACACGATAGAATAAAGGTAGGAAAATATTCAGCAGTCAGTAAGGAAATTAAGTAGTTGAAAGTGCCCTTAGTGTAAGTTACAAACGTCAATGCCGCTATGAAATCGAATCAATACGAACACCACTCTATAAAAAGGACATTTCTTGGTCCCACTTGTACCAAATTTCATCCATTCTAAAAAGCCGACACCTGACTCAGTGCCTTTTGGTGCCTTGTTTAGGAAGTTTGAGTGCAATACGTTTAGATGATATGTGTGGTTGAACTCCACCTTCAACTAATCGCACAAGTATCATATCGTTTTTGTTTAGTTAGGGCTATGATATAGTATGAACTGTATGACAATAAGATGAATAACAGAGTTGATTCTGTTATTGTTCGCACCTTCGTACTCCAGAGAAAAATTACCCAAAGCCTTTTTCTTTACTTTTCTAGTTATCCTGAACCTAATTTGTTCACTTGTTAAAATGTTTGCATAAATTCTCAGTCCTTGTTTACTCAATGAACTAACTTTTAGTCAAAAGTTCATATCAAATAAATGTCGGTGAAATGTTACTCTGTATGGCATATTTACGTCGTACCTCTCAAGTAGCAGCTTTAGCTTATAGTAACTTTTTTTTTGGTCAGGCCGGGATTATTAAGCTGTTCTTAAAATTCCAATTGAAATCCACGCGACATTCGTTTTTTAGTTTGCGGCTGTGATCTCTTTATACTGTCTTTATTTCATTCTGTTGGCTCAACAAATTCAAACTTCATCAGCCTTTTAAGTCTTTTAAGCCCTTGACGTGTACAACAAAGAATAACAAAAAACAGTCGGGAGATAATTAGCATATCGTGAACGGTCATGCATGCATAACGGTCTTTGCCCTCCAAATACGAGTTGTTGAACCTTGAAATAGGTTTTATAAAGGATTAGAAACAAGTTTTAGAGAAATACGTGACGCCATGTCAGATATGCAAGGAACTTAGTTACATTATAAGGTGAGTGGTAAGGAATACGCCAGTCTTGTTAACTTTTCAGACGGATATTATGGCACTAATCATGACTAATTTACGATGCAAAAGTTTAGCCAAATCGGTAAATTAACGTCTGAGATCAAGCTTTCGACTGCAGAAGCTCAAATACACCAATGCGAACGCTTAAGGCAAATTAAATCGCGTTAGCCAAACAAGAAGTACAACTGACCGAGGGAAATCTAAAGAACTACATTGTAATTGCTTCAGATAGAACCCTTAATTTATACTATTCAGTGATAATCGTCGTGTGCTTGAAATCGCCGTAAGATCAGGGGTACTACACAGCACGAGAGCCCCATAAGAACTGTTTTAAGAGCACTCAGAGCGCCAAATGGGTCTGCATATCTTCTTATGTCAAACAAATGAAGCACTTCTTGGATCTCGTCCATACTGGCAGCTTTTAGGCATCGCTAATGCCTTGGTTGTGTGACAGAGTTGTGATCTTATTTTATAAAAACTCCTCTGCTCTTGCGCAGTAGAGGGTGTTGCAGCGGGGCTGTATGGTACGAGTATGCGTGATCGACGGTAACGCAAACGCTTGACCCTGAAGGACCTCTACCCAAATATTGGTCGAGTACCTCCCCCACCCGGCCCCGAGCTGCCATAAAATCGAGCAAAAGAGTTACGTCAGTTGAATGTGCGAGCGTTTTACATGCTCTGTTTATCGTTACAGTTAAACATTTGACTGCTTACAGTCCGCCTTTTCTCTTGAAATCCGTCTAGTTCTTATCTCAGCCAGCGCGATTGCAAACCACGACGTTGATTGGGACGAGACGAGAAACGACGGACTGCGGACTCTTTTGTAGGGCTTACGCCCTCGTTTATCGCGTCTCACGGCTTCGCCGCTCGCCGCTCGCGTGCTTGGAACTTTCGCGTGCAGTAACTTTGCAAAGAAAAATAAGAGACTGCTCGCAGTCTACGTCACAGTCTACTTCCTTGAGAGGTCGCGCGAGGGGATCAGCAACAAATAGGTATGACGCTCCCGGGGGACCATACTAGTAGGTGCAATATATATTCAGTTTATATTTACAGAATTTCGTTTTATTCTCTACAGGACTATTCAAGACGGCTAAGTGGAGAAGGCATGAGGTAAAAACATTTTTGTTTTTTCCTATTACAAATATGCAGATCTTGGCTTCAGCAAACTCGTCTCAAAATTACGCCTATTCTAAAGGCTAACTCGCCAGATTCCCGGGGCAGACTTCCATATGAAAGCGACCAGGATACTTTTCGTCGTCTCGCTTAGGGGTAGAAATTACAGATTTTCAGAGCTCCTCCTTGGACATCTTTTGAGCACGTCTTTGACAGAGTAACTTAGCAACGCCTGCAGATCCATGTGTGCGCAAACAACTGACTATCTCCCTCCTCCTTAGAGGCCTCTATGTGACGTAGGGGCGCGCTGACTTTTTTTGCTTTCAAAGTTTTATTGGAATCGTATAAAACAGCTTTCGGCTTGGATGTATCAGTGTCTTTGCCATAGTATCCTTTTGTGAGACAGCATATGACTTAAAACCTGTTCAAAACATCTTGGGAAACTTTAGGAAATTAGGCGCAAAGACGCAATTGACTAAATTTACTCGTATTCTGCTTCTCTTAAAAGCTTGGGAATATTGTATAAGAACCTTTTTCTTCTTTTCCCCTCTCCCCAAGAGAAAGTGCTTCATTTTGACGAGCTTTTGCGTAAGTGTCTCAAGAGTTTTGATAATGGTTGTGGCATATCATTTAGGAAGAAGTGGTAAGACTCATAGGCTTAGATGGTGATAGGCAAATACACACTACAAATCACCTAACCGGACGTTTTTAAATTGGGCTTTCAGTTCCCCAACTCAGTACCTGAATGGAAACTCTACTAAGGAGCAGTTATTAGAAGCAATCAAAAACCGCGACAATGCGGAACGAGAAATCAAAGCTCTCAAAATGCAGCTCACCATGGCAGAGGAGACTCGCGACAATGTTCGAAGAGACCTTATGGATGCACACAAAAAAGTGCGAGAAAGCGATGAAGCAACAGAAATACAAAGAAAAGAAAACCTAGCACTCAGACGTCAGATAAAAGACGAGCAAATTGAGAAAGGCGCTATGCAAAAAACTTGCGACGAACTCAAGGAAAAGGTCAAAATCGCTGAGGTAGAGAGAACTGAGACAAAGCGCAAACTCGAGGAACTTGAAAACAGATTCCGAGTTTGTGATGACAGCCGAGCGAACATCACCGGTGAGGCGAACGATCTTCGCATAAGACTGAACGAGTTCGAGGCAGAGCGAGCGGAGATTCGGCGTGAACTTCAAGAGGCACTCCGTCAGGTGAAAATATTGAGCAGCGAGTGTTTGCTTGGAAAGCGCGAAGTATCGGATCTTCAAGAGAGGTTAGCGCATGAACAGGCATTACGCGAGGAAGTTCGTCACGAAGCGTACACTCTGAAGCAGGGGATATTACATTCTGAAAGTGAAAAGGAGGAAGTAAAACAGAACAACTTCAAATTGCAAAGAAGGTAAGCCTTTTCTAAATGACCTGAACAGAAGCTATTCAAACTGATGGGAAAGTAATTAACGCCAAATTCCTTTTTCATGGAAGTTGTTGTGCGTTTCCTTCCTAAGACTGCGCGAAGCAAGAGAAGGCCTTGCGCGCCTCCTTTAAATAGACCTCAGTAGCCATGGTAACTGGTTCATCAGTTGGCTATTGTGCTATTACAAAGATGCTAATGCGTCAAACTTTAAAGCATACCTGGTTAAGTTTTGGTATGCTGATAATGAATGATTTAGTACCTTCACTTTTGCATACATGAGTTACTTATCCCTCTAAAACTAGCATTAACATTATGTCGCCAGTGTGAAAGCGCGGTAGTCTAATACTGATGAGCTGCGTGCAAATGTCAGTACTTTAAACATTGCGCGCTGCTGAATGGAGACAATAAACAACCCTGTAGCTTAAGCGCTTGCGGGAAAGATAGGCGCATGTTTTCTTGTTCTTTCTTTCCAGCATCTATCGCGCATTTTAAAGCATACAATGGCCAAAAACAGGCCTATACGGAGGAGAGATAATAAGAATGGTGTCTCTTTTTCTTTGGTCATGCCTATATGTCTCTAAACCTAATCAAAAAAGGTTCTGCGTTCGTGTGTTAGGCGTTAAGACAAGTGTTGTCAATGTTACCCTTGCTAATTAACGAGGGTTTTTGTGCTTAACGCGGGTCAAGCAAGGAAAGGCAGTACCTTTTATCCTCGGTTGCATTGTCCGTTTACTTACCGTATGTATTCGATTAACCGCCCTGGGCGCTTATTAAAGTTTTGGACCTTGAGAGTAGGCGCTTATTCGAGGCTGGGCGCTTATTAAATTTTCACCATTTTCAACAAGTGTAGTATGCAACAAGAACAGTAAATGGTAATAACAAAACGCGAAGATGTAACAAAGCAACCTTTCTGCAAAACACTAAAAAAAACTCCGTCTTCGGGGAAGTCTCTTATTAGTACTTATTCCTTTTTGAGGGGGTAGTAGGGGGAAGGGGGTGGGCGTTAATTTAAGTTTGAGTGGGAGTGGGAGGGAGGTGGGTGGGGTGGGGTGGGCGCTTATTCGAGGCTGGGCGCTTATTAACTTTTTCTGCCTTTAGTATGGGCGCTTATTCGAGGTGGGCGCTAATTCGAGGTTGGGCGCTTATTCGAATAAATACGGTATTTTGCAAATGTAAATGATCCTCACTATGTTCACGTTGATTTCTGTTCCCAAAGGTTAAAAGAAGCTGAAGATACCTTTGCAAGCAGGGAAAAGGACTATCAAGCGCAACTGGACGAGTACAAAGAATTTGAACAAAAAGCGAAAGACAAGATAAGAGATATGGAAAACAGGCTAGAGCAAACGACGTTCGATCGAGAAAACTACAAGGCTCAGCTGTCTGGAAATGACGGCAGGATAAGTGCTTTGGAATCTCAACTCGCACGAGTGGAAGCCATGAAGAATGATACTGAATTCAAGCTGTCGAGCCTCTACTCAATACTACGGAGATCACTCGGCCTGCGATCGGGTTCCCAATCTTCGTTTTCAGAAGAAGACAGTCCGAAGAAGAACCGAAGGTCTTTCCGAGGACGTTCTAGATCAAATTCAGGTATGTTTTGTAGTCTTTTCATCTATGAAATTTTAAATGTTGTATCCCACAATGATCACTTGACCTTTTGTCGCAAAGAGCGTATTGATTAAAATAACAAAAGAAATAACAACAACAAATCGGGCATTGAATGGGCGCCATTTTGTCGTTCATGAGTTTCTGAACGCCATTCTTTTTTTGCCTTTTACGCAGACGACTCTTCCGACGACATAGACCCTGACGCTGTGAAAACCTCGTTATCTGAGCTTTTGCAGAACCTGAAAGAATCCGAAAGAAAGAAAGAGGAGAGCCAAGCGAAAGTGGAGAATCTACAGAGTACACTGCGACATGCTGAAGAAGAGAGAGTGGAGCTGGACGGTAAACTCCGTACCGTACATCAGGAAATGAATCAACTAAGAGATCAGAAAAGATTGTTGGAAGAGAGATTAAACAGCTCGGAGACGGCTTTGACTTTACAGGTATGGAATTAAACTTTATTGTAGGTCAGGCTGCTTTTTCAGTGAGCTAAATGTTTTTGTTGTGATAACAGTAGTGACTTGTTAATAAAGGTACTTTATTTGCGCCCAAAACTGCAAAGCTGACGGAGAGGACTGTTTCATTTTCATGTGGCTGATTAACGCGTGTATGATAGATTTTAAGTTTGTTGAGTGAAATCTATGAAGTTTATCTGAGTATAGACCTTAATTTTCCTCAAGAAAAAAGGGTTAGACCCCTTGCATTTCTGACTGCTCATTAGTAACATGGCCTGTAAAAGTTTTATACTACATTTTCTCTGCCACTTTTTAAAGTAAAATGTAGAACCAACATTTTAGTAAGCACATATTTTTGGCCATTTCTACAGGAAGAGGCAATTCAAAGGGTAGAAAGAGAAAGAAATGGTTTGGCTGAAAAGTTACAAATGTTAGAGGGAACCTTGAGTCTATCAGAAAGTGAAAGAAAGCAGCAAAAAGATAAGATCAGGGAGCTTCAGGAGACAGAGAGACGGCTGAAAGAAGATAAGCACGCTTTGCGGACCCAACTAGAGGCAACATCCGGGGACATGACGAAGAATGAATTGAGGCTAAAGGCAATTGATGGTGAATTACAAAGGCAGAAGCTTGTTCAAAGTGAGGCGGAAGCGGAAAATAACACGCTGAAAGAAAGGTTGAGTGGACTTTTGAGGACGAATCAAGAGCTGGAGAACAATAATTCCAGTTTGAAACTTGCTATACAGAAACTAAACAGCGCCGTTGCGAAAGGCGAAGAAGAGGAAGCACGATTGAAGGAAAAGATCCAGGCACTCTCAGTTTCTCTCAGCGAGAGCAACAGCAGCTCACAAAATCTGCAAGATCATATTCATCAGCTTCAGCGAACACTAGAAAGCACTGAGGGAGATAAGCGTCTGCAACAAGAACGGGTCGCAGCTCTTCGAGAGACAATGAAAGATTGCAAGAATGAAAACCGCGCTTTAGCAGAAAAAGTAGAATTTTTGGAAAGGACTCGTGAAGATGCCGAGCTAAAGATAAATGACTTTGAAAATCAGGTAAAGCATGTGAAGGTTCTTTTAAATCAGCGGCAAGAGCGTGAGGATGAACTTCTGGGAAAACTGGAAGAGCTGGAAGAAGAAGCAAACTCTCTGAGAAGCCAAAACTCTTCCTTGTCTAAGGTGAACTCCTCTTTCGAGGCAGAGAAAAGAGATTGGGAGAAGAACAATTTACGGATTGGCAAGGACGTTCAGGCGCTTAAAAAGACCCTGGATAAACTTCAAAGGGAGCGATTAGAATTCGAGGAGTCCTTCTTTGAGTCAAATCAAGAAAAGGAGGCTTTGAACAGAACTCTTGGAGAAGCGGCAAAGGAAAATATCGAATTGAAAGAAAAGGTGGATTCACTAGAAAGAGCGCTCCAGGAAACAGCAGTTAAGCATACTGAGAGGTACTAAGTTGTTTGAAATTATTAGCTCCATCTCACTGTTTACTAAACGCCTTTAGTTTTTCACCCATTCACTCTCTTACTAATACTTGCGCGCTCAATCCCTTTGCCTCAGTTGTTCAGTTACATTTCGGTACTAAGTTGCACAGCTAGTTAGTTGCTTAGGGTTCGTTCGATTGACCGTATTCTGGAATATAAATAAGCAAAAGTTTTGCTACCGATTTTTGGACCTCTTAATTACTGCATTCATTGGAAAATGATTTCAAGCATGTTTATAGGTATTGCAATGCAATGACTGCCGAAACAAATTATTTCTAGAGTTAATTCCTTTTATTCTTATCAGAATTCCGGAATAGCTAGGTCAGTCGAACAGGCCCGTAGTTAGGTAGGTACAATGAAACCTCCATGTTCATCCCAGCCCCTATCGTAATCGTCCGCGACCAATTTTTTGGATAGATATTTTTTTGGAATTTAATAGCTTTTATTAATTTTTTCACTCTTACATAGCGAATGCAATTAAAAAACACTGCAAAATTAAAAAAATAATTACAAAACATTACAAAACAATATCCAAACCAATTTCGTTGTACGCTATTTAGATTACAACCACAAAAAAATACAAATTAACACAGAAACATTTACAATGCTATCAACAAGAGAAAAGGAGAGAAAAAACCAACAATGGTCGAGACATTAGTGTTACATTCATAAATTATAAACTGACATAAAGTGAGAAGCATATGCGGAACAACCCTTCTACGAGCTTACAAATGGCAAAAATTTCTTCCATTTTTTAAATTGGATAGATGAGAGCCTTGGAATTTTCCATTGTTTTTATCCTGCCTTATATGACCACTTAAGGCAGGGTATGATCTCTATGCTAGTTGTATTTACTATACTACAACAATGCGATGCATTTAGAGTGACAACACATATGGCAACTTTGCACGCAGTAAATCCTCTTCTAAATCAGGGGCACCCAACGAGAACAACCACTTAACCACTTAAACACAGCATTGTTAAACGTATTTTAGTATTTAAAAGGTAGATGTAGGCATATTTTTATCCCCTAAAAATTTTTCATCTGTTCGGATTTCCTAGCTGAAAGTCTAGTGATCCGAAAATTATAGGGATCAACGCTTACCTTTTCGAAAATTTCAGCCAGAAAAAAGGCTCCCGAAAATTCTAGGTGACATTTTTAGGGTAAAATCCGTTAAAACTGGGCAATTATACCATTTTTAAGATGTTCGAAAATCCTAGGAGAGGCAGGCAAGTTCTAGATCTCAAATCGTCTTCCGAACAGATATTTTCCGAATATTGACGTTGGGTGCCCCTGCTAAATCGTATAGATATGCTCGGTCCTCTTCTAGGAAGAGACCCTTGAGGAGCGACCATCTTCCGTAGAAGTGACCACTAAATCTTCGTGAATTTTGAATTGTCGCTTATGGGAGGTTTGACTGTATTTAACTGGTCTGTCGGTCGGTCGATCAGTTAGTCATTCGATTCAGTCATTTATTCGTTTCGTAGGTCGAATAGACGGTTAGCTAGACTGTCACCGCAGTTAGTCGGTCGATTTGTCAGTTGATCTGTCAATTGGCTGGTCGATCGGCTGATCGGTCGTTCATCCATCTACCGTTCAGAAACAATGGGACAATTGATGAACGCCGTTCATCAGTTGTCCCATTCGTTTCTGAATCACCTTTCTTTTTCATCACCAGCCGATTAGTGGTGCTCAGTATCTGGCATTGAGCAAGATGTTAATACAGTGGAACCTCGATATAACGAACCCCTATACAACAAATTAAAGTCCTCGGTCACGAATGATATTCTTCGCCCCGGAAATAGTACAATATGAAAAAGAACCTCTCCATAACGATTTAGGTTTCTGGGACACTGCCCACCGACCCCTCCCCTAACCCAACATTTTTTCCTAAGTGAGAGGTAAGTGACAATGTTGACTTAGGGGAGGGGTAGGTGGGCAGTTTCCCAGAAACATAAATTGATCCACTTTATGGCGAACAAATTTTGTCAGTCCCTTAGGCCTTCGTTGCATCGAGGTTCCACTGTATCCTTTTCCTGCCAAATCATGTTTCTGCGAAATTCTATACAATGCTTTCTCTTGAAGTTTGATTTAATCCAATATTCACAAATGCTCACATGCAATTATTTTCCCTATTTTCCATAGTTTGCTTGAGATTACTGAAAAACAGCAACAGGAAATTGAAAAAGAGGCAAAGAGATCTCACGTGGCATTGGAAAAAGCACAAAAATTGACAGAAAAACGAGAGAAAGCCTACAAAGCAAAACTGGAATCCTTAGAAAAACAGGTAATGTTTTGAATAACTGCCGTGCCTCCACCCCTTTCTGGGAGTACGTTCCATTTTGAATGAGTGGTTTTTCATCCTAGCATACGAGCAATATGCACTCACCCGACCGTGCAAGGGACAAAGTGGGGTGGTTTCCATGCACCCAGCCATAACACTATTATATCCTCTTTTTACACACCTAAAGGGTTAAAGGTTAAAGTATTGCTTCATTCATTAGCAACCCTTCAGAGGTCAGAATTTGGTGAAAATGCTTTTCAGCGATACAAAATGATGGAATGTTGGTGCTGTTGGACTGGTCTATATATAGGATTCTAGATTTTGCCAAAACTATGACAACCAAAAATTATACTATACCGGCGATCGATTTAAACATACCATGATTATTACTGGCTCACAAAGGAGCTCTCTCTGTGTATGTTCAGTTTCCTTATGTGGTGATCATTTTTTTGTATGTTTATTTTCTAGCTTTCAGTCCTCAAGAGAGAGCTGCAATTTGAACGAGAGGAGAAGGTAGCACATGCCAACAAGGCTGCAGTGAAGAACGATGAAATAAGAGAAGTTCGGCAATCACTTGGGAAATCACTTCAAGCGGTCGAAGAGGATGCCAACAATCTCCGAAGTATGCTCGGAAAATCACTTCGGAAAATCGACCGATACACCGAAGCTATCCGACGAAATGAAGTTCCGCCTCCATCAACTGACACAGACGGATCGACAGTTAGCGCGTTTTCTCGTCAAGCATTCGATAAATCAGCGGAAGAGGCAAAATATCTTCGCTCATTGAAGCGACGTACGCGGTCCACTTCGCATATGAACTTGAAAGATCGTGACAAAACTTTTGGAATGTCACCTTCGGCCCACGAACCGTCGGCTGATTTTATCGTTAATAACTCGAGAGGAGATCGGGAAGATTCCACATCAGAAATTACAGCTCAAATCCAATCCCCTCTCAGAAGATACAGAAGGTCGCGGAAATCTGAAAATTAAGCACAGTCTGTGTTATTTGTTTTGCGTTCAAATGAAAATTGTAATCATTGTATAATGCATAACGTAAAAACTGTTGATTAGAATTAATCCCTCTTATTCCACAGAACTAAAAGCGGTGCAATATTTATTCCAGCCTCGTTCCCAAGGTTCTTTCTTTTGCATCGAGAGAGAACCCTGGTAGCAGCTGCTCGTTTGACTTCAGTGTGAAAATGAAAAGCAAAAGCAACAATTTTACCCCTCCCTTGGGGCAAGTCTTTGTTGTCTCCCAGATTTTGGGGGCCACGTGACCAGTCGCTGCCAGGGTTCCTTCTCGACGGAGGAGGAGAGAGAACAGTGGGAACGAGGTTGTATTTATTTATGTCAATATGAGGTCACCAAAGGTAGAGCATAAGTCATGACTTTGTATTTAATAAATGAATTAGATTAAAACAAGTGTGTTTAGAATTGTCAGAAAAGAGTAATAAAATGAATACCAACAAATACTGATAAAACGATATATAATTCAAAATAATACTGACAAATAGCGAAATAAAGTTAACTTATCCCTACTAATTTTAGCGAGTATCAAATTCCGCGGTTTTCTTTCTTTCTTTGTCTCTCTCTCTCTTTTGTTTTTTTTTATATTTCAACGAATATAATCACCACAATCACCAAATAACAGTTTAAAACAAAGCAAATTCCGGTTAGCGTAGCTGTATTGTCGTGGACTTGGTGGCTGTATTTATTTTCCCTTACATAATTTTTTTCTTCACGATGAACTGTTTCACCTTCTTTCGTCCCATTACAGCGTATACCGGCGCATAGCTTTTGGAGCCGACACGGAAATCTGTCCGATATACTATGAATAGCAACGGCGCAGAACTGGAACAAGTTGTTCACATACATCGAACATCGTGTCGGAGCGGTTGGCCGAGAGGGCTTGGTTCTCTAAACCCCAATCTTTGTACTTCCATCTCAGTGAATTCCAGTCCTGTTTCCTACTTATTCACTTCCGCGAGCGAATAAGTGAAATCGTTGGAAAAAAAAAATGACATTAACATCCAACTTTCTTAGTTTTGCAGCTATGTGCGTAAAAATAACCGGGATATTAGCACCATTCTCTGGTTTATAGCCGTTCAAAGTGGCTGCTCTCTGAAAGGATGGGCTTTTCACTGTTGGGCCCGCTTCGACCGCACCCACTAATATTAAAAAGCGAACAGAAGGTAAATCGAGTGGACCACCCGGTTTATGAACTTCTGTCTTCAACTCCTTTGTTTCTTAGCACCATGGTCGACAAAGGCTCTGTGTGACTTTCAACAAGGTCCAGAGGAGTAATTAGTTTGTGATGCGACCATTAAAAACTCAGCAAAACCTTTGATTTTGTTTTGAAATTTGATGACGTAATCAGTTAAACAAATTCTCCCGGCTTATATTCTTTAATTTAAGCCTGTTCTTTAAGGAATTATGTGGCCGGAGATCAGTCTGGAGTAATGGAGTAATGTGGATATCAATAAATTGGAGGCGTCACACAGTCAACCCAGTGGACTTTAATTTGCATTTCAAAGCAACCATTTTGTTACAATCATGTTGTCACGCGAGTAGTGTTTTAAGTGGCCAAGTTTCGTCAGTCGCTATTGACAGATGCAATTCCTAGGTAACTGAGCAGTCGCACAGGAATTGTCCCACATTTTGTGCATCGTAAAGCCCTCAAGTTTAAACAATTTTGTGCGGTACGTGAAGATTGTGCGAGTCCGGGTTGAATTGAGTTTTTTGAGGTTGGAACATAAAAGGAACACGATCGCAACAATGAAGCGTGAAAATTAAAAGGTCTTGAACCACAATGGCGGATATTGTGGTCAAGAATGGCTACAACGGGTTTAGCAATTCCAAGAAAAACAGGGACAACTACAAGCGAAGGCAGAATTCATTTAAATTACCACCGTTAGAAGCTCACAAAGACGATTTAATCTACAGCGAAGACAAAGCACATTCACCTGTTTTGCAGCCTTCGCTTTCTGTCAATACGACTGCCTCAACCGAATTTGTTATTCTGCTCGACGATGAGATTCGAAGAATTCATCAACTTAGCGTAAATCTAGGAATAACGCACCACTATGAAGTTGCAGAGTACCACAATCGCTTTCATTGTCGCAGGCTTGGGCGACTACCGAAGTTAGAGGAATCCAAATACTGGAGACAAAGTCACAATTGGAAAAAACGAACGGAAACTGGCGGCATAAACGAACTTGATCTTCGGCGGAACTTCGTCACTTCGGGAAAACACTTTGATACTTCAAGTGTACATTGGAATAATTTGCCCAGAGGACGAAAGAAATTGCTTGAGCCTGTTAATATACCAGCTTTAGGATGCTCATATCGATTACCAATCCTAGAGAAACAAAAACACAAAACAGGGTAATGGAGTCAATGTTTTGAATTGTCCTTATTTGTTAGGCTTTGTGACCGAATCGACACCAAATCCTACGCCTTAACTTGGATAATCTCGCTTATTATTTCATTTTTTTGTCTTTAATACCTAAATGAAATAGATCAGTGGCTATGATGACTATTTTTTTTTCAGTATAATGATGTTTCTCTTTTTGTTTTGTTTTGTTTTTTCTTTGGCGCAAACCGTTTTAACATCAATCACTGACCCTTGAAAGCGAATATTAATACAGTAGAACCTCGATATAACGAAGGGCCAAGGGACTGGCAAAATGTGTTCGCGATCGCTATAACGAAGTTTTGTTATATCGAGAGGTTCTTTTCCTCATAGTTTACAATTAGAGGGGTAAAGAAAATCTTTCGTTATACCGAAGACTTCGTTATATAGAGGTTCGTTATATCGAAGTCTTAACTCGTCGTTATATTATCAAACAGAGGTATAATGGCGCCAAATAGTAATTAAAAGTGAATTTACATGGAAATCATTCTCAAATGAAGGCAAAGGTTGAAATTTCTTTCAATAACAACTAAAAATATATTTGTCATGTCTTTATTTTACTGGTAAAATGTCACTGTCTAGTCAAAGCCCATGAAAAGTTGGTCTACTAATTTCCAAACGAAAGCAAAAAATTAATATTCCTTACAATAGCAAACATTTTTTTAAGCCATATACAAATGATTGTATATAAAGTAATGTCCATGTGAAGTTTGTCTTATCAACTAAGGTAAAGCATCGTACCATTTTTTGACTGTAACGTCCAAGAAATAAAGTAAACCTAAGTAAGGATTGATATATCGCAAATGTGATGTTTTTGGTATATACCTGCTGGGCCAGGGTATGTTTAAAAATAAATTATTTTTCACTATATTTTCTCGGAGAGTTTACATTGAGTATGAGGTCCATAAAGAAGCCTTCTGTTTCATCCTAAATTTCAAGATTTATATTTTAGCCGGGTGAAAGTTACTCTTGAGTTTTTTTGTTGACAAAAAATATGAAGGCCGGGACCGTCCTAGTTAGGTACCCTACACTGCAACTGACAAAGCCTAAACAGCCTTTATGGGAGAGGGAGATTCTCTGCTTTTCCCAAGTCGTCGCCAGTGATAAAACTATACTTCAGTGACCATCTTTGTAGCGCTTCCAGTGTAAAGTCTTTTGACACCGTGTTGCCTCACCATTAATAGTTCCACTAGGGGCTTAGAAATAGGCACCACTGATGTACTTTTTTCTCCTTCCGGCTGAAGTGTGCGAATACTAGCCACTTGTGCGATGAAGTTAATGAACAATTAACACCAGCTTCAATTTACGATAATGGACGTTTTAAAGAGACACTTCCATGATATCCGTTTGGGAAAGGAACTTAGGTTAAAGTGGTGCAAATAAGGTCACTATATAGGAAGTTCATTTTTACGTTTTCATGCAGTTATCCTAATACTAGGTTCTGCTTTAGTAAAGTAACTCGGCCCAGACGCCTGAAATTATAGAGAATGTTCTTCAGTTAACATTGGTTTTCGTTATGCCAGGTTCACACCAGAACATTCGTTTCTTGCGCCTAAATTTGCGGCTAGCGATTTTTGGAGGGGCTATGCCATACCTTCGCTATCTCTTCAAAAAGCTAAAACGTATCCCCTTATCAGTTTGACTCTAAGAAAAATGTTCCTACAGTTTTGTTACTTAATACTATATTTAGGCAACGAAACTGTTTCCTGTGGTCTGTTGCGACGGATTGTAAGGTACGGCATGGATTGAAACTTGGGGAAAATGGGACAATTTTTTCAAGGATTTGCTGTGGCTACAAAAATCGCCAAAAATTATGGTTAGTGCCCCCTGATGAGATTTGTTTGATGTCTACTTTACATCCCTATAAGAGCCTTTTTTGTATATCTAAAGGCACTAAGCATGATGTTAGCACAGAATTGACCTTAAAAATCGCGATTCACTTTAGATAGCTCCTTTGAACACTTGTAAACTGTGCACTTCAGCCCGAGACTCTTGGTGAAAACAGAAAAATTGACAGTATTCTCACTGGTTTGTTTAGGATTTTCTTTGAACACAACTCGCCAACTTATAGTTTTCCCGCCTACTTCTAAATCTATCGGCTATTTATCCCCGGGGTTTGTATGAGGTATAGTATTTGGGGACAACACGTGTCTCGATTTTGTATATATTGAAAACCAGGTGTGAGGGAAATATGCTCTTCTTCTTCATTGCCTTCTTTATTTTTCTTCTTTAAACAGTTGATTAAACTTCTTATATATACAGCACCCTTCTTTCAAAAAAGGCCTAGACTATCACATACTCCTTATTTTTTAGTTCAGAATTACAACAGTCATTACTAAGAGCTAAGGATTGAAGAAATAAAACGTTTATTCATATTTACATTTTCCTCTAATCTATAAAAATAGTTAATATTATGGTTTAAAGCAAAGCCACTATATACACTTGCATATTGCAGACGTGAAATTGAAATCAACACAAATAAAATATTTTAAAGTGAAAGAGCCTCTCGACTTGACCACTTTCTGTTTTAATTGTCATGACAATGTATTGACCAAGTAAGTACAACCTACCATATCTGATCGGTTAACAGTTTATATCAGATATGGTGAAAAAAAAAAATAAAAAATAAATAAAAAAATAACCCGATACAACTGACCTTGCAGTGTCTTTTAACCCCTCTTTGTCTTTATAATTACTTCCGTATCTCTTTTTCAGTTGTATTGGGTATTTTAATATACCTAACAAGGCCAAATCAGAAAATTATGAGTCCTCAGACGGTCTTAGAACTCAGTCCCTTTAAGCCCTACACAACTGCCGTAACTGAACTAGTTTTGTTATTCTGTGTCATGTTTTGTCTTTAATATTTCGAGACGATTAAACTTAACATCCATGTACAGTGTCTTTTCGGGGACAACTGATTAAAATTTTTCTTCCAGCTTGTACTAAGCTCTGTGTCGATCTGTGTCATTCCAAAAGGTACTACTTAAGCAGATTAGGCCAATAAGATTTCACAGTCGGTACAGATCGAGAACTGTGCATGTGTATGACAAACACGAAATTTCTTTTTGTCAGTAAGATGCCTGGCCTTGATTGGCTTTCCATATCAATTCATAATGTTTGCTTTTGATCAATGGAATTCTAAATTTGTGTGTGGAAATCTAGCATTGAAGAAAACAGTGCAAACCTGGCAGCATATAACTGCAAAAAGACCCAATTTCGAGTCCTAGCCGAAATCCTTCAGCACAGACAACTTGAATTAAGAGCTTTACTCTGAGTTGTTCTTTCTCAGATAATTATTTCTTTAAATGAAAATTTCGTCCGCTTCTTTCTTTTCAAACTGCAGAGAACCTATGCCCTGAGGCCAGCAGTTCAAATAAAAATGATTCCAGGGCACATTTGAATCTGATTCACTGTACTGTTTTTTAAACTGTACCCCATCGTTGTAAAGTGTAACGTTCGCCATTTACCTGAAACTCCATAGCACTTTGGGAGCTGTCAGTACTCTCATTTGTTGTTACGGGTTTTCCAACATCTTGGAAGACGTAACTTGCAGTTTTTCTCCGAGGGCGTCGGATAGTGAAGCTGTTAGAATTAAATTTGTAAGAGCATTTGTTCCCTACAAGATTGCAAATCTTTCGACACACCCCAGTGTATGCTCCGTGGAACTCGCGGATTCTTGCTGTGTAAATTAGAAAATTCATTGCCGAATTTGAAAGGGCCAAGGTTCGAATCCAGAAGTGCGCAGGTCCGTTGGGAGTCACAATTGAACCCCCCGTGGCAAATAAGAGGATCATCAAGGGAAACCAACAAACAGAAAAAATCCCGATCACAATGGCCAGTGTACATGCGACACGTACCTCCACCCGGGAATTGTTATCCTCAGAGCTTCGTCTAGCTTGTAACTGGCTTCTTTTCTTCTTGATTTTGAACAAAAATACCACGATAAGAAGGTATGAAACGACAATGATGATATAACTGAAACCAAACGTTCCTGTCGCTAGGAATGCTTTTGGAAACGAGTCCGGCAAAACCTCCCCTAAGATGGGAAATGACACTGGGAAAAGCCAAGCCACTACTAGCATGATTTTCAACCCGTATTTTCGCATGATGTTTTCGTGGCGTAGAGGGAAGACCACCGCTATGAAACGATCCACACTGATAGCGGCCATGTGTGTGACTGAAGCGGAGCTGGAGAGAGTGGATAAGATTATGTAGGGTGTCTGCAAGGCAGCTGCGCAATCTTGGAAGAAGATTATCTTGCTGAGGATCGCTACGAAGATGGGTTCACACACCATAGTCACGATTAAATCAGCGATCGCCAAGCTGGCAAGGAGGTAGTTGGAGCTACGACGAAGGCGAGGGTTCGTAGCGACTGCCGCGAAGACCAACAAATTACCGAGCGTTCCCAAAAAACCCACACTGATGTTTACCGCAATCAGTAAGACGCTATGGGCTACAGGGAGGGAACAACTGTCCTTGTCTTCCAGTGAGTTATTCATGATAGCCAACTCGCAGTCGTTTTTTCCTTGATGCTCTTGGCCTTATAGCAGATGTATGCAAATTAAATTGGAGATTGCGTGCTTCGTTAAATCACTTTCTGTCTCAAGAGCATTTCCGCCCACTTTAAATTAATTATGAGGTTAGTTGTGGGAAGTAGAAAAATATAGACTGAATACTGGCATGGCAGTATTAATTAATCTTACAATAATTAGGCTTCTTAGTAACGTATCATATATTTTTTTATTAAACAGCAGAACAATTTTAAATTAATTTCATAAATTTAGGAAGTACCTCACTCATTATCGAGGCTTTCGTTTTGTGCTTTTGAGTAAAACTTACCACACTATTCGTGATCTTTAAGTCTCGCGTGACTTTCTATTTAGGATAAACTCAAATACGTTTTCTCTCAGAAGACCGTCCGATAACATGTCGCTCCATATAAGGTTGTTTTGATATCAACAATATTAGTCTTCTGACGACTTGTGTATTTATATCATATTCCTTATATTGTTACCTAGAAACCACCTAAGCAAATTAAATGTGGGCAGACTTAGTAGTAGTAGTAATAATAATAATAAATAATAATAAAAATAATAATAATAAATAATAATAATAATAATTATTATTATTATTATTATATTAGTGATGAAAATTTTTTTGAACAGTTGCTGTTTTAATGCTTAAATCATATTTTCATTTGTGTAACTTCAGGTTCAACAGCCTTAAATATATGTTAGAGCAAGGGGCTAATTAATTTCTTAGGCTTTTTTAGGAATTTTATTTTTGGAATTTTCTCAGACTTCGACGGGTCAGCCAAAAAGAATTGAAATAATAATCATTTTGTTTTTGCATGTAATTGTTTACTTTGCAAAATTTTACTGCACTATATATAGAGCCATTGGAAGCACGCTTCAACGTTGATGAGAATGATCAAAGTAGCTAAAAACCATAACAACAACCTGACCGTATATAGCACAATATTGAGCCCTGCGTAGTAACATATTTTCAAGCATTCAACATAAGTCTTACTTAAAGAAATATATTAAACCCCAGCTTAACGTTTCAGTAGCCAAAAGTGAGGCCATTAACTGACAGAACGGCTACATGATCACTTTATCGAATGCTTGGCTGAAAAATGATTGGAAAATAGGCTGAAGGAGACTTTATCGAACCGGAACAATTTGCCTGTTCGGAAACTAAAATCCCGACGTTAAGTAAACCTAAAACTTAAGGCTGCCAAGTGAATAAACACAACAATATTGTGGTAGTCTTAGATCGGTTAAGTCTTGGAACTGTTTTTTTTGCTACAGAATGGGGCTGGAAAGTTCGTTAGCCTGTCGGCCTGTTCACGTTCATTGACCTTTATTCATTACCGGATTAATCGTACGAAGGGAGCCTGGTGCCTACCGTGGACAAAGTTGTTCACAATCAAGTAGTGAATTTAAGAAACTTCTGCAGCGTAAATGTTACCGTGGGCAAGTCCAATCTCTCCCCTTTTTTGATTAGCAATGGTTAAAATCGTACCTAGAAAGCCTGGTACGTGGGCAAAGTTTACAATCAAATTGCTGGTATGCATGTGACGTCACGGCGGCGGTTGGTGGTAATAAACAAAAGCATTTCTGTTCTCTGGGAACTAAACTCTGTTTTCATGTAAATTCTTCGAGCAAAAATTATATTGTATTGACCCCCAACATGGCCGCCTTGTCACGTGATCGCAAACCAATAGTGAAGTTTAGAACTTTCGGCAGCGTAAATGATCAGATGCCGTGCGCAAGTCCAATCTCTTCCTCTTTTTTCTCGGATAGTCAAAATCATGCAGCACTAAACTAAAGAGGTTCAGAGATTATTCAAAGTTCACTATAACTCCATTTATCACTTATCAGTTAAAGCAGTTTTAATTTAACATAAAAACAACTGCACATGAACAGACTCTGATACAAATCTCCTTGTTTATGAAAAGATCATATTAAAACAAAATACTGCTATTCACAGATTTTGACTCTAAAGAAAATTTTTCCCTCTGAAACAGTATTGGTGATCCGTATTCTCGTAACTTTATCATGACAGCAATAATATAATATACAAGTAGGAGTATTTACACTTAAAGTCATTATATTGATTTCTGTATATTGTCTCTGTTTGTTTTCCTTTTTACTTCTTGTCATTTAGTCACCTTCTCAGTTAAAAAACCGAAGGACTCAAAATAGCCAACAGCCAGATCAAACAATAAAGATTATTCGATATATTCTACTTTACAAAGAACTGTTAATAAATATTCCGAATAATTTGCAGTAACTATGGATAAAGCTGATATTTTTGGGTGAAAGTGTTACTTTAAAAAGTTTCAATTATTGTAATTTAAAATATTGTTTGTAATATCAAATGATACTTGGGATCAGCTTTGTAAATCTCAGTTATAGAGCCTTCTAACATTCCTTATGGCGCATAAACAGCAAACTTAGTGCAGAAATGGCTATGTCAGCTTGCAAATAGAAAACATAATGTTGACAAGTCCTCATAAACTGGCAAAGTCTTCCGCTTTAAAAAGGCTACTATGGATTTGGAGCAAACGCAACTGCCCCCAAGAAAGACCGTAAGCTTGGAGCCATGTAACCATTGCCATTTTGTCTTTGATCGTGTTGTAGTTGTTAACGGGCAGACCAACATTATAACAGAGTTATACTTAAAACTGACGAAGAGCAATAATGAGTGAGGCTCCCTTAGTGGCCAATCTGTGCGTTCTAACTAAATGACCGACCTTGGCTTTGGTTCCAGCATTTAAAAGGGTGTCTTCTTTGTGTAAAATCAACTGAGGGCAACTAGTGGATCAAAGCTTTAAATTTGTCTAGCTCAGCTAAAAGAAACTTAAGATATTTAAGCGAGCTCCTGAACGAGCTCTATAGCCAAGTCCAGACTTCATAGGCGAAACACTTTTCGAAAGATACCAGTATATGCATCACGGAAATCCCTGATTACTGCAGAGTAAATGAAAAAATTCATAGCTGAGTTTGAAAGAGACAAGGTCCGGAGCCACATGTGTAGAGGGCCGTTTCGTTTCATGAGCGGTTTGCTACTCGCAAACATTGCGGTCATCACCGGCACCCAACAAGCCGTGAAAACGCCGATGACAACGGCCAGCATGACGGCAACACGGACCTCTGTGCGGGCAGTCATATTCACAGAAACTGTTCCAGCTCTCATCTGCCTTCTTTTCCTCTTGTAGATGACCAGAAATACAACGATCAGGGTGTATGAAAGTATTATAACAAAATAACAAAACGCGAATATTCCCATGGCTGTGAAGCCTTGGGGAAAGGAAGGTGGAAGGACAAAAATTAAAATGGGAATTGAAACTGGGAATGCCCATGATATTATCAACAAAATTCTTACTCCACACTTGTTCATTAAGTGTTGGTGGCGTATGGGGAAGACGACGGCGATTAGACGATCAAAACTGATGGCGGCCAAATGAAATACTGAAGCCGAGCAAGAAAGGGTAGATAAAATGGTGTACGGACTCTCCAAACTTGTTGCGCACTCGTTAAAAAATGTTCTCTTGAGGAGACTTTCCAAAAACAGAGGTTCACATACCATGGTGACAATCAAATCAGCGATTGCTAAGCTGAAAAGAAGATAGTATGAGCTTCGTCGAAGACGAGGACTTATGACAATTGCCATACAAACCAGTAAGTTACCAAGTGAACCTAGTAAGCTAACGATGGCGTTGATGGTGATTAGTCCAATGCCATGATCTCGGGGAAGAAAACAATTATGTGCGTTTTCCAATGAAAAATTCATGCTTTAGTTCTGCTTGGCGTAGGCCGCCTGGCCCTTTTAACATGGAAAGATCACGGTTGCAGTTCCATCTTCCTCCTTTACCACAAAATTACAAATCGAAAATAGGTGATTAGAATTGTTTTGCCTCCAATGTTCAAATATCATCTCTCGGCCTAAACTCCAAACAATGTACCAATATGAACTTCAATGACGTTAGCAAGACAAATGCATTCTGAAACTCTTATAACTCCAACTACAACATTTAAAGCCAAGATTAACATTAGCAAACAAATATCGCACACTCAGACTTGTGACTTGTAAGTCATTAGCATCCAATGATTTCAAGGTGTATGTGGCATAAATTTCACACAGTATTTTGACCTTCCGGTGTCTTCGAATAAGTCATAGACTGTTTATAGTCCGCTATTTTTCGGTAAGATCTTCGTGATCGAGTGATTACTGTAACAAGTGGCTATCTTGGTTTCAAATCTACCTAGAGGTAGCGTACCGGGGTCTTGATTGGGTTGGGGGAGAGAAATTCAAAAAATAGTTTCTCTGGGGCCTTGGACCACCTGCCACATCTCAGACCAAAATATCCTTATATAATATCTATGATATTTTCGTGCATTTGAAATTAGCTAATTTGAGTAAACAGAAGCATTGGGTATTTCATAGTTGTACCCCATTGCATGGGTCATCTCAGATCAAAATATTTAAAAATGGAACCCAATCAACAACCTACAATCTTTGGCAGCTGAAGGCGTGCGTCCGGCCAAAACGCACCATTTTCTTATCCTTGATTTGGTAGGTGGGGGGTTTTGATTTTCCGTTAAATTTGTCCAAGATTTTAGAGAAGATTAGAGAAATAGGGCCCCATGTAGGTACATATATCTGTTTAACATATATAAGGTAGTAATTAAGGAGGAGGAGGGTAGATTCTCTTCTCTATGCATTTGAAACAAAATGCCCCTTTATAGTAATTTCCCAAACTCGACGTGCAGGATAGCACGTACAGTGACTGTGTAGGCAAGGGCCCAAACAGCTATATTACTATTGTTTCAAAGTAACTGGTTATTTGCTTACTGTTGTGCTGACCATTAACTATTTTTGCCTCATCAAAATTATAACATTTTTACTGAGGGCTAAAAAATTCTCGATTTGATAAAAGGTTTTGTAAACAGTTATGAAGAATACCATTTGACTTTGTTACGATATAACGACACTATTTGTATGCTAATGTTGTTGTTTTTGTGTTCGGCTGCTTCTATTTCCTCGCTACGGGCTGTGGTAGGTGTTCTCGCCTTTCCTTTACCGGGGTGATTTTCTGGCGAATCTCTGCCTTGACTTAATAAACGATTATAAATGTGGCTAAATAGAAAGAAGTGTGACGTCACGTTGCCATGGACAAAAATGTTTCTAAACAGAGACTCGGTGTCAACTTTTTTTTCTTGTTTTTCTTTCTGCAATATATATTTGCAGGGTAACGGTTTGTTGACCTCCAGAAATTTTTCGACCACGGCAACGTGACGTAACGGCTTCTCCCCTCTATTCGTCCCATTCAAATATTCTCTATTTCTATCCCAGCAGTATTACTTTCAAAAATCGCTCAACACAACAATCTGTCAACAAAGACTAGAATGTGGGAAAAGAAAAAGGGTTCCCAATCCCGTCATCCCGACCCAACATTTTTGCTCAATCCCGTAATCCCATGGATATTTTCGGAATCCCGGGGGGGGGGGGTACTCCTCGGGAATTCTTGAATTCTTGCTGACTCTTTTGTAGTAAACAAACCCTCCGTCAGCCCAGAAACGGAGTAACCGATTGGTCAATTGCACAACTGTTGACAGATCATTGACTGGTCTGTGGTGAGATTGCAAGCAATAAAAATAGTCACGCGTCACAAACAACTGCAAACAATAGCGAATCAAGCAGTAATCTCAGTAATAAAACTTTGAAGGATATCGTACAGAAGGAAACTGCTGTAAATTTCCTCAAGGGAAACGAATTCAAGGCAATCTTACCAGATTTAAAGAAAGTGTAACATTTTCAGTTGTTTATGTTCTATTTATAAATCGTTTCAAGTAATTCGGGTTTAATTGATTAATTAAGTTACCTTGACAGCTTCGTTGTCCCCAGCCAGCCAGAACAAAAGAGTTAGCAGTCTCTTATTTTTTCTTCTCGGGCTTACGCCATCGAGACTGTTCGCAGTCCAATTTCGAATTCGCACATTTCCATTTCGTTCTTATTCATTTGGAATTGAAATGGTAAATACGTTCATACACTCCCGCAGTTCCCTCGAAAACCACACCCGATTGCAGACCAAAATGGGCAAAGTGTATATGACCCGTTTTCAGAACCAAAAAGGCCCAAAAACCATACCCTTTGGGGCGGTACATATCTACCGTATTTACTCGAATAGACGCCGCCCCCGAATAGACGCCGCCCCCGAATAGACGCCGCCCTCAAATAGACGCCGCACTTGAGACTCAAAATATTAATAGACGTCGCCCCCGAATAGACGCCGCGTCTACGGTGCGGCGTTTATTTGAGGAAATAATGATTTATAATAATTATTAAAGTAAAGTCTATTTCAAGTTTAAACCAGCAATGGAAATTTATTTCCTTTTAGAACAACATTTTTTAGTTCAAAGTGACTGTACTTTTTTGCTCTTGTGTTAAGTTAACGCGTAATTCCGCTGTTAATGCAGAGAACTTCGCTGGTACTACAAGGCCGACTTCTCTCTTTCTCTTTCCAGTGACTCGTGCACAAAGTTTGTTTTACTGTTACCTAGTAAAAAAGTTACCATATGAAGTACGATATTTAGGACTGAATAAAGTGATTTTTTAATAAACGCCGCCCTCGAATAAACGCCGCAGCTGGATCGCGAAAAATTGAAATAAACGCCGCGGCGTCTATTCGAGTAAATACGGTATTTGGATTATAAAAGGGAGTACCCCCCGGGCAGAATACCCCCTCCCGTGCACACTTTCAATCTCGAATCTCGCTCACATTTTGTTTTGAAATCCCGAATCCCATCCTTCAAATGAGTCAAATCCCGCTGGATCCCGAAAAACCTACTAAGGACCCTCAAGGAACAAGGGGCCTTAAAACGGATATTTTCGTGAACATTCGTCAGAGTGGATAAGATCGTGTTGTTCCTGTGGGTAATCAGCCGTATGCAAATAACGCTATTCACCAAAAGCAACCTGGCGCACAGGGTCCAGAGGAGTTTCGTGTGAATAAATAAACTACTTATTTAAAGTCTAACCTTGAAAAATGTCTATACTTGTCGCTTAGCACGATTAATTAGCCCAATGGGATCTTTTTGAATCTACTGTAAACGATTTCTTCGCTTCTTATCTGACCCAGATCGACTTTGTTGTTAGCCATTTTGAAAATCAATAACCGCAAGCCATAGCCTCGCTGGCGCACATCACGTCGCCCGAAGGGCGACCGCGGGCACGAAGTTTGTATTTTACACTGTAAGCCGACCTTGCGAGCCCTCAGTCTCTTTGTTTGCGGTATATAGAATGTGTAACGAAACCGCAACGCGATCAAAATAACCCATTTTTTCAGAGGTTTTCGACGGGTTTTCGACAGGCACATTTCCTCTGGACCCTGTGCCTGGCGCAGCGATACGATGTGGGAATCAATGAAAACCAATTTCCAGTGCGTGATTTTTTTTTTCAATGATCCATAGTCCAACCTTACTATTAATGAAACAGTTAAATCAGTTGTTTTTCTTCAGTAATTGAATAATTCACATTCCAAGACTTTCGAAGAAAGCGGATCAATAACAGTTAAGGAGTCAAGAAGGCATGCATCAAGCACGAGCGAACTTAGAAGAGTAGACTGATGAATGTTAATTCTCAAACTCGTAAATAATTCATTAAGAAAATACAAAGGAAATTAATGTTTAATGAGTGTTTGGAAATCGGATGAAACACTGCTTAGTATTTGCATCCTTAATTTCTCCTTCAAAAATGATTTTGTTTGAGAAGAAATATCAAACATTCGACACAGTGTTTCATCACCAGATGAAACACCTCGAAGTTCGTCAAAAATACTCCGCTGCGCGTCGTATTTTCAACTCTCTTCTCGGTGTTTCATCTGGTGATGAAACACTGCATCTCATGTTTGATATATTACGTCCAAAACAAATTCCAAAGCGTCTCCAAATTCTACAAGCGACACATCTTTTGAAAGATACTTGCGTATGCCTCTTTGAAGGCGCGGATTCTTGCAGAGTAAATTAGAAAATTCATGGCTGAGTTTGACAGAGCCAAGGTCCGGAGCCACATGTACAAAGGGCTGTTTGGCGTCATGCCTATGAAAACCTCATAGTCTTTACTGGAACCCAACAAACTGTAAAAACGCCGGTTGCAATAGCTAAAGTGTGAGCAACACGGACCTCTCTGCGTGAAGTAAACTTTATAGAAACCGTACGGACTCTTAGGTCCTTTCTTTTCTTCTTGTACCTGAGCAGAAATACTGCGATCATAAAGTATGAAAAGATGATGACGAAGTAGCTCAAGGAAAACGATGCCATGGCCATGAACTTTTTGAGAAAGGACGGCGGAAGGAAAACCATCAAAAGAGGAATTGAAATCGGTAGTGCCCAAGAAGCTGTGAGCAAAATCACAAGTCCTCATTTCTTCATGACAATTTTGTAGTGAAGAGGGAACGCAACGGCGATAAACCGATCCAAACTGATCGAGGCTAAGTGGATCACTGAAGCGGAACCAGAAAGGTTGACTATGAGACGATACGGCATTTCCAGGCTTGCTTTGCATTCGTGAAAGAATGTTCGATTGTAGACGATTTCCAAAAGGAAGGGCTGGCATACCAAGGTGACTAATAAATCAGCGATCGCTAGGCTCAACAGAAGATAGTTTGAAGTTCGGCGTAGGAGAGGGTGAGTGGCAATGGCAAAACAAACGAGTAAGTTCTCAAACGATCCCAATATGCACACCATAGCATTGACTGTGATCAGTGCAATACCATGGGCCATGGGAAGAGAACAACTCTTGGCGTTCTCCGATGATTTGTTCATGTTCTTTTATGGCCTGCTGCACTATACGGTGCAAAATCAGGGTTACTTATGAACTCTAAGCTCGAGTAAATGGGAAAAACCCGCAACTAAGATTCTAAAAATATCAGTCTACCTCGCCAGTCAGACGTTATTGGACTTATTTTGACTTAGAGGTACCTATAAATAGTCTACTGACGTGAGCCAGAATATACATTCTGAAACTCTTATACTGCGAGAACAATAATCAGATAAGTCAGATTGAGAGCCATAACTGCAAATATTAGCCTTCTAACAAGCTTTCTTGCAATAATAAAATACTGCAAAAGTTTTTAATCTTTGCCACCTAGACCATGGCCTTAACCTGAAGATATGATCAATTGAATGTCGAACAAATTAGGATGATGCGTTTGAGCTAAGCCAACTAAACCAGGTATCTTCACTATCAGTGTAGCAAGGGTGGCGCAGTGCTAAGAGTAATCGCGGCCTCACACCAGTGTGGCTCGGGTTCGAATCCCGGCGTCGACGCCATAATGTGGGTTGAGTTTGCACGTTCTCTCCTTTGCTACGAGAGGTTTTTCTCCGGGAACTTCGATTTTCCGCTCTCCTCAAAATCAACATTTTCAAATACCAATTCGATAAGGAATCTGGTAGATGAAGAACCACTTAATTAAAAAGATGCGCTACTTCTAAATGTCCATTTTATCTATTTTTTTGACCTCATCATCATTATTGCAAATACTGTAGCTGTTGTTACAAGGTTGTTGTTGTTGTTAAAATCTCCATCATTATTATCAATATATTGTTTTGCTTTATCAATTTGAAGTTCAGCCTTATTCACTTACAAATCTGCTCAGGTCAAGATCAAATCACTCGCGTTGCGTCATTACACCTGTCAGTAATATTGTGCTAAATAGGCCATTTTACAGGTGTGGGCTGAGCGTCCTAGCCTTTGAGTGAATGTGAGACTGAGGTTAACCTTGTTTTGATACAAACCGGCCTCCTTCCCTTTCCTAATGTAAATTTTTCTTTAAAAAAATACAAGTTAACATTATCATAAGAAAAACATTATTTTCACATGTCCAAGCAACAATCGGCGAGAAAATTGTGGAGGCTCTTTCTTCAATTGGGGCGCTTTCGAACAACAAAAAAGTTGGGTTGTTTGTTGTTCTCAATGGGTAGTTTGGGCAGCGGCCAAAAGGTTAAGAAATGAGGCTAGCTTTACTTTTTGAAGTAGATAGTGTCGGGAAAACGTTAGTGATGTCGTTGAGGACAAGGTGTCTCACAGATTGCAGCTGGACATTTGGTTATCATCAAGAGAGTCACTTAATTAACACCTTTATGTAAACTAAGTCAATGGAAAGGAGTCTTTCGTCAAGGACTTAAGACCCAGCTCGATTTGTTTGTTAATAGCCCCCAGCTATCGTTCTGCAAAAACTCTATTGAGCCGGATCTTTTACGAATAAATGACTCGTGTTTGGAGAGGGCATCCGTGTTTAAGCTACTGGGGGTATGGCAACAAGACAACCTAAGTTGGAATTACCATGTTGAACAGACTTTAAAGAAAGCCAGCAAGAGATTTGTATTTTTTGATGGAATGTAGGAAAGCAAATCTACCTACAGAGATTGGCATCACGATATATTGTACCAAAATACGCCTACTTCTCGAGTATGCCTCCCCACTGTGGGGCGGTTTGCCGAAGTACCTTACATAAGACTTGCATTCTATTGATGGTTTTCACGCTGAGGTCACCAGATTGCAAAGTCAAAAAAGCGAGGTTTTAGGAATTCTTATTTACACTAGGTTGAAGATTAATAGGAAATAAGTCTTTGTACAAGTTTCCAGCCCCGAAGCATGTTTCATTTCGAAAATACAGCAGTTTGCACTTCGGAGTTTTCACTGTGCGTGACACCAAAATAGGAATGCTATCTCCTTGAAAAAAGTCTCTCCGCTTGATTTTCAGCAGTTTAACCATTTCAAGTATTAGAAGATATGTTTATGCGCAAGTATGCTAGTTCTCGAGTGAAAAGGAGGAGCTTTTATAGAAAAAGTGAACTCCAGATGTTTTGTTGATTTCCGGCGGCCATATTGGTGGACAGTTTCTGTTCACCAATATGGCGTCTCCATACAAAGCTCTACAAAGGTGCGTGAAATGTTTCGGCAACTAACTCAGAAACTGTGGGCCACAAAGACCTGAGATTTGGACAAATTGTTTATATATTAGTCTTTTATAACATTTCATTTTCTTGGCTTCTTCCACTAGACGGTTTCAAATGTATTTTTTTGTGCCGTGTTTATTGCGTGACAGTGAAAACGAAGAATACAAAACAGGTGCCTATAGATATCATCAGGATAACAAGAACATCCCTTCCAACGCTAGAGGACAGGTGCAACGTAACCACAAAACGTGAATTAGAAAGAATTGTGAATGATATTAACCACCCAAATCAAATTTTTCTCAACCAAGCCAAATACCAGCCAAGGATCCAAACCAGGTTCAGTAGCAATACCAAAGTCAGGAACGCAAACACATGCAAATTCATTGATAGCAAGAGCTGCAAGACTCTTTTAATGATCTGCTATTTTTACTTACTTACTCTTTTTTTTATTAGAATAATCACTTGATAGCATTTTATAGTGTTGTAAATCCATTGTATATATTTTTAAAAGATGGATAGTTAAAGGTTATAATTATTAATAAGCCATTTTGCAGTTATGGATGGAAGCGAGATTGGAGTAGTTGACCTTGTTTTGGTACAAACCTTCCTGCTTTATTCTGTAAATCAAGTTATTCTTATGCTACTATACCTAGTATTTTTCAAGGACAATCTCCATAAGAGAACAAAGAAGGTTTGTATCAAAACAACGTCGCCGTCAGCCTCTCATTCACTCGAAGGCTAGCTGAGGGTACTAAGTCCACAACTGTAGAATGGTCTATTTTAGAACTTAGATGCAGACCTTAAAAATTCAACTAAAGGGAAATTCGCCGACATTTGACAAAATGCGCGAAGCTAAATAAACGCAATTAAGTTTGAAGGAGAGTAAATGCATTTTGTTTAATTGACCTTTTACCTGCTGTTAAGTTGTCGTCGTGGTTGTTTATGCTCCCTATTAGCTAATAACGAATACTTCTAGTCGTTAACAATTCCCCATGTACCTGTATTTATAAACCAATAGTACAAGCTGACCGTTTACCATATAAGTAGATGTCAGTTTTGCCTTACAAAAATTAACCATTAGGATCAACTGCGATTTCAAACAGTAGTTTTTACTTTCTTTAAACAAGTAGCAAAAAGTCCACAACTCTACAAGCGGAGCATCTTTCGTATGATGCTGACGTATGCCTCTTTGAAGCCCTGGATTTTAGCAGAGTAAATCAAAAAGTTCATGGCTGAGTTTGACAGAGCCAGGGTTCCAACCACATGCCCAAAGGGATGTTTGGCCTTATAAGTGGTTTTCCATTTATACTGCCAAAAGAAAACTACGATCTCGAGAGCCCAACAAGCGGTGAAAATACCGATTGCGATAGCCAGTGTACAAGTAACACGAACCTCTATGCGGGAAGTCAGTCTCACAGAAACGTTTCGAGCTGCGCAAAGTTGCTTTCTTCTCCTCTTGTGACGTAGCAGAAATACCACAATCAGAAAGTAGAAAAACAAAATTAAGAAAAAGCTGAAGAAAAAGGTTCCAGATATGAGAAATCGGCTAGCAGAACGAAGGGCCAAGAGACTGGAAAAATTTGTTCGCTATACCAAGGTTTCGTTTTATCGAGGTTCTTTTTCATATATTTCACTATTACTGGGGCAAAGAGTATCGTTCATTGTACCGAGGACTTCCTTACATAGAGGTTCGACCGTACTATTTCTATTTCAAAAATAGATTTCTATTTCAAAATAGATTAGCTGGCGTGAACCATGGCGGACGGACGTGAACCTTCTGGTCCCGTTTTGACGAAAGATACCGAGTCTTACCAGCTTAACCTTAAATGGTGCGAATTACAATCCCTTAAGCTAAACGGGGAACGATTAACGTGGACGAATAACCTTGAATCGTTAAAGAATTTTGTGGAAAATGGCTTGAAACTACAAGGAAAGTGGTCGTCGCCCGGAGGAAACGTAAAGCAATTCAAAAGTTCTAACAATAATCTCGTCATCAACTGGTATAATAAGAAACAGCTAACCCTTTGTTTCCAAGGTCGAGATGGTCCCTCCTTAAAGGACAAGTTGGTCAAGTTTATTCAAAATAAACAGGAACAGAAGCTGATACGCCTGTCTCGGATGCTTCAACAACCGAGCAAGAAATTCCGCCTTCGCAAGAAGCCAATGGCATCTGCAGTAATCGACTAGCTTCGGCCGCCGACGCCGGACTTGAGAACAGTATTCAAGAGCGATCGAACTCGGTTATCAGTGCTGATATTGAGGGCTTAAAACTGGATTTACTAATTCTTCAGAAAAAGGTTGAAGCAAATACAAGCCTTCTGTCGACGAAATGCAAATTACAAGAAACCCCTTTTAGCGCCGAGCTCCTCGATTACAAAGAGAGGTATGAGAAGGTGTTATCGACATTATCTAAAAAGATAATGAAATTGAGGTGTTGGAGGAAAAGTGTTTTTCCTATGAGAGCCAAGTTTTGTCCTTGCAACAAGAAAATGATTCTCTTAAGCTGGCTATGAAGATCATTATGCAAGAAAGAAGCGAGGGCGAATGCCGCCAACAAAAGATATGTGATTGTTGGTCCCAAGTGGGCACACTTGGGAAAAGTGTGAATGATAAACATATCCAGAGGCCGTTGGCGGCCTGCAATATAGAAACTCAGAACAGATTTGAGCCCTTAGAAGTGAGGTACAATTCCAAGTGAGAAATGAGGACAACTATACTGCAAATAACGAAGAAAGTCGCCAACAACAGCAACAGCAACATTCACATGTTGATTCATCTGAAGCGAGCCGGGCATTTGATTCAATTCCAACTAGTCATAACCGCTATCAGGCCTTACTTGTCTCTTCTCCTTCGAGTCAAGTATC